CGGGGTAGCGTCCCAACTTGATCTTGGAAATGAGCTCGAAGTGGGTTTTGGCATTGAAAGGAGGAGACTTTGTGCACATCTCGTATATGATGCAACCGAGGGCCCAAATATCAGAGTGAGGTCCATACTGCTCAGCCTTGCAGATTTCAGGGGACATGTAGAACGGGGTACCAACGTATGTGGATGCGAAGTCGTGGGATTGGAGGATCTTGGAGAGACCAAAGTCGCCGAGCTTGACGGAGTTGTCGTCGCCAAGGAAGACTGCTTCTGTTAGTATGCACAGGCGAGCGTAAGGAAAATGGTGACACTGACTGTTTTCAGGCTTAAGATCACGATGAAGGATCATGGGTTTGCGGGGGTCGCGAACAGGCTTCGCATTGCCGACGAGACCCATGACGTTGCGGCCAGCGGCGGGCGGGTCTTCACCATAATGGCAGCGATACAATGCGCTCACAATCTGGCTAAAGATGCTCCAGATAAATTCCTCTTCACACATTTGGTTCTTGTTCTTCAGTTCACGGATGACTCGGCCTAGGTCGCCATTTCCGCAGTACTCCATGTACAGGTGAAGGTCCTGGGATGCCTTGATGTGGTCGCGCTCGAAGTAGGCGACAATGTTTGGGTGTCGGAGTTCCTTTAGGATGGAAAGCTCGGCCTGCAGCTGTTCACGCTCCTTCTGGGACATTTTGAGGTAGCTGATCTCTTTGCGGCAGAGAATCTATGTAGCGGTCAGCAGGTGTGCGGTGTGACTTGTGCCTGAATTGCGTACATATCCATCCGACTTGCGCTTGACCTTGCGAATAACTCCAAAGGAGCCATGGCCTGCAGCTTGTTAGCAGGTGACAGCAGTGTGAATTGACGTCGAGGCCATGTGCATACCAATCTTCTCGAGCACGTCGTACTTGTCTTCCTCGGGCATGGTGGCGGTAGGGCTATTGCGCAAAAGACATGCAAGTATGGGATGCAAAAACAAAAAGAAGAGCAGGCTGCTGTGTTAGTAAAGCTTCGAGGGCCGGTGGCGGAGGAGTGCAGAGGACGACGGGAGAGGCGGGATAGAAGGCCAGGTTTCTTAGGTGTTTGGTGCTGTTTACGCTAGCGGCCGTCAACCCAGCAACGCAGCGCACTAGCCTGGCTTTGTCCTGCTGGCCGGCCGGGGTCTCCCTTGCACTCGGCCTTATCGATAGCACACCTCCGATCTGCGCCGACCCTCGTCATAGCACCATATGGACATCGTGCATATCCACACGTCCTCGATGCTTGTTGCCACTGCGCAAAAACAATGGATGTCAAGAAAAAGTACGAGATCGAGGCCGCCCTCGCGACTGAGGCGCAGGCCATCTCGTCGGGCCAGCTCAAGGAAGAGAACCCTCTCGACCTGAGCGACGACTTTAGACTCTTCTGCGAGGCATGCCGCCGTGGGGACCTCAAGGTCTGCCAGGAAATGATTTCGACTGGAGTCAACATCAATGCCAGAGATAAGTTTGACTACACGCCCCTCATTTTGGTATGACACCCCCACCTTGCTGCCCTGCATAATCACAAAGGCTATGCGCTGACTGCTCAAGGCCAGCCTGTGTGGCCACTACGAAGTCATACGCCTCCTGCTTGAGAACGGCGCCCTGTGCGAGCGCGATACCTTCCAAGGCGAACGATGTCTCTACAACGCGCTCAACGACCGCATACGAAACCTCCTCCTATCCTACGACTATGCAAAATCGTCGAATCCCCTGCAGCCGCTTGCCGCACACATCACCTCCCTCCTGACCAGGACCGAGCCCAAGACGACAGACATTACAATCACCGCCTATGGCCAAGAATTTCACCTGCACAAGTTCCTCCTCGCTGCGCGATCCCCATATTTTGCAAAGAAACTTGAGGGAGCGCCCAGCACATCTGCGTGGAAACTGCCAGACACTATCCCAGCAGAGTCGCTTGGTGTGGCGCTGCAGTATCTATACTTTCAAGAGGTCTCGATTCGGCGGGCGCTCTTTGGACTCGACGACGAAAAAGAACGCGTGGTACTGAGCGGTATCGATAAGATCGGCAAGCATCTAGAAATAGAACGCTTGTTTGAAGATATCACCGAACTCTCAGATCGACGGTTGTTGCGCCAACGGCGCGCAGACGAACTAGAACGGGGTCGGGACCAATTGGAATCTTGGTTTAAAACAAACATCCTCCGGCACAAGAAGGTCGTGGATACCGACAAGGTGGATAGCATACGATGGGATCGCCAAAACTCAATCTTTGCCGATATTCTGCTGCGTGCCGACGAGGATGAAGAGGAGAATGAAACAGGCCAGCCATTGGGGCCGTCAGAGTCGTCGACCCCGCCTGTCCGAACCACTTCGGGGCCCCTCTCAGGTATACCTGTTGGTCCAGGTCGAGCGCGCTCACCATCGCGACAGCGGGCGCCGCGCAAATCGACCGTCTTCCCTACGCATCGAGCCATGTTGCTGCGCTCTGAATATTTTTTGACAATGTTCAGCTCCCAATTCAAGGAAGCGCAGGACACACCCCACTTGCAGGTTGTGACGATTGACTGCTCGCCAGCAGTTCTCGAGACTATTTTGAGGTTTTTGTACACTGAGCGTGCAGATTTTGGCCTTGACATTGCCATTGACGTGCTATTTGCAGCAGATCAGCTCTTTATTGAGAAGCTCAAGCAGCGCGCAGCCATTATCATTTCTGCTCTGGGCAACGGTGCAACCTCTGCTGTAGAGTCAGATAATCCCCGCGGCGCTACCGATGCCGATGAGGCTGTTGACATCTACGAAGTCATTCGGGCAGGTTGGGATACCCGTGTACAGCGTCTGGAGGAGTTTGCAGCACGGTACATTGCTTATCGCCTCGAGTATTACATTGATCAGCCTGAATTTGCCGAGCTTGTTCAAGAATCTGCAAAACGCGTCAAAGCCCGACAGGAAACAGATACTGTTGAACTCGTCGACGATATACGGTACTACCTCTCCGAACGCTTCAGACTCCGCTTCGAAGACAGTGGATTAGACGAAATGATGGATGAGAATGCAGCAATCAGGGTAACAACTGAAGGAGATATCGTAGATGCAGTTGGCGATCTTGCTCTGGAAGATAATGTGACGGAGAAGACAAGAAACGACGAGAAAATTGCATCTGTAGAGCAACAGGTTGCCACTGGTGTCATTAGGAATCTAGACGGCGAGGAGGTGGGTGATGAATTTGCACAAGATGCAATGAACTACCAGATTTTGTTGGGCAAGATAGATACTCTTCTAGAAAGGCTCAACCTGGATGCTTAGACGGCGGAATAGAACAAGATGTACTATAATCATTCTTTCACCTGATATTCCCGGCGGATTTTCGACGATAAGCAACTGTATGTATAGAAGCTGGCACAAAGAACTATATTATGATTTACACATCCGGCTTTGGTGACATCATGAGAGTGGGGTAGTAGGTCCGAACGGAAGCTTCCCCACCAAGCAGCCGACGGCAGCTTGACAAATACCGAACCAACCCATCATGCGCACCATTGCTCGTACAAGATCGCTTCTTTGCCAATCTACTCCTACTCGCTTTGCTGCACACAACTTGCGCCGTGCTTCAATTACTGTACCACGATCTGTTTCTAGCTACCAACACCCAAGTACATATAAACAAAAGCCTACCACACCGACACGACACATCGCAAACATGTCGACCGAATCCACACAGTCGAAGGCATGCTGTGACACCCCGGCTGTCGTCAGCCAGGGCTACCAGCCCAAGGGCGACTACATCCAGGTTGATGGCCTAAAGACATGTAAGTTTCATCAATTGCCCGTCACAGTTCATGCTAACAGTAGCTCAGATGCAACTGGCCCCAAGGACGCGAAGATCGGCATCTTAGTAGTATACGACATCTTTGGCTTCTTCAACCAAACCCTGCAGGGAGCCGACATCCTCGCCTACACAGACAGTCAAAAGTACCAGGTTTTCATGCCCGACTTTTTCGAGGGCAGCCCAGCCGACATTTCCTGGATGCCACCAGACAACGATGAAAAGAAGAAGAAGATGGGCGAGTTCTTCCAGACAAAGGCTGCACCCCCGAAGACTCTGCCGCGTATCCCCAAGATTGTGGATGAGCTGAGTCAAAAGAACGGCATTGAGAAGTGGGCCATTGTTGGCTACTGCTGGGGCGGAAAGGTGTGCTCGAGTGATTTCATAAACTGAATACATGCTGACATCGCGTAGATTGTCAATCTCTCGTCAATGGAAGGTACAAAATTCAAGGTCGCAGCGGCATGCCACCCCGCTATGGTTGCTGGGGACGATGCGCCTGGCATTACCATTCCCTACATCATGCTTCCATCGGGTGACGAGGACAAGGGTGATGTTCAGAAGTGGCAGGAAGGTATCAAGGTTCCTCATGTCGTAGAGTGGTTCCCAGACCAGATCCACGGCTGGATGGCTGCCCGCAGTGATTTGAGCAAGGAGGAAGTAAGGAAGGGTTATGAGCGCGGCTACAAGCTGGTGCTGGACTTTTTCCACAAGCACCTGTGAGTTGAGAAAGACTTGAGCGACTGATGAAGAGGAAGCTGAGTGTGTTAGGGTCGGAGAGGCGAAGCTCTGAAGCAGATATGAATTTGGTGTAATATGATGAGAACAGAAATAAATACTATCTATGCCATCATGACAGCAGTAAAGTGAAGAAACTCAATTACAACAAATGAGCGCCTTTTGGGTAATTGACAAACCCAGCATTGTGTACTTCAACAGGAATCTCTGTACATATGTTCCGTCGTACGTGCCAATCCGCAGTATGTTTGTATGTACATAGCTGTAACCACCAAACAGCCACGAAGCTGGCAAGGCTAGCCGAGCTCAAGGACAACACACAGCCACCGCCCCACCAGGACTGCCGCATCAACTTCCAGGCTTTGTCAGTTCGGCTAACTGTTGCCTGAAACTCGCTGTATGTATCGTGTACCTCGTCTCCCAAGCCATTCCCACCGTCTATCACCAGTCTACCTGAGTCGATGCGTCTTCTCACACACAACGAAGACGATACACTCGTCATCAAGCACTTTGACGATGAGCCAGTGCCTCCTTATGCGATACTTTCTCACACTTGGGGTGAAGAAAACGAAGAAGTGACATATGCAGACATCAGCAATGGAGTCGGTCAGGGCAAGGCTGGCTACGAAAAAATCCGGTTTTGCGGCGAGCAAGCACGGCACGATGGCCTACAGTACTTCTGGATCGACACATGCTGCATAGACAAAAGCAATAAGTGTGAGCTTGCTTCCAGCATCCGTTCGATGTTTATGTGGTATCGGAACGCAACACGATGTTACGTTTACTTGTCAGATATAATCAGCCCCACTTCAGCGATCAATAGTGATCTCCCTCAGCATTACGAAACACCACCTGATCGTCAGTCACATCAACTCGAATTTTCGAAAAGCAGATGGTTCACGCGATACTGGACATTGCAAGAACTTCTGGCCCCGTCCGAGGTATACTTTTTCACTAAACAGGGAAATGAACTTGGCGATAAGCTGTCGCTGATATCAGACCTATCCCGGATCACAGGCATTCCTAAACCCGCTTTGCAAGGTGCGCCATTGTCTCATTTCACCATCCAGCAGCGCATAGCATGGGGAGAACATCGAAAAGCGACCGAACCGTTAGACAGTGTGTATGCTCTTATGGGCATCCTTGGTGTTAGCGTGTCTCCAATTGATGGGGAGAGCCCAGCAGAAGCGATGCGTCGAGTCGAACGTGAAGTCGACAGGCAAAACAAGTGTATTCAGGACCTACAATCTACCAATCCTTACGATGACAAGACACGTATTGAAGCAACAAAGGGCGGTCTACTAAGCGATTCATACCGCTGGATCATCGACAATAGCACCTTCCAGAAGTGGCAGCAAGATCTTAGCACTCGACTACTCTGGATCAAGGGCGATCCTGGTAAAGGCAAGACGATGCTGATGTGCGGCATACTTAACGAGGTGCAGAAGACTACGAGACACAACAACACAGTCGCGTACTTCTTTTGTCAAGCGACCGATATGCGTATTAACAATGCCGTAGCGGTATTGCGGGGCTTGTTGTACATGCTCGTGATTCATAATCCGTTCTTAACTTCGCATATTCGAAAACGGTACGACCAAGATGGCAAGAAGCTATTCGAGGACGTGAATGCGTGGGTAGCCTTGTCACAGATTTTTGTGGACATGGTATGCGACAAAAACTTGAACACAGCTTACTTATTTGTTGATGCTCTTGATGAATGCATCACAGATTTACACAAGCTTCTGGACCTAATAATTCTTACTACCGCCAAATCGACTCATGTTATGTGGCTGGTGACTAGCCGAAACGAGAGTCACATCGAGCAGAGATTGAAGTCGGTCAGTGACGAGGCTAGGCTGAGCCTAGAACTGAAGCAAAATGCAAGGCAAATCACACAAGCGGTCGAAGGGTATATCGACCACAAGTTGTCTTCACTCGAAACTCTTGAAGAGGGCAGCATACGTGATCAGATTCGAGATGAGATGCGGACGAAGGCCAATGGCACTTTTCTTTGGGTCGCTTTGATGATTCAAGAGCTCGAGAAGCACGACTGTTTCGATCCTTTAGCTGTAGTGAAAACAACTCCAGCAGGCTTAGACCCGTTCTACGATCGAATGCTTGCCCAGATCGAGCAGCAAAAAGGTTCTGCAGATGTTCTCCGGATTCTGCTTTGTACAGTAACAGCTGCGTACCGTCCGCTCTACCTTGCTGAAGCAGGAAGTTTATGTGCACTACCAGGAACGACAAAGATGCACCGAAAAATCATCGCCTCGTGTGGCTCATTCCTCACCATTCGCGGCGAACAAATCTATCTTGTCCATCAGTCAGCAAAAGATTATCTTAACCACAAGATGGAGAACAATTTTCTTCCTTCTCCAACGACTATTCACTATCAGATATTCACTCAGTCTATCAGGCTATTATCAAGTACGCTGAAACGCGATATCTATGCTCTAGAGCAACCAGGAATCTCAATCGACGAAGTGGAAACACCTAGCCCCGATCCTCTCGCGAATATACGTTACTCGTGTGTCTACTGGGTTTTTCACCTTCGCGACTCGGAACTCGGTTTCGCCGGCCACCCCAATGTCCACCACACTGCAACACTTATTGAAGAATTTTTAAGAAAAAACGTCCTTTATTGGTTCGAAACGTTGAGTCTCTGCAGAAGTCTGGACCTATCTAGATCGAAAACCAAATGTCTGCTGTCGGTAGTAGAGGTACGTTACAAACATTCCACATTTTGTGCATGTAAGGTTGGATCGAACTAACACAGGCAGAGATTTGGGCCGACAAATTACCTTTGTTGGCTTGTTATGGACGCATGTCGATTTGAAAGAATGCTTGGAGGGATCATGGGGAAATATCCTCTTCAAACATACGTATCTCTACTACTATTCAGTCCACGTGGTAGTCTGATAACAAAGCTGTTTCCGCACGAGAAGCCAAGAAACATTGTGATCCAGCCATCCATGAATAAGCTTCGTGCTGAGATTCCAAAAAGAGGTGCTAACTCAGTGGTGTTCTCGCCTGATTCGACAAAGCTAGTGTCAATGTCAGAAGACAAGACAGCCACGATCTGGGACACACAGAGTGGGTTGTGCCTGCACACGCTCAGGGGGCACGACAACACTATTCATGCTGTAGCTTTTTCGCCGGACATGAAAAGGCTAGTTTCAATGTCAGGAGACAAGACGGTCAAGATCTGGGACATACACAGTGGGTTCTGCCTGAAGACGCTTACGGGACATACACGCCCCGTTAACTCAGTGGCCTTCTCGTCTTTAGCAAGGCTAGTTTCAGGGTCACGGGACAAAACAGTGAAGATATGGGATACAAATACAGGAGCGTGCGTACGGACGCTGATAGGTCATACCTGCATCGTCAACTCAGTGGTCTTCTCACCTGAATCAACAAAGATAGCGTCAGCTTCATGGGATAAGACAGTCAATGTGTGGGACGCACATACTGGAGCATGCCTACAAACGCTTGTAGGGCATAGACATGTTGCTAGCTTAGTAACCTTTTCGCCTAGTTCCATGAAACTAGCGTCAGCATCCTGGGACAAGACTGTTAAGATATGGGACGCACATAGCGGGGCGCGCCTGGAGACTCTTGAGGGCAACAGTCGCGTCAAATCACTAGCATTCTTGCCAGACGAGCTCTCTATTCAGATCAATGGGAGCAAATTCTGTCTCAACAACTCTGTTGATTTCACCACTAGGAACGCCAATTTTGAACACGCGTACAATGCTAGAGGATACGTCGGTCTGAATCCGGGCTGGATCACACATAACGGAGTGAACTTTGCCTTGATTCCTGAAGAATTCCGCCCTATACGTTCAGTTGTAAAGCATAACAAGATAAGAATATGCTCAAAGTACGGACGAGTGTGGGTATGCACCGTTGGTCATACATAGTTTCTTGGACGACATCCGTTGGGTTATCCCTATGTCTTTTTTTCCCTTTCATTTCATTTTCTTAACTTTGTTCACGAAGATTACGTAGGTGTCCAGATAACTATGTATATAAGCGAGATGTGGTCACATTAAAAAAACAAAGTGTCATTGTGAATCTCGAGGAACCAAACAAGCAAAATATGATGCAGAAATGAGTGATGCACAAGAAGAAAGTTTCCAGAAAACCGACAGTAGTATGTGCCACAGCCTCAATGCGACGACGCTGAGCTTAGCATACATTGCTTGACGCAATGTACGATGCGTACGCAGCGCAGCGCTACTACCACAAGCCGGCGCATCCCAAAAAAGCTACCATGTGCGCGGAGCATAACTAGCTACGCAAAATCAACACTCTGTAACAAAACCCCTCACATCACATTGCTCTTTGACTTTGTATTGCAAAACTCCGGATCCGCATCACAACGACCCAACCGTCACCTAAACATCAAACCTCGATGAGCTTTCCCCACCTAATCATGACGAGTGTATCCCCATAGAAAATTTATACGTTCTTTTTTCTTGCCACAGAGATTTCATCGAGAAAGCCAGCCTCCATGTATGCAAAGACTATGAGCGGATCAGGTTTGTGCAAGCTGGAAGGCGGGAAAGCTTCAAGGGGCTGTGAACGTGGGAATTGTGGTTCTCTTGAGCTTTGGGTGGCCCGCCTCTCTACTCCAAATTTCGGGCCAGAAGATCTGACTAGCGGGAAGCGTCACAATTGGTAGTTTATGCTTCGTCATTGGCTAGCTTCCATCGTGACTGTGAGACTAGTAGTGGCTGTTTGGCTTGTAGCTGTGCACCCGACTGTCAGCGCAAGGGCATACTAGCTGATGCATGTTTGTGCTTCGGCATTGATTACTTTACACAGTATGATAATGATGATATCTTCTGTCAATCAGATTTAATCATTCTGAGTTTCCGCAGTACCTCAATCTTATCGAACCTGCTGTATGTATTTGTCTATATCGCTGATTAAGATGTGTGTGTGTGTGTGTGCACGCGCAGCATGAAGTGGGAGTAATGCGCTAGAGCCAGCCACCTAAGCAGTGAGACGCCTCCTCCTAATCCTTCACACCACCTGGCTGGATGTGAGTCTCTTCAAATGTCTCAATCAGATGCTTCAGTCCAGTTTTCTCCGGATCGTCGCTAAGGTTGATAATGGGAATTGGCCAGTGACTGTACGGCCTTGACATAAGTTCGAATCAGTTGCAGCGTCTGTGGCTTTATGACACTGTAAAGTTGAATACCAAGCGATGTAGCGATATGGATATTCTGGGCCTGGCTTTCGAGAGCCTTCGCGCACAAAATTATTGTTGGCCGATAGCCATCCAAGTTGGCAGGATCTTCGCCTGGACCTCCTTCTAAGAGCCTGTTGGCATCGTTGCCAAGCCTAGTTATTGCGGGGATGAGCCATGGATCGTAGTGAACGAAGCTGTGCCGCATATAGTACAGGCGTATCAAGGACTCGAGCATGATCTCGGAGGCACGCATGATCGCATATGGAGTCTCCACTACACCGAGACCGTAATCGGTACCCTTGTTACTGGAGTTCGCAAGCAGTAATTGCATCAAAGCTATTATTGTTTGGTAATACTGGATAATGCAATGGCATTGGTAGTACATTGATTACGATGCAAGTCAGCCTCCACAAGTGTCAAATTAGGCAACAAACAGAGAACATGAAGGACACTCAAGGTCCAAAGCACGAACCCGAGGACAGAGGAAGTGATGGAAGCGGGCAGAGTATTGAACTTACTAGAGTGAGAAATGCAAAGGCATTACAAGTCTCTCTGGCTGCAAGATATCCGGCTGCGCTTCTTCCCAGGCATCAAGTTTTCGCTCAAAAGCAAGGATCTCACTGGTGTTCAGTGACCGTCGTGATCTTCCAAAACACAAACATCCTAGCTCGTTAATGACAGTAGAGAGCCTAGCCTCGGCTCTCATGTAGTATCTGAGATTGAGCGGAGTCAAGTTCTGGTCATGTGGATATTGTACCCAGATCTCCCCGTACTATTATAGTTCTCGTTCTATGTCTAGTACAGATGTTTGTAAGGGATCTTTTATGTGTAGTTCTCGAAAGTAAGAATAGTCGAACATCGTCTGCCATGAGAATACCTTCCATGCAGTGAATAAACGCGCTTCAGCCATCTTTGGATCTTCTTCGGGGTTGCTGGCGTCAAACAAATGCATGTGGTGGCCCATTGTTACGGCTTGCTCAAGAAAGAATGTGCTGAGTTCGTCCAGACTGTTGAAGGCATAGGTCATGCTTAGTACCAATGCTGCTTGTATTGTGGTGATCTGGGGTTTTCCTGTCAATTCCACATCCCATATTCTTCTTGCTTCTGCTAGGAATTTATAGGTGAGAGATTCTGGATGCCCACATCTTGACTCGATCTGGAATGTCAATGCGCATTTGCTAAGTCTTGTCTTAGTAAAAATGTGTGCCAATAGGGACAAAAGGCTCTTAGACTTGCGATAGATAGGAGAGCGTTCACCAGAAGCGGTGAAAAGAACAAAGTTCCACCTGCTGCCATGTCTTCTAGGAACAGGTCCTTGTGCACTAAAGGGGCGCACGGGTACTGGCCAGTGAAGTAGAGGAAGATGAGCCGTATTAGCAAACGATTGTCAGAAATTACTATTGTCCATGGTGTCATTGTGATCTTATCTATTAGTGGCTCGACCATTTTCGCAGTGTGATAAGGCATCGTATACGCGCTTCCATATCTGGCAGTGAGCTGCTTATTTTCGGCGTGAGTGTAGGCTGGGGATGATGAGACAAGCTTGTAGAGGCACGAACTCATGTACGAACTATCTCTGACAAACAAGCAACTAGGCATCTTGGTCATGTACGGGGATTCATATTGAGAAAAAGTTTCTGGTATGAGCGACAGTTGCAAAAGCAAATTCCCATCTCGTACATGCTTCACGATGGAGTCAATGTTGGTACCAGCCTTCAGAAGACGAAAGACCTCTACAGCGTCTTGTTCTGTCATTGTTCTTAGGAACCCAATGAAGTCTTCGTACGTGGATTGCTGTTGCTGCAAGTGTCCGTGCTTCTTCCAAATCTGGCGCGTTTCTGTTGGCGTATAGTAGTCGCAGGTTGAGTTACGCTTGACACAAGCAGTACAAGTAGGCTTGCCATCACACTAGGTTTGTTAGCACGCTGTGAGTATCGCATGCAAGGTCGCCGGTAGTCAAATACATACTCTTGACTTGTGTCGGCGGCAACTCTGACAGGCCACTACTATTTGCCGTCTCTTCGGATGATCCTCTACTGGTAGAGTCCTCCGAGGCCGTACAGCGGGTAAAATTGGTCGAAAAGGGGTCATAGTGCGCATGTTCACCTAGTTATAGCCATGAACAGGCCGCGGAGAACTGTATGTTGATTATATGCATAAGCTTTCAGTAACCTTCGAAGAAAATCTGGAAAGCTATCCAGAGGTAGCAGCGATAAGGAACTTCATGGCGATTATTGATGGCGTAATATGGGGCCGCGGAGTTCAGCTCCTACCCAATTAAGTACCGCTAGACGATGTACTTGCTCACAAAAAAGCAATCCGAGCTGACCGAGCGTGATACGTTCTCATATTTGTGGCTGGATAATTGCTATAATGAAGACTATTTTGTGTTGCTTATTGCGCAGGGCAAAAGAGAGGAGAATTGCTCCTGAGTGAGCTAAGTGATGATTCAGGCTTTATCCCCTACGTAGCCAATCAACAACAATCACTATGTTGACCCCAGTTTTTCCTTCACTATCCTTGCTAAGGCAATTCAACTATCATAGACTCTCACATCTAATGACATCACTCCGGACATGTACGTTTGTGTAAGACCTGAGCAACGTCGCTACCAAGACAACATGTTGATAATTATAGGAGGTGCAAGCATCTTTTGACGGAACTCCATAATTGACTCTTCGATCCCTATCCGCTGCGAGTTACAGCTGCGCAGAGGGCAGCTGAAAATTGATTGGGAACAAACCAACCAGCCAATGCTTGAGTTTGATTCTCCACCATAGAAGTGTCAGTAAATGTATTATTTCTAGGCTCACAATGTCTCAGCTGGATCATGAAAGCGTACCACCTCTTGCCTAACGTTACTAGCGTGCTGAGGCTGCTGCTTGATGTGGTGGATACTTACACCTTTCAGGGTTGCTAGTTTAGACCGCTGCGCTAAAGAGTAAATTCAGGTCGTTGATGATCTTGCTTATTACCTTGAGGCAGCTCGCTTGTTCGGAGGCATGGCGATGACCGTAGTACTAGTTCACTCGAGGCACATCTGGCGATATTGCCCCTAGTTCTCCAAGACATACGATGCTCAAGTAGGAAATCTCTTTTTCTGGACAGTGTTTCTCTTCCCACGTCATGGAAGAGGGGGGGAGGGGACTGTACTAATCTCCACGTACCCTCCCACCGATCCCCAAAACAGTAGACCCTATTACACGCACTGTGAACCAACGACGTCAAGCCATGTATCACCACATCTTTCCCAACCCAAATCCCATAAAAAGCAAACATCAAATAGAATTTCACCAACTGTCCCTTGTTGAATTTGCATCAGTGATAATCAGCTAATCCGCGCGCACTCAAACCACAGATCCCAACAACAAATAGCGATAGTAAATCGGGTACGGGAACCCCGTGATTCGTCGAGCTAAACGTCGGTACAACCGCACATCAAAAAAGGGGTTTGAGGGAAGATAAGGGTGGTAAGAGAGAAGAAAGAGAGTAAAAAAACAAGATATACGCATTGGTTAAGGGGGAGTGTAGAAAACCCGTGAGACCCGCATCCTTTTTTATATACGCGAGGGAGGGGGCGGGGCCCTTTTCTTAGGGTTATAAACGACTGAGACAGGGTTTGAGGAAAGGGGGAGGGAGGCTGAGAGAAGATAGAACGGGTGATAAAGAGTGAGATACAAGTTGTGTCAAAGTACGAGAGGAGAGAGAAAGAGAGGCGTGATTGAAAAGGGGAAGGTCCAGGTAAAACAGTGGGGAGAAGAGGAAGAAGAAGCCATGGCAACCCGAAGCATAGAAGAGCAGCAGGAAAGCAAGCGACGCCGCTTTTGCCGGTACATATCTCAGATGCTGTGTTTCGCAAGTTGGGATCCAGCACGGGTACTACACCGGGATGAATTCGACTGTTTCGTCGGGCACTGAAAAATATTCCCACAGAGGAGGAGGAGGAGGAGGAGGAGGAGGAGGAGGAGGAGTAGGCAACCAAGCACCAAAGCAACCCTCACTTCATCATCTCTCGAATCGTAACCTCAACCGGTACCGGCGTCCTCCCGGCCTCGCTCAACAACCCCTCAAGCGTCCCATCCTCAACCGCACACTCCCCCCGCTCCAGCGCTTCATACGTGCTACTCCACCACTCGACGGCCGCCCTCTCCATGCCCATCTCCCGCACATAATACAACTCAAACTCTCTCCTCGCCACAACCTTCAACCCCACCTCCTCGCCCCTAACCTCTCCCACCACCCTTGCCACATCCCCCAACGACCTCCTCACCCTCTGACACAAATAAAACGTCTTGCCCACCCACCTCTGCGGCTCCCCCGCCAGCACCTTTGCCGTCGCAAACCCCAAATCCGCAATCGCCGTCCAACTGACCTCGCCGTCCCCAGCCACCACCACCTCGGTCCTCTTCTCCGCGCCAAGCCCAAAGTAATACCCAAGATACAGCGGCCAACTCTCGCTGTACAGCCCCTCGCGCATCACCGTCGTACCCACAACCCCGCGCTGCTGCAGGTCTTCGAGATACGCCTCGGTGCGGACATGTGCGCGCATGACGGCCGCGCATGACGGCCGCGCAAACGCGAGAGACGTGTAGTAAATGTGCGTGACGCCCGCGGCGACGGCGGCGTCGATGGCGGCCCGGTGGTGCGCTTCGCGGCCGGTCCAGAGCGGTGCGGAGTCGTAGTCCATGGCGATTGCGGGTGTGGAGACGAGGAAGAGGCGTGTGCAGCCGGCGTATGCGGTGCCGAGTGAGGCTGGGTCGGAGAAGTCTGCGTGTCGGATTGTGAGGGAGTGGGCGTGGAGGTGCGAGAGGCGGTGGGAGGAGGGCGAAGTAGAAGTCTGTTTTAGAAAAAGAGAAAAGTGTTAGTTAGGTAGGTTAAGTCTAGAAGATAGAGAAAGAGATATAGTAGATGGGTCCTTTGGAGCGAGGGGATGAGAAGAGAGAGAGAGACTTACACAGACGACAAGCTCCTTTGGGTCAATGAGTTTATGCTCGAGAATAGCGTTGAGGACTGCGCCGCCCAACTTTCCAGTGGCACTTGTTAGAGCCAGCATGTTGGTGTAGTTGCTATTTACAAAATTCGACAATGTCTTCTCAGTATTATACAAATGTCCTCGCTCTCTTCCTTTTCTCTTTTCCTTGTCCTTCTTTTGGAAATCACCTTTTTTTTCCACCGTCGATTTCTACTTTGATACGCGCTTGATGGTTGTTGTTGCTTCTCTGAAAAGAAATAGCATTTGTCATCTGGACATACAACTTGGAGCCATGACGTCTAGTGATAATCAAGGGTCCACAATCTACGGCACTTCGAAATAAGAAAAAACCAGTGGGGCTCGGACATTACTTAGCTGCATAAAACCCGAAATTGCTTCTGTAACTGGTGGTCCTTGATTTGCCTAGACACCAAGAATAACACTGATGTGCGCTTCTCAAACGGTAAAATATGCATTTACACAAAGTCCTCGATATCAACATTTCGCTATATATGTGACCTCTTATATGCAAAATCCGCCTTCTTCACTCTTCCTTTCTCCCTGTAATCAAAACCTAAAACCGGTGGGGGGGATGTGCCGCTCCCAGAAAGTTGCCCGAGACAAAAGAAACGCCGATAATGATGCTTGTTGAAATTCCCAACCCAGCTTATATACCCGCTGGTTTTAAATGACCGTAGATATTTGTCGTTAGATGCAAAGAAATGTAAAAGAACAAAAAAAAACAGTGCTTCGGTATTAGAAGCCTTTATGCATAGCGCACACTGCTCCGATGTACTGGCGGTGGCATTGGAACATTTCCGTCGGTTGCATTCCCATTCGGTGTCCAATGGCCTGGTTGCGGTCCACTTGGTGGATATTGGTTGCGACTGTTATTATATTGAGTCATTTGTGGTTGGGCGATAGGGTCGTTCCTGTGCCTTCTGCTCTGGCTGCCATGCTGGTTGCTCTGGTAGGGCATCGGGGGTGGTCGAGCAGCGGCGTACTTCTTGAGTCTTGATCGGCGACGGTAGGAGCGCAAGCAGCAGCAGAAAATGCATAGGAGAAGTGCACCACCAACTCCTGCAGCAATGCCAATGACGAGGGAGAGATTGCGTTGAATCCAGGTAGTTATTTCTTTGCCGACAGAGCCGCCTTGGCAAACACCCTAGAGACTGTTAGTGATTGAAGAAAACAAATAAATGACTTGACATACGTTTTGACATGTGCCTCCTCCTGTACAGCTGGTGCCATCCAGGAAGTTTTGTTGTAGTCCATAACATCTGGCACCAAACTCTGGGCTCGCACAGCTGAGCATGCAGTTGCTGTTGTCACAAGCATAGGTATCGTTTCCTTGGGTGTAGCTTCCCATGATAGTCTTACACTGCATGTCTCTGCTTGTGCATTGGCCAGAGGCACAGGTGAGGCCATTGCCGCAGTCGGTACCATCGGGCTTTGTCTTGTCCTCGGGGCAGTAGGGTGAAGTTCCAGTGCACGTCTCCTCGGGATCGCACGTGCCGACTGAAGCGCGGCAGACTGTGCTGGCTGAGGCGAACTGGCAGTTGCGGCAACAGTCTTCGTTGGAATCGTCGCACACGGCGTTGTTGATGAACTTGCAAGTTTGCGGGTTGCAGCAAGCATTGTCCTTGCAGCCTGAAACGCCACCGCAATCACACTCCTCGTCGCCTTCGACAATACCATTGCCGCAGGTTGGTCCAGATAGCAGGGTGACATCGCGGTTGTTGGTGAGACATTGAGATTTGACGCTATTACGGCCAAGCGCTGAGCAAATATTGCCAATAGTGCAAGGGGAGAAGCGTGAAATACCGTCCTTTGTCGAGGGATTCATGATGAAACCACCATTTGCGTCGCAAGAGCTCTGAGTAAAGGGACAACATTGTTGCGCATTGACAACATCTTGGTTGGCGCATGTTTGTGATGTGCAGTCGTGTACGGCACCGTAGGTATGGCCTGTTTCGTGGGCAATGACTTCCCATTCGTTGTCGGTCCTGATGACTACGTTGGCGCCGGCAACTGTCTCGCCAGCTTGTCCGCTGTTGTCTTGAGAGCCTGCTGTGCAAGCTTGTCCGAGCCAGGCGAGTCCGACGGCGGATCCAGTGTTGCAGGTTGACAAAAGGGTCCAGTGAGAGTAGTTGTCACTTTGCTGCCCTCTCCACTTGGAGAACTCGTTCAGACGGTCTTGAATGGTGATGCTGTTACTGCAGGCCTGGTTCCAGGGCGTGGCTTGTTGTTGCTGTGTCGGGCAGTCGGGTTCCGTGATGAGGAGATTGGCGACACCAAGTGAAATGTTAAAGGAGCTCTCAAAAACCTCCGAAGCAGAGTTCATTGCGGCGATGATGTTGGATTGCGTCTTGTTCTTGTCTCCGTTAAAAGACGTTACATAGGTGCAGTCGGCAGCTACGCCGACAAGCGCAACCTTGCGGGTACTGGGGCAGCCGGCAGTCTTGCCAATGGTGGACGAGAGATCAACACCCGCACCATTGCCTCCGGGCTGTAGGTCATCCTGTCGCTTGAACATGGCGGTGATGAGAGATGGCGACATGGCCGACGACTCGTCTCGCGCGCGCATGCTGGCAAAGACAGGGTGGTCTTCCTGCGTGTTGAAACTAAGGTCGTCGGACGGACATCCAACTTCCTTTGATCGCTTCTTGAGTTCCATGTTCTCATCCGAATTCCTGCCCTTTCCCATGTCCGAGTCGCGGAACACAACCATGAACTCCTTGGGACGCAAATCGACATCGGGATCTTCGGCCATGCGCGTGGCCTTGTAGCTCGAAGCCATCTTGACATGGTGGTGGTCGTGGTTGATAGAAAAAGTGCCTTCGAACAGCGGTTCCAGACCGTCCTCGCGTAAGCCAATGCGCGCCCAACCGACATTGTCCCATCGGTTACCCCTCTTCAGCCACGCCCTGCCCTTGTAAACTTTGTGTTGCAACCGATCAATCGGTTCGGACCTTGCTATTGAGCCGTCTGCGTTGAGGTGTGTGATGCGTCCGCCGTCCACAAACAGGTCGTGGTTAGGCTCGAGGCTCAGGCGGATGCGCTGGCCCGACACGTCGAAGGCAAGGTCGAACGAGGACACGGCGGTCACCCGATGTGTCTGTGTGAGGATGTCTGCATTTTTGACGAGGGCAATTCTCTGCAGCGGCTCGCGGGCGCGCGAGGCAGCGGAAGCGACCGTGGCGAGGCCGATGACGAGGGCAGCCTGGAGACTGCCAAAGAGGCGCATTCTCGCTCGGGTGGCGGTGCTCTCCGTTCAGGAGGTGGGCGAGGGGCGCAAAAGGGGAGGATAAACAACAAAGAGGAGCAGGGCGGATATCAGGACAACGCAGCGAGAGACATGGGTGGGCAAAAAAGCGACGATGGGCTATGGACAAACACTCGCAACGAGGCAAAAGGGCTATTACTGAGCAAAACGAAGGCTCGGCGGACAGCGGAGAGTCGTAATCGCTGTGCACAGCCCCCTGCCAGCCACCGTCTTGGCAGCCGGCAGCCGGAAGCAGAGGGGGCCTGGGCGCGACACGGATGAAACTATGTAAGTACTGATGGCAGCGATGCTCGTCCCTCTATACGCGGGCATGCGGCTATGCGGCTGAACCTTGTGCACAACGACAACGCTGGTTGACATGCCGCCGAGGACCCTCCCCCCTTTCCTGTCTGTCGGCCACGCAGCGCCAGCGTGCTCCGGCGGCCTGTCAGGCTGGCGGTGGACCACCAAAACATGCTGCGTATTGCTCACATCCATAGTACATGATTACCGACTAAGGACTCGACATGCATGCACGCATACCTGAGACATGGCACAACCGCCCAAACAGCACCTTTCCTGTCCCTCTCCCCGCGCATACCGCACCCGTCTCACCATGGAAACGCCTGCCCTCGGCCCATCTTGCCCTATACCAATACCAACTAGCCTACTTTGTGCTCCGCCGCTATCCCACTTGCACACCCACCCTTGGCCACCCTGCTCGCTGGTTGGCCGCCCTCTGCCGACTTCCCCACTGAACTCCCAACTGTTGCCCTCTCAACCACTGACAGGCCTCTGGCAGCCCTTGCCAAGTCGAGCCGGCTATTTCTTCTTCGCCTGGTGCACAATGTCGATGATCTTGTCGACTATCGACGGATCCGAGAGCTGTCCCACATGATTAGCCCGCTTGCCACAACAATACGCGTCCTCGTCATCACCATGCAAAAATGCTTGGCCGCATCCTGTCTAGACTTACCGTTGTGATGTCGCCCAGCTGGTCCTCCTCTCCAGCCAAGATCTTGCGCATGATGCGACGCATAATCTTGCCCGATCGTGTCTTGGGCAGGTCCGGCACTACAAAAATCGCCTTTGGTGCGGCAAACGGCCCAATCGACTTGCGCACTTGCATCACCAAATCCTTCTTAACCTGATCACTAGTCTCGGCACCGTCCTTGAGCGCCACAAACGCGTTGACGGCTTGGCCTGTCAACTCGTCATGGATCCCCACAACTGCCGCCTCAGCCACTTGATCTGCGTGATCGTTAGCCACGTGCATGTACCACCCTGTCTCTACGCTGCAGCTTACGGTGCTCAATAAGCGCAGCTTCAATTTCTGCTGTAGACAGCCGGTGTCCCGATACATTGACAACGTCGTCGACGCGTCCCCGGATCCAGTAGTAGCCCTCGTGGTCTCGTCCCGCACCGTCCCCAGTGAACTGCCCTCGTTAGCCCATGTTAGAATACTCGGCATTTTTTTTTCTTAGACTCACGTAGTAGCCCCTGTAGACCGTCAGATATGTCTCCATGTACCGCCGGTGTGCTCCCCAGACTGTGCGTGCCATGCTGGGCCATGGCTGCTTGAAGGCTAATACACCCTCAACGTCGTTGCCGTGGATCTCCTCGCCCGAGACCGGGTCAATAATCGCAGGCTCAATTCCAAAGAATGGGAGAGATGCTGATCCGGGCTTGGTGGGCGTGATACCTCCCAGTGGCGTAATGACGTGAGAGCCAGTCTCGGTTTGCCAATAGGTCTGTCAAACAATCAGCACATCATCCCCCGGATATATACTGGATCAAAACTCACGTCAACAACATGCGCCTCCTCCTTGCCAACAACCTCAAAGTACCACTTCCACACCTCAGCCGCAATCGGCTCACCGACAGAACCAAGCACTCTGAGTTTCTTCATGTCATGCTTGACGTGCTCGTCACCCGCACGCTTGAGCAGCCGCAGCGCGGTCGGCGCAACATAGAACTGGGTGACATTATGCTTGGCAACAATGTCCCAGTACCGTGAGAAGTTGGGATAAGCAGGCGTGCCCTCGAAAACAACAGTGGCTACACCCAGTAGCAAAGGCGCATATACGACATATGTGTGGCCCGTGATCCAGCCTACATCACCACCGCAGAAGAAGACGTCGTTGTCGTGAATATCAAAGACGTACTTTCCAGTCGCCGCAGCTCCGAGAAGGTAGCCACCCGTTGTGTGCATGACACCCTTGGGCTTGCCAGTAGAACCAGATGTGTAGAGCAAGAAAAGGGGGTCTTCCGAGTTCATTGGCTCTGGTGCAATGTAGCTGGGCCACTTGTCCACCTCTTCGTGCCACCACCAGTCCCGGCCCTTTGTCCAGGGCACTTCGGCGCCGGTGCGCTTGTAAACCAAGCAGTGGGTGATGCCGGGGCATTGCTTGAGAGCATCGTCGACAATCTTCTTGGTGCTGATGGTCTTGCCACCGCGCTTGCCCTCGTCGGTGGTGATGACAACCTTGCACTCGGCATCGTTGATACGGTCGCGCAGGGAATCAGACGAAAAGCCAGCAAACACGACAGAGTGGATGGCACCAATACGTGTGCATGCCAAGAAGGAAATGACTGCCTCGGGAATCATAGGCAGGTAGAGAGCGACAGTGTCGCCTTTTCGTACACCCATCTCCTTGAGTGTAAAGGCTAGCTTGGAGACCTGGCGGAGCAGTTCTCCGTATGTGATGATGCGTCCATCGCCCTCGTCATCAGCCTCGTAGATGATGGCGGGCTTGTTGGGGTCCTTGAAGGCATGGCGGTCCACACAGTTGTAGCTGGCATTCAGCCTGCCCTCTACGAACCACGCATTGTCGCCGTGCTCAAAGCCGCCCGAGTGTACCGTCTCAAAGTCGCGCTCCCACGTGAGCAGCTCGCGTGCTAGCCTGCCCCAGAAGACCTTTGGGTTGGTAATCGACTCCTTGTACAGCTTCTGGTATTCCTCCAGGTTTGCAAGGTGCGGCTTCGAATGCGGATGCTTGCTGTTCACGACAAAATAATGACACTTGTCAGCTGCTGTTTCAATTGCTCTCATTCACACAACAGGACAATTGCGCGCGCCTCCATTCGGCCAAACGCTCGGCGCCGCGGGGTCACCCCGCCCACCTCGTGAGCTTTGGAGCTTGGGTTGAACGCCGCAGCTGTCATTGTCTTGGTACATGATGTAACGACCAAGTAAATGTTGCACTCACTCGAAAAACGCCTTGGGGACGTGGAAGGTGTCGACCTCATGGGCCTCAGCCACGACTGGCGCCGGCGGCTTGACGTTTCCTTCGGACATGGTGTCTTTTTTTTTTCCTTGCAGACGGGAATGTGACCTTTGGGCGAGGGTGGGGGGAGGGGAACAAGAGGAGCCCAGCTTCGGCGCGCTGCAATTTCGCGACGAGGATGCTCTAGAGCGTCACAAAGGAGGGTTTACGAGCCGCGGGCGAGAGTGGGAACGTGTAGGCTCCAACAGATATATGTAGTATATGTCTCAATACCGGGTAAAGGGGTCGGCGAATATGTGCGATGACCTGCGGCAGGGGGCCCCCAATTGAAGCTGCTTGCTGAATCTTCCGGAAACCGAGCTCGCAAAGCAAAGTGGAGCTGGCTGCGCGCGTCTCTTTGTAGTCGGCCTGTCTACGAATGAGGCAGCTGGAGTGGGTTACCGACAAGAAGGGAAGAAAGGGTTGTTTACAACAGGACGTAGCCGATGGGCGAACGGCTCGACTTATGAAGACCTACCTACCTTTTTCCCACGGCTACCTCAGGTGCTGCTGTACCCCTCGCGTGTGCCCACTCGCGCGGGGACATGGAATATGACGAAGAACCCAATGCTTGTCTTTGGCTGGGCCCACCCTCCTTTGGTGGGCACCATGAACCAATGCGGATAGCAGCAGCCACGCCTGGTGCCGCCTCCGTTGCTCCGGATTACTAGTCCAGTGCGCCTGTAACCCTACCACCCAGTCAGACCATTTCCTCGTGCCGATCTCGCCCTCTTGTCTGTTCTGAATCTCTTCCACTGGGCCACCAGGCCCGTGCCGTATTCACCATTGCGTAGATGGGTATCCTGACATGCCATCCCTCGGGTGCAGGGAGCTTTCTTTCGAGGGCCCGATATGCGGCTCGTAAGAGCAGGGCATCTCCGGGTAGACCGCCCGCCCGCGGACTCACATTACAAGAGATACATGTCGCTATAGATGCATACTTTTGGAACACATCTCATTGGTCGCTTTTTTAGTGCCACGAGCGCGGCTTAGCGTACTTGGTGGTACTTTTGTCTGGAGCGTGACCGGATAATAGATACGCAGCTCGGCTTGAGAGAGGCCGAGTTTACTCTTGTAAAAAAGGATCGTGGTATAAGAGTGCCCGCTTGCAATGCAGCTAGAACAAAAGTACCGCATTTGAAAATGGCAGCTTGTGGAGCTGATCGCATGTACCTCCCTGAACAAACGGGGCTCGAGCATGCGATGCGACAGGCATCAGCCTTTGCGCCCCTTCGGACGTGGGGAAGGGACCAGCCATTTCCCGAGGCAAAAGGTGCCGGCAATTCTTACATGCTCCACGCCCAGTCGTGCCTATGGGCGCTTATGCCAACTGTTCTCTTGGGTGGAGACTGCTTCAACCGACACATGTTTGGCGTCTATTGCGACCAAAAAAAAACTTCGCCATGTGCAGTAGGAGTAGTGTGGGCTAAGCTTTCACCACACGTGTGAGCAATTCATCGAGGCTCGTATTCGTCGCCGCCCACTCGGCTCGAATTGGCCGATTGCTCGTAGGAGCGCATGGCAATATATTACACCTACGCCATCTCACAGTATGGTTGGGCGTGCGGCAAAACATACAAATCCTGGTGCCAACGTCTACGCATCGAGGCATCCATACATCCGTCGTCATAGCGACTGGCGCTCCATTCTAGTCACTACTACACAGCATTGGCTGACGTTTGCCGGTGTCTAGGCGCGCAGGACTGTATACCTTGAGTAGCCAATGAGAGACAGGGGCCCAGCATTGGCGGTACCGAGTTGTATACGCGAAACCCTGCAGAACTGTCTCAAGTATCTTCACTTGGCGGTAGTCAACGTGATCTCGTACACCGTTCCAGGTCAAAGGAGAAGCATTGGCAATGGAGCGTAATGGGATCCATATGTTTAGTCTACATACCCACAACTGCGCCTTCCACTACCCTCGTTTCCTGCTCATCATCGCCAGTTGCGTGTGTGCGCCTTACCAGTCCTGGACTAACAAGTACTCCTCTTCTACCAGCTCCGCCCCATTCAAACTCATATACATATGGCTGTCCAAACAACCATATGCTTATCTCTCGTGCTTCTATAATAATAGATGTAAGGTCTTCGTCTTTTTGCTGGTCACTACATGTGGGATTGGCCCAAGGGAAAAACGTCATGGAAAAGTGTTCAGCAGCTTCGCGAGCGCTGGATTGAATCGCCCACGATTGAGCCGACTCGGGTGTACCAGATGTACTGGTGTAAAGGTACACCGAGGTTCGTTTCAGTAAAGAGGCTGCTGCCGCCACGCCTGGGTCTATGTCAAGTGTTAGTGATAGTCGCCGAGAGACTCGAGGATAAACATGACGTACCGGAGCTGCTGCTGTGCCTCTCCGACTTTATACTACCAAGTTCTTCGGGGAATAATGTCCCCGTGTGTTCTTCATCCTTTTTCGAACTCGTTATGGCCATTACATACGACACGAGTGCATGCTTGAGCGCAGTAGTCGGGTTCGAGCACTCTTGCAACATTTCCGTCATATTGACGCCCTTTGCTCCAAAACTAGCAATCCCAGATTCCATGCTCGGTGTGATGCTGGCATGAATGTCGCGATAGTTTCGCTCTACATGCTCATGCATCTTCTCAAACAGCGCGGATACCCTATCACACACCTCGCTGTCTCGTGCAACAGGCGGCAAGAAACCAGCCATATCCGTATGTGTTGTGTGATCCATATTTACCGGAGCTGGGATCGCGGGTGGAATGGGTCGTCGAGCTAGCATTGGTGTCTGAGGCACCTGTACGTAAGGGCTATGCATGTCTCCTAAGCTGCCAACGCTCTTTTGAACCATGGTAAACTCAGGCACCGAATCTCCATAACCCTGGTATCCCCTTTCACCAATGTTGCCATTCTGCTGCCTTTTCCGTCGCTTGAAAAGGAAGAATGCAGCAATAAATGCGAGTCCTGCACCTATAAATAGAGTCCCGACTGCGATGCCCACTACTTCTCCTGTCGTGAGTCCGCTGTTATCGTGTGCTGGTCCTTCCACACTTCCTGCTGTCACCAAGCTTGGCTCTGAGCTGACTACAGTTGTCGATAGAGTAGGATCTACACTTTGACTTGGATATATCGTAGATGTTATGATGTCGGAAGTTTGTATAGTTGTTGGGTTGCTTCCTCCAAGGCCATTGGTTTCAACTGCAAGTGCAGGGTCATCAGTAGTCCTCGGCAACACCTCAGGTGTGTCGGGTTTCAATGCCGCTCCTCCTGCTATACCCAAATTACATCCAGGTATATCGTTTTGTCCATCGCATTCTTGAGGAGCTGCCTCTCGACCATGTGGATGAGGTCCCGGTACATTGTCGAGGCTCCGAACTTTTCGAAGTACCATCTCCACGAAGTCCACAATAGATAGTGGAGGGAGTAACAAAAAATAAAAAGAATATGGAGAAAAAAAATCAAGAGGAGACGTAAAATCTTCCGAACCGAGGCGAGCTGACAATAAGACTTACCATGCCTGGTATGAGGCATCCAGCTCAGCCTCGCATGATCCAGCGGCAAGCGGAGACTGACCCATCCACCTGGAACTCTTTATTGCTTACTGTTCCACGGCTTTCACGACTGACAATGCCGCAAAATGCGAACGCTTTACCGGTATAGTGCTGATGGCCCCATCGAGTTTGACCACACATGACCAGTGTTAATACGACGAGCTGGAGTTCAATGTTGCGCTAGTAATGTGGGGTTGGGGGCCTTTTCTGAACGCGGTATAAACATGGCTACGCCGCCCTGTCTGCACAGCCTCTGTAAGCGTGATTGCGGACAGCATACTTACCGGACTTGGTATCACACATCGAATCACCGATAGAGAATATTGATCAAGAGGGGTGTTTGGGTTATCTGGTGTTATCTGAAGTTAAACTCAATGTAGTCTAGCGCCCTCTTTGCGTTTGGGGAAACCTTCAGTCAGCTCCACTGCTACTACTACTAGTACAGCCATCTCAGCTCGTGCAAGATGCATACGTTGCACTCACAAGTCTAATAGCGCTACAAATACAGACCTGCCCTCGTGTTTTTCCCACTCGCTGCTATCCTCAAAGTCTTACCAAACCGTTACACAAAGGGCATCCTGCGCTCTTTGTTTTTCCTGCGCCTTGCAGAAACGTAGGCACTAGCCAGGTCTACTATAAATAGCACAGCGAAGCCACTGCATCTGTCTTTTTAAATGAAAAATGACTCGGGGTGACGTATTAGCTGTAATAGAGTTTGGCCGAGATAGTGAAACCTATGAACCTATCGGAACAATTTATCACGCCCTAGACGGATTGTGAAATCGTAGTAAGGACTTGACCCTATTTTGTACTTGTGCTTAGTATTACGCACCGTGTCATCATGCACAAGTTTTCTGAACCAACACAAGTGTCATAACCCTTTCTCTATAGAACAGATCACGATTCTTCTGCTTACACACGTGCATCTGAGATTTTCATTGGCCATGTCGCAATGTCTGGTTCCGAGCAGCCCGTTACCCATTAGACAAGAGTGACAGCCAGCTTACAACGACATCTGCTCAACCAACTAAGCACCACACAGCAGTGGTTAGCAAAGAACAACGTGTAGATACCAACAACAGGTGGTCGTCTTTTGAGATTTTCGTACGTAGAACTGCGTAGGGCTTTCTCGTCCTGCTAACGCAAGTATAGCACTGTAATATGAGCTCATAATGTCTTCACAGTACATGATATCAACAACTACTATTGCCAACGCCTCTTTGATTACACTCAAACCCTATGCATTGGCTCAACAAGCATCCAAACTTACAAGTACAATCTCCCAAGAACCAAACACTACATGTACATCTCTAGTTGAACTTCACGCTACCTATTTACCGACCAAAAAAAACCATTACCAACCCATCTCCACATATACACGCACACGCATCCTCAATAAATACACATCTATAAATACTCTCTGAATTCCCTTCACAAGACATAAATAGAAACAATCCAAAACAACCGCGCCAGAGTACCGCATCCATCTCACTTCAGACTCACAAAAGAAAATGACAGACTCCAAACTCCTCGACAAAACAAAACAAGCCCTTTGACCCCGAAGATCTCCTTGCCCTCCTCTTCATCGACCTCTTCCTCCTCATGCTCTTCTTTCTCGCCTTCGCACTGCTGGCCATGAAACTATTCTCACTCACATATATGCTCGTAAAACAATCTACCTCTAAAACTCCTGTTTCTGGTTTTGACATTTTTCTTTTATCTTCCAACTCTTATTATATTGTAATTGGGGGGTGGTAGGGGTTTGGAGGGAGCTGGTGCTGACGAAAAGTGGTTAGGCAAGAATGAAGCATTGTTGTATCGCCGACTTCGAGAGATTGAAGAAGCATGGGCTTAGCTTAGAGAGGCGCCTTCGTCGTCTGAGGAACAAGGGGAGAAGGTGTAGTGATTGGATGGAGAGAAAGAGTGGATTGGACTGATGTTTCGCATGGTTGAACAACTTGTTGACGATTAGGATGTTTTGGGGGGTCGTTCTTGTGCTCTTTTGTTAATGAGAGAGGGGGGAGGGGGGGAGGGATGAATTTCGTGATGGACTAGGGGTCTTGAGATCTTTGGAGCAGTTGTCATTACCTACGGACTATCTGCACAATCAAACTCGCTTTATTCGTGTGATATCTAAATAACCCCACAAATCCTACCCATCTACTCAGTATGCTTCCTCTTGTCTTCATCCTTGTAGTCGCCCGATTGTTGCTTCGCTGCTGTCTCAGGAGCCGCCTTGCCAGACCAACCCTTCACAAAGCCACCAATATCCATATTTCTCGTCTTCTGCTGCATGACCGCCAAAAGGCTCTCCTCCTGCTTCTTTTCCGCTTGCTTCTTCAACTCCTCTTCATCCTCACCTCCTTCTCCCTTTTCACCTTCGTTCTTGCGGCGCTCTTCTTCAACCTTTTTAGTTTCTTTATGTAGGTCAGCTTCAGCGCGCTCTACTTCTTCGATATCAACATCCTCGAATCCTATCTTGCGTAGAATCGAACCTGTGATGAAGCGATATTGGAGATGGCCGTCCACCAGTTCGGACACTTCTACGTTCTGTACACCGTGTACACCAACAACGGGCTGGAGCCCGGCAACACCGAGTTGAACGGAAGAAGTGCGATACAGGAAGCCAAGGATGTAGTCGTTTTTAGAGAAGACATTAACGCAACGCCCGCTGACTACAGAACGGATGCGGCGCCAGTCTTCAGCGTCGGAAGGGCAAGGAGCACCAACAAGGACCACATTTTCAATGAGACCAAAGGCTTTACGGTCGGCAAGCTTTTGTAGGCAGGAAAATATAAGGCGGGCACCGAGAGAGTATCCTACTAAAGTGACTGGTCGTTCGCCTTGGACTTTGTTGATGAGAGCGTCTGCGAGGACTTCTCCTGCTTTCTCAGCCCGGTACTTGGCCACAGAAAATGGGTTGTCCAACAAGGTTGCGATTTTGAGCAGGCCAAGAGGCCACAACGCAGCTGTCATTGCAGCGAAAACGGTTTGTTCAATGATCTTCTTCTTCGCGTAGCCCCATGCTGCACTTGTGATAAACGTCTCGAGGCTGTGCCCGAGCTTAAGAAGCGCCTCAAGTTCCCATCGTAACGCGAAGCCTTCTGTCCCTTTGCTGATATAACGCCATGGCTGGCTGACCTCCTCGGGCTTGCGAAGCCAACCAGATATGGCAATGGCTACTCTGAGACGTCGAGACTCGTTGTCTTGTTTCTTGGGGTCTTGTGTACGGTGGATTGGAATGAACGCAAAGTCCTCGACTTCTCGTGCGTACTCATCCATGGCTTTCCCGGTCATTTTCGCACCATAAGCACCAAAAAGGCCGCCCACAAGAACAGATGAGCCAGCCAGTGTGCCCAGATAGCCTGCTGCTGCAGTAGCTCCAAGGCCAACTCCACCCATCACACTTCCGATCCCTGCTGCGAGGAGAGGAGCGGCGAGGCCACCAGTGACGCCGATAAGTGCAGCGCCAGCTACCCCTGCTAGTCCAACTTTCCATCGACGAGCCTTTTGCGAGGATTCAGCTGCTTTTTTGGTCTCTTCATCTGTATTGAGCTGTTGGGATGCCGCCTCCAACAGGCCTTGCGCAACAGTTTCCTCATCTTTCTTCAGGACGTCCCTACCCAGCCCAAGCGAGCTTGTGAGGTAGAGGATCAGAACGCGAGAGTGCGCAGAATAATGTTCCAGGCTCAACAAGATAAGTACCAGCGAGTGTAGGACAAGAGCACGTTTGCTCTCTTCTAGTTGAGTAAGATTGGTGGGAACAGGAGGGTACAAGGATTTGAACATCTTCTCCTCATCTTCCTCCTTATCGTCGAGCTTCTCGATACTAGTCAGGCCAGCCTCTGATTTGCTGGTTATTGTTTCGGTTTGCTGGCTCTCCACTTCTTGGGCTTGCTTCCTGGCCTTGTCTTTTGAGTTGATCACCTCGCCGACTCTGCTGACAACTTGGCCACGCCAATCGTCAAAGTATCTCAGCATCTCCCTCTTTAGTTCCTGCACCTCCGGTTTTGCAAGCTCCTTTTTAGCCTCCTCCTCGCGCTTCTGTCTCTCTTTTTTTATCTTGTCTTCTTTCTCGACGTCGACATTATCGAGGTCGGAAGGCGCATCTCTCAGAGCTTCTTCTTCCGACTTTGCGGTCTTCTCGTCAATCGGAAATTCTTTGGCAGTAAAGGTCTTGACTAGAGACTTTCGCATCGAAGCTGTAATGGTAGCTATCAGAAAAGTCAACTCGGCGCATTGTTCCGCATCGAGAAGCGTTGTGAGGGATGTTTCATCCTTGTCCTCGGACTTTGAATGTCCCAACGACGATAATTTGGACGCCCAACCTGCCATTTTCACGGGTCCGATCAACACGCGGGTTTGGTGAAGTGTGGGTGTGTAGGATCTACATTGAGGTGAGTGGGGTGGCAGCTACTGCTGTTTTGGGTATGACGTCAAGTAAGAACAGTGGGGGCAAGAAGCCGCTCGTCACCATACTGCAGGCCACTTGTTTCTTCTGGTTAGGCTATGGGAAACAACAGTTTAATACCAAGTTAACTCTGTCTCTGCAGATTCGGCAACCATTCCTTGAAGATTCTTGTTATACCCTGCCAGTCACCCTCCGTAGTCTCGCGTTTGTCGTCGTCCACAAACTCTACATTGTTCATCCCACCAAAATCAACAGCCCAAGCATTCATTCCCTCATCAATAACAACGTTCATAGGATGAACATCTCCCCACACAATATCGTGGGCGTGCAACCCCTGTATAATGGCAGTAAGCTGCTCCTCCCACTTTCTGTGCAACTCGTGCCGTTCCTGAAGACCAGGGCTTCGCAGGTGGGTCCCTATCTCGGATGAAGTTACCAGGGTCATCAGCAGGCCGATTGTTGTTTCCCCTGACACCACGATGCCGTGCAGTCTAGGAACTCGGAACCGAGTTGTCAGACCGGCTTTGTAGATACGCCACAAAGTACAGAGCTCACGCTCGAAGTCTGGTTCACGCATCTCAACCCGCGGTTTGAAATACAGGGGAACTCCCTCCGCCATCACAACTCTTCCTTGGATTGAATCAAGTGTCTTTCCCTCGTCCACAATGGGCGCTATCCAGATATTGCGTGCCTGGAAGGAAGGCACATCTCTGCATAGTTCAGGCAAGTCGGCGGTGCGCATAGGGGAAGTAAAGAAGGCCGGCGTGTATAGACACTCATCTTCACCCTTGATACATATATCCCCATCAACACCTTCGTGGACAAGCTCTAAATTGTAGATAGGCCAGTGGAGAAGACCTTGCAGACTAAGATCCTGAAGTAGCGTTTGTGGTGCCAATTTTTCAATGAGAGACAGGCAGTGTTGATAAATCGGGTCGAAAAGTAAGTTATCATTGGACCTGCTCCAGGTGCCCACCTTCCATAGTTCCAGCTGTTGTAGGAGCTTTTCACCTAATTTTGTGCCTTTCACCCGCACGATCTCGACTTCAATAACAAATTGCGTATGGCCACGCAAGATTGTCATATGACATTTTTTCTCCGTGGTGTACCCTAAGGGCCCCCTACTGATATGGTAGTGTTGAGGCATTGTAATTTATTTGAACGCAGGCCTAGATGCTGAGCGTAGGCTATGTATTAGTCGTGGAGTATATAAAGCAAAGACGGCTCCAACATATACCACTGAAGATCTGGGCAAAAACAGGAGCGTCAAGTGTGTAGGCTTGGTTATATATTCAAAAACGAGCTTACGTCATGCTATCGATGGTAGCAAGAGAGATCACGTGAAACTATCGGCATCTTTATCCTTCTCACAACGCCGTTTACGGAAATTTAGTCGTTCAAAAGAAGCTAGATCATGAATCAGTGGATTTAACGTGTCTTTTTTCGTACGCAGTGTATAGTTTGCGGGCGTAGAGTTTGTATCTTGCCGTATGGCTGCATTTCATTAATAGTATACTTGTTTTGGCGGGGGCTGATTTTCCCACAGTATCCCCACTCCACCAAGAGATCGATAGTATGGAAAGTGGGAAGTGGCATACTCTACCACTCTTCTAAATCTATTATTCACAACAAAAGTGGAACGTTACAGAGCTTTCGTCAAACACATTGAAAAGTTCGTCTTCCAATAATACATATTGTTTAAAAATTTCATACGACAAGATTAAGATCCTACTCTCCCTGTTGGTATAGGCGTTGCACTCATGCCGCCAGTTGGAAAATTCCTAGCACTCAAAAACACACCCTTGACAGCCCTGATATCGCCCTTTAATACCTCAATCTGGTCATTCTTAGACTCCTGGGAACTTCCAGTCCAATTAAATGTCGCTCCATAGCGGCCCATGGCAGGGTAGTACTGATTTTGATAGTCCATATCTGTGAGGTAGGTAGTCAAATCCGAGATCTTTGTCCTCAGTCTGTCTCGTGATGTACCCTGGCCCGCGCGATGGGACTCAAGTTCCTGAAGGTGTGATTTGATGATTTTCAGGCGGTTTTCCTGTGCTGTTACAGTCGGGTGTGGGTCGGTAGAGGTAGAAGGTCGGCGGGAGAGATTGGGTGTGGTCTGGGTGCCATAGTCGCGGTGGTAGAGCTCAGTAGGGTCAGAGTCGGCTTCAGAGACATTGTCTGCGCCGTCTTCAATAGGCTTTACTTTGCTTGCGGGATCGACAGATACTGATTTGCGTAGCCGTTCATTAAGCTCCTTCAACTGTTCGTTTGTATGAGATGCAAAGTCGCGCCGTGACTCTGCAAGGCCATGTGTCATGGGCGCTATGATGTATTTTGACAATCCATACATGCTTGCCATGAAACCTCCTGCTATGTATGCTGTAGCCGCAAGGCGTTCGGTCGTAATTAGAGGCGGTGGCTTCTCAGTGCTTGCGAGGAACTCTGGGTATGTGACAATTGGGGGTATTTCGCGGGGCTGAATTTGGTCTTCAGGTACATGCGCAGGCTTCGGGGGTGTCTGAAAGCGTCAGCATCGCCTGTCTTCGACATTCTTGTGTAGTGCCAGTACTCACCGTCGACCATGCCCGCTCGCCCACATCCTCAACTTTGACTAGCCTACTCTCCGGTTCTTCTTCACCCAACAGCCTGCCAATGTCCTCGGCACTCACCCCCTTTGATTCCAAGAACGTCACCTTCTTCTCCCGGGGCGCATCGCGAATTGTTGGGTCATCGAGGAAACGCGCAGCCTGCTCTAACAGACTGCTGTTCTCAGAGGCCTGCTGCTCCTCCTCTAGCTGTGCGACATCGTCTTCGGTTGGTGTGGGGGCTTCTACGGGTGGTTGTTGTGGTTGTTGTTGCGCGCTTGCTTCGTCTTCCTCTTCTGGCTTCTGAGAGGAAGTTGTATCATTGGTGGAAGCGGTAGAAGCGGTAGAAGACGACGAGGCACGCTGCCATTCTGGTATTCCAGGCTTTCCCGACATGACTGCGACACGGTGTTGAGGTGTTCGGTGTGTATGTCGAAGAGAGGTCGGCGCGTTGTCACGGGCGATGATGATGATGGGTGCTCGGGAAAGATGGCTGGACCGAGGCAAGAGCCCCAGATTCGGCTTTTCCTTTTTGGTCAAGAAACTCCAGTCGACACATTTGATCGCACCTCACTTATGTCATGTACTAACTTTTTTTATTCTCTCGCAGTACTCAGTCTCTGCGCTTCCCATATTAGAAACTAGTCTCTGTGTTTCCCTCGCCCATGCTCTTACTGCCTGAGCTTCCGCTTTGTATCGCACCCAAGATGCCGTCAATATACCCGGCACCGCTCCACTTCTGATGGGTCAAAACATCACAGCCCAATTCCTTCTCTCGTGCTTGTACTAGCTTCACATATGCCAACATGCCCTCATCCTTGAAGGCCCTGCTCAGCTCACATGTGATTGTTGCTGTAGAGTGTAGACCGGCCAGCGAAATGAGCTGGAACACAAAACCGTGCTTTGCCAAGTCCCATACAAAGGACTTGAGTGCCTCTTCAGAGAAGCCATGGCCCATCCAGTTGAAGCTGGGCGACAGGTTGTACACAAACTTCTTGCCGGGGTAAACGGCGCGGATCTCGCCGGCAAATCTGGCTGCCTCTTGGACGTTGGGATCGCCCGTCTCCACCCACAGGAGATCGGCGTAGGGCGCATACTCTTTGCCGCGCTTGGTGGCCGCTGCGACTCCATTCTTGAAATGGTAAAAACCTTCTCTTGTGCGCGGAATGTCCCAGTTGAAGTAGACTGGCGTCTTTGTATACTTTTCTGCCGCTTGTCGGCGTTTGAGGAGAGAAAAGTTGGGATTCTGCTTCATTTCGTCGAGATAGGCGTCAATTGAGGACTGGGAGGCGCCTTCCTTCTCGAGGTGCTGAACAACGGCCTCATCAAAGGTGACGAGCTTGTGTTTCTTCACCCACGCCGCCTCATACTGATCAATCTCTTTGCCTGGCGCACCCGCCGCCTCCATGTTTTGCAGAGTCTCGGCCAATGGCTCTGTTTCCTCTGTAACTCCCTTGATGAATTCATGGTCTCGTACATCGACAGCGCTGGAGATGAGTTTGCCGCTCTCAGAGTCAGTACGCGCAATGACGAGGTTTTCACAGCCCATCATGTCCCATTGGAATCGTGCGGCTACCAGGCGGTTGATGTGGTCGCCCACGGGGACAAGCACCTTGCCTGCAAGATGTCCACACTTTTTGCCGCCATGCAATTGATCCTCGAAATGAACTCCTGCAGCGCCATTCTCCGCAAAGAGCTTAGCAAGCTTAATGACCGCCGAGAGACCGCCGTGTCTACACATCGTCAGTGCCCTATCTAGACTTGTGCGTTTCTGTGTCTACTCACCCGGTATCGCCATCAGCGATGATGGGGCGCATATAGTCCAGATATGGGGTCTTTGCCCTTTCCTCTCGTGTCATTTTCCTCCTTGCGTCCCAGCTTTTGCGGTCGTGCAGTTGCTGTGCCTTGAACAAGCGCTGCACTTGGTTTGGAACGGTATTGTATGGGTAATCGCCAAAGTCGGCAGAGACTTCGTTCGTGGTGGTGAGGACGGATGAGCACGCCCATCCTGAGACGTAGAGAACCTCTTGGTTTGCGGCCTGTTGGGACATTTGAACTGGATCAATTGCACCCACTAATGTTTGGAGACACAGAATTAGCCGTTGTTCTATCTATATAGCCATGGGTAAACGCACTGGTATGTACTGGCTCGCCCTTTGCTGCCCGCTCTTCTAGCAAGTTGAAAAGCTTCCTTGCCATCAAGGAGCTAGGATATGATTGAGGAAGTGTTCCGCGTTTGCTCACGACATCCTCTGCAGAATACGGGCGCTTGATGCCCTTGTACCGCGGTGATGCCCACCACTCCTTCACAGCCTGTACCTGTTCCTCGAAAAGAGCATCCTCGGCCTCGCCTGCCTTTGCGGCCTCAGGCAACAGCTGGAAAGAGTCTCCTGGCAGGGCTGTCGAAACTGGGGGGTCCACGGGCTTCAGCACGGAGCTTGACATGCGGTACACGGTGGTGGAGAGCGGACGGAGGAGTTGTCGCGGTGGGCTCGCTACCCTTAATGATCGGCTCTGGCGCGCGACAGAGCGCGGTAATGTACGAAGCATGGCGAGTATGTGTGAATTGGAGCGAGGCGCAACCCAGCAGGAGCCTGCTGTATACTTGAGTCGAGGGAAAGCGATGGGGAACGGAAAATTATCCGTGGGCTGCAGGCAATTGGGGAACAGCGGCTACCACCCTTTTTGCTCTGTCACTTTTTCTGAGGTCTAGAAGCTGTTTCTTCGCGCAGGCAATGACGTTACAGGGCCGTGAGAAGCCGAGCACTGTGATTGTGTGTGCGGCAACGCTTCTCCAGCATTTCCCCATGTCCGGCGCCAGAACCGAGGTACTAGCCCACCGCTAGCCGCTCAGAGCTGCCCCTCGGTCCATGGGTTGTACGTCGCACTCGCAGGCATCGCCCAGCGCGTGTTAGGAAAATCCGACTCGGCTGCCGAGCGGTGCCGTACAACTTTCTTCTGTCTCCTTCGTGTCAAGCCGTGTTTCTGCCATTGAGTTTGTAGAACACTGTCCCTGGGTTGAGTGAAGACTATCAGACTGCCATTCCCCGCATCCACCCCACCCTAAACCAGCCATGGCATTGAGTGCACGATCTGCTGCCAGAGCTCTACGAGCGGCCAAGGTAAGCTCTAAGCTGTCTAATTGATAGTGTTGGAAGTGAGAAAAACTAATTGAAGCGACGCAGGCACGCCCGTTTGCGGCTGGTATGACAATCGGTCCTCTGTTCCACCTATTGAGATGCTGATATATATCACTTCCTCCAGTACAAGCATGTAGCTATTCATCTTCGTCCGAGCCGGATCTCAAAGAGACGTTCAAAAAGGTTCTCCCTGCAAAGCGAGAGCTCTTGAAGAAGGTCAAGGCACATGGCGACAAGAAGCTTGGTGACGTCAAGGTCGAGAATGCGCTGGGCGGCATGAGGTATGCACCCTAAGGAAACAAAAAGCGTGTACTGACAGCAGTAAAGGGGCCTCAAGGCCATGGTCTGGGAGGGATCAGTTCTCGACGCAAACGAGGGTATTCGATTCCACGGCAAGACGATCAAGGACTGCCAAAAGGAGCTGCCCAAAGGAACCTCTGGCACTGAGATGCTTCCCGAGGCCATGTTCTGGCTACTCCTGACTGGCGAGGTTCCATCGGTATCACAGACTCGTGCGCTTTCGCGAGAGCTCGCCGAAAAGGGTGGCATCCCCAAGTTTGTCGAGAAGATGCTGGATGACTTCCCCAAGGATCTCCATCCCATGACACAATTCGCATGCGCTGTCTCGGCCCTCAACTACGAGTCCAAGTTTGCCAAAGCATACGAAAAGGGCATCAACAAGGCGGACTACTGGGAGCCTACCTTTGACGACTGCATTAGCCTGCTCGCAAAGCTGCCTACCATTGCCGCCAAGATCTACCAGAACGCATACCGCGGTGGAGGTGCGCTCCCCAACGAGATCGATCTGAACCAGGATTGGTCCTACAACTTCGCAGCCATGTTGGGCAAGCCTGGCAAGGAGAACGAGGGCTTCCAAGACCTTCTCCGGTTGTACCTCGCTCTGCACGGCGACCACGAGGGCGGCAACGTCTCAGCACACACCACACATCTGGTCGGTTCGGCACTCAGTGATCCCTTCCTGAGCTACAGCGCCGGTCTTCAAGGTCTTGCTGGCCCACTGCACGGCCTAGCTGCTCAGGAGGTGCTGCGCTTCATCCTCGACATGCAAAAGGTAGTTGGCAACAACTTTAGCGAAAAGGACGTCAATGACTTCCTCTGGAGCGTTCTCAAGTCTGGAAGAGTCATCCCCGGTTATGGTCACGCTGTGCTCAGGAAGCCTGACCCGCGATTCGAGGCGCTCATGGACTTTGCGAATGCACGACCTGAGATTGCGGCAGACCCAGTCTACCAGCTCGTAAAGAAGAACTCGGAGATTGCCCCTGGCGTTCTTACTGAGCATGGAAAGGTAAGAAACCACAGTTTCGAGAACTCGCAGTGATTAACTTTTTCGTAGACCAAGAACCCCTACCCCAACGTCGATTCGTCCTCGGGTGTCCTTTTCCACCACTATGGCTTCAAGGAGACTCTGTACTACACTGCGACATTCGGTGTCAGCCGTGGTCTTGGTCCTCTTGCACAGCTCATTTGGGACAGGGCATTAGGCCTGCCCATTGAGCGCCCCAAGTCAATTAACCTCCAGGGTATCCTGAACCAGGTTGGCGCGTAAATTGTCAGTAGCGGCGACCTGATACGGGGCAGCAATTCAAAAGTAGTCGAAAATAGAAACGATGTAAATGCCGCACTTGACCATTAGGTTTTGCGTGAAAAGGTGGCAGTCAGTCAGTGACGTGTGTTGGTGTTGGTATTGGTGAATGAATAGAGTTGCGCAATTGGGCATGGGAGGGGCGGGAGTGGACCCATGGGATCGACGACGGCGGCGGCGGCTAGTCAGGGCAGGGCGACATGCCGGCCCCAGTACACGCCGGACGCCGAGTGAAACTGTCTCGCACCACGTCGACGGCGCTGCCTTCTGTTCTACACTTATTCATTGTCCTACCAGATATTGTATCCGCTCGCTCACATCTGCATCGGTGGCATTACCGTGTCCAACTGCTGCTGCAGCAAACATACACACGCTTCAATGCTAGCTCCAATATAACCAGGGCTTCACGCTCGCGCTGTTTGCCATAGCCTCACCTTCCCCGCCGCGTGCAACACCGTATACTTCTTTTTTTTCTGCTGCTCCTTTTGGACTGACACGCTTTCTCCATCAACATGGCTCCCTACGAAGCCCACGAGTTGCGCCGCGGCAAGTACGCGAAGCTCGATGCACCCGTGGACGATGACCTTGAAACCCCAACGCGATTCTCCTCCGAGTCCAACGAGACCCTGGAAGATCTCGAAGAACACGACCCCCTCGCATTCGATAGCAGGTTGAAACGAAAGAAAAGTGCTGGCGACCTCAAGGTCCGCAAGGCATCGTACCGAGACACCGAGGCTGTGACGCCATTCCCTACGCAACAACGAAGATCCAAATGCGCACCAGGCCGCTGCTGCTGCTGGCTGCTCGTATTTATCGCCGCCACTGTTCTGCTACTGGCTTCGGGAGGAATATGGGCATACAAGGTGTCTGTGCCTGAGGATGGGCGCAGTCCGCCGTGGTACCCCTCGCCAAAGGGCGGAACAGACAAGGCATGGGAGGAGAGCTACAAGAAGGCTGCTGAGCTAGTCAAGCAGATGACATTGCCTGAGAAGGTTAATATTACCACTGGCACAGGGTGGAGCATGGATCTTTGTGTGGGTCAGACTGGCCGTGTAGATAGGTTAAAGTTCCCCAGTCTATGTCTTCAGGTATGCACCATCTCAAAGACAGCGCTTCACATGCACTAACGTTTCACTCAGGACGGTCCTCTGGGCATTCGATTTGCTGACAACATTACTGGCTTCCCTGCGGGCATCACCACTGGCGCGACATGGAGCAAGGAGCTCTTCTATCTGCGTGGAAAAGCACATGGCAAGGAGGCACGACTGAAGGGTGTCAACGTTTTACTTGGTCCCGCAATGGGCCCTCTCGGCCGAATGCCTGCTGGTGGTCGTGTTTGGGAAGGATTTGGCTCAGACCCCGTGCTACAGGGCATTGCAGCAGCCGCGACTATCAAAGGCATCCAAGACGAGGGCGTCATGGCTACCGCAAAGCACTATATCGCCAACGAACAGGAACACTTCAGACAAGCTTGGGAGTGGGGACTACCGAATGCCATCTCCAGCAACATCGACGACCGCACCTTACATGAAATCTATGCATGGCCATTCGCCGACTCGGTCAAAGCAGGTGTAACATCTATCATGTGTTCATACAACCAGGTGAACTCCAGCTATGCCTGTCAAAATTCGAAGCTGCTCAACGGAATTTTGAAAGACGAGCTTGGTTTCCAGGGGTTCGTTCAGAGCGACTGGTTAGCGCAACGTTCGGGTGTAGCAAGCGCCCTGGCGGGTTTAGATATGACAATGCCTGGAGATGGCCTCAGATGGGCCAAGGGTAACAGCTTATGGGGTTCAGAGCTCACCAAGTCAGTTCTCAACGGCAGTGTGCCCATTGATCGCGTCGACGACATGGTTACTCGTGTCGTAGCATCCTGGTACCAAGTCGGCCAAGACAAGTGGGAAAATGATGGGCCAAACTTTTCTTCCTGGACAAACGACCGTATCGGTAAGCTGCATGAAGGCAGCCCCTCGAATCATGAAATGGGTGTGGTAAATCAGTACGTCAACGCTCAAGGAGAGGGAAAAGAAGCCCACGGACACCTGGTACGTCGTGTTGCAGCTGAAGGTACAGTCTTGGTCAAAAATGATGGCAAGATGCTGCCACTAGAACGCAAAGGTTGGAAGACCGATGGAAAGGCCAAGAAAAAGTTCCGTGTCGGTGTTTTTGGTGAAGATGCACGTCTCCCTCATGATGGCATCAACCACTGCCCTGATCAAAGCTGCAATGAGGGGACCTTGGCTTCAGGTTGGGGCTCCGGTGCCGTCAACTTTTCGTATCTGGTTGAGCCCGTATCTGCCATCAGACAGGCATTTGACAATGAGACCGTATACGTGACGGACTGGTTGGAGAACAAGCTCCCCAACCAAAAGGAGATTCTCCAGGATCAAGACCTTTGCATCGTCTTCGCAAATGCCGACTCGGGAGAAGGATACGAGCACTACGGAAATATTCGAGGCGACAGAAACGATCTCAATCTGCAAAAAGGCGGTGCTGAGCTCATCAAAAACGTTGCTAAAGACTGTGGAGAAGGTATGGGTGATGTCGTTGTCGTCATTCACACGGTTGGATCCGTCATTCTAGAGGATTTCATCGACATTATGAACGTCAGGGCAGTACTCATTGCCCACCTTCCAGGTACGGAGTCTGGAAATGCTATTGTGGATGTACTTTTTGGCGACGTCAACCCATCTGGTCGTCTACCCTACACCATTGCTAAGAAGGAAGACGACTTTGGTCCAGGCAGCAAGGTCAAGTATCTTCCCAGTCCATCTGACGGTCTTGCGCCTCAGCAAGATTTCACCGAAGGCCTGTATATCGACTACCGCTATTTCGATAAGCAAAACATCACTCCCCGATTCGAGTTTGGCTATGGTCTCTCATATACACAATTCGAGCTATCTTCTCTCATGATCGAAGAAAAGAATGCAAAAACACCCCTACCCAAGCCTCGACCAGACGGCCTCATACCCCCAACCTACTCCACCGTCCTCCCCGACCCGGAGTCAGTCCTCTTCCCCAAAGGCTTCAACAAAGTAGAACAATACATCTACCCTTGGCTCGAATCAACCAAAGGCATCAAGAAGTCCGAACCCCCACAGCCTCAACCCCCATCCTCCCCGCTTAGCAACGCAGGTGGCGGCCCAGGCGGTAACCCGGACCTCTACACTCCTCTCCTCACCGTTTCCGCCTCTCTCGAAAACAAAGGCCCCCTAGATGGCGCTTCCGTCGTCCAACTGTATATTTCTCTACCGCAAAACTACAAGGATCACGAAACGGGCGAGCCGGTGGATTTCCCCGTTCGTGTCTTGCGTGGGTTTGAGAAGGTGCAGCTTGAGAAGGGGAAGGGCAAGCTGGTTCAGTTTGAGGTTACGAGACGCGATTTGAGTTATTGGGATGTTAAGAGGCAGAATTGGGTACTACCCATGGGTGAGATTGGGGTGCAGGTCGGATTTTCGAGTCGGGATTTGCCGTTGAAGGGGAAGTGGTAAGGTTACTTTTGGTTGCTGTTGTTGTTGTTTTTCTGTTTAGATGGTTGGGGTGGATAGGCTAGGGATGGGAGTATGAGGGTTATAGGCTTTTGGCGTTTTTTTTAGTGTGCCTTTTTTTTCTCTTGTACCTTTTCTATTTCCTTGTGCTTGGTTTGAGGTAGCAAGATTTTCGATATCCTAGATAGTTACATATTTTTTTCAATTCTAAGATTTGTATTTCTATGAATTGATTACGCTACACAACTTCTTTTCTCCCACGATCTCTTGCCCATTTCCCATCCTTGCAGAATGGAGGAAGTCACAACTCACTCTTTTCCTTGCCATTGTCACCAGCTGGTCTCCTTCCCCGTGCAAACAAAATCGTTCGCCACATTTTCTTGCCGCCAAATTCCATGTACGACTTCTCCTTCATAGTCTTGACGTCCACATCAACGAAACCCGCTTCTGAGAAGAATTGTCGCACACCTTCTATAGTGAAGTGTGGTACCACTATTGAAGCAGCCATTTTCTTGTGGAGGCTAGAGTCGTGTTTTTCGGTCGCCCCATGGCTGTGATCATGCTTGTGGGAATGAGACGAGTGGTCGTGTTTATGACCATGGCCATGACCATGACCATGATGATGCACAGCATGATTCCCCTGACTCCCCTCGACCGGCTTCCCCTCGTCATCCGCCAACACATCTCCCCCCTCAAGGAAATCATTAATAACCAGGACACCGCCCGGTCTCAATCGCCCCTTGAGTTGCTTCGCGGCATACACTACGTCCTCGAAGTGGTGGAACCCGAAGCCTACAGTTGCGAGGTCGAAGTCGCGGAACTCTGATGCGTCCAAGGAGGAGGGATTGGGGTCGGATTTGTCGAAGAGGTTGCCGACTGCGGTGGTGATGGTGAGGGGTTGTGGGTTGGCGGAGGCGAAGCGCGAGGTGTAGGTTGAGATCATGTTTGGGGAGATGTCGATGGCGGTTGTGTGGGTGATGTAAGGGGCAAATATCTGTTTTTGCATGAGGTTAGCTGGGTTAAGGATACTTTTCTTTCACTCTCTTCACTTTGCGTGTGGTTAAAGAGAATATGTAACTGTATTGCTTGCTCTCTATCACTCATCTGATTCAAGATGATTTGATTGGAGAAAAAGAAAGGTTGAGATTGGGGAGTGGGGAGGTGGAATGAAGAGACTTACCCTTGTCATCAATCCCGTGCCACAAGCATAATCCAACATTCGGACCTGTTCAGTACCTGCGCTCGCTTGTCCTTCAGCGGACACATTGACAAACGGGATACCAATCCAAGATAAATCGCCGCGCAGGGCTTCAGCGACCTGGTTGTTTACTGTTGCGAACCAGGGTTTGGCATCGTAAGTATCCGAGATGGAACTGTCAGTGAGTTAGAAATGTTTGTGCTAGAGAATGAGGTATTGTTGTAGGATTAGTAACGATGGGATGGGGGAGAATGTGGAATGGTAAGGGGAAGGAGAAAGAGAAGTATAATCATACTCAAAGTATTGACGGTTAGCGTCTGCGAGGCTCATGGTGTACAGCTTGTTTGCGTATGTTGAAAATGTAGGTAAACTATGGATGCAGGCGGGGTAGTACAGTATTGCTATCAAGTCAGAGAAACAGAGATGATTGAGGTGTGATAGACGAATTAAAACTATAGGAGAGAGCTGTCATGCTCCTTTTATATGTAGATGCGAAGCTGTGGTATAGAGTGGGGCGAGGATAGAAGTCGCCGGATCTAGCATCGGAAACTTGTCCAGGTACATACTAAGCTAAAAAGCTAACGCTATGATTGGTCGAGAAGCGCAACAATGTCTGCGCGTCGGAGACATATTATGGCAATATTTCTTCGCGAATGAGTCAAACAATTGATTTGTAATGTAATAGGTGATTCCTAAAAAGACGAAATGCAGGTAGGGTGTGAATCGGAGACATTGCGCTCATGTCTATACATTATGGAGAAAACCCTCCATTCACTGCAGTATAGTTTGTTTTGCAGGATGGTCACAATAAAGTTTACTGTTCACCATGTTTGAATTTGCACTCGTGACATTGAATTTACGATAGTTACATGCATTGTAACCCTGTCTTTGATGATGATTTGCTTGCCTTACTGGAGATAAGACTAATTAGTAGTATCATGAAAACATGCCACCAAGGTCATCTAGGTCCCTTTCTATTGGCTCCCTCCGATTTTCCTGTTCATCTCTGTTCCTTAGAGCTTGCTGTCGTGCAAGGCCTTCTTCTCTCTTCCTCTTTTTCCTGGCATCTGCATCTTCCCAATCAGGTGGATGTGAAGTGCTCTGTTGTTGCGTTTCCAGAAGTGTATTGCGAAACCGGGCTATTCGGTCGAGGTTGATCTTGAAGCGCTCGTTTGCTATAGATACTAAAATTTGCAAATACCTCGCATTCACCAAAGCAATATTATCTCCATTTGCGTTCTGGTAGCCTACGATGGAATCGAAGGAGTAACCGGCTGATCGAACGGCTACTATAGGATTTGATTCTCCTTTTGTTGACCCAAGGCTTACAGCACCACTCTCACGAAATCCAGCTGCCAGTGCTGCATTGAGAACATGCTGGGCATCGTCTATAGATGCAGTCAAGATGTGCAAGATCTAAGAATTGTTAGATTATGCATGACGCCGTTGTCAACAGTCTCACCATAGGCTCGAATTTGAGATGAATGTATCTATCAGAAATGGTTGGTCCCTCATCATCGGTTTCGGACTTCTTCAGTCCGAAATCAGGCAGAAAGTCATGATTTGCATCCACGTTTTGGACTGGTTCATGAGAGAGGAACAGCCATGCACCCCCGCCGCCTTTTCCTCCAGGCCCAGCGCGTGAATCACCACCTTCAACGGAGAGGTCTTCGATAGCAGACTCTGCCTTACGGCCTTCCAGAAATACGCTGATGCGTCCTGAGCAGCTGCTGGTCGTGACAAAGCCTTCGAGGCGGTTGATTTCTCCAATCAAGCCTCGAATTGGGGCATCGACAGAGCCCTTTGGCGATAGGTCGTGGTAGTCGGCATCGGGAGTATCTAGCTGGGCAAGTATTTTTTGCTTGCGAGCTGCGAAGCGGGTGGTCATGACTATAAAGGGGTCCGTGGTTTGGCAGGGCGGACGAAACTCGTGACACCGCGATGGGTTTTCGCGTTCGTGTGCGTCATCGATGGCCAGTGCGCGCGCTCCGACCTCCAAACAAAACGAGTCACTTACAACTACTGTAGTAACTCTTCCACACTTCTGTTGGTCCCTGGAAACGGCAAAATGCCACGTAAATCGACTAAAGAAACCAAATCCGCCGCGCCTAGGAGTTCTTCCAAGCGTCCTGCACAGGAAACTCCACAGAGACAGTCAAAGAGGGCAAGGGCGACCGCAAGGAAATCCTACGTTGATCCAGGCACCGACACAGACGATGCAGACGAGAAATCAACAAGAAGATTATCGCCTAGTACAGACGGAAAAGATGGCGCCGCCTCCGACTATGAGGATCATGACGGCAAAGAATCATCCGTTGGGTCCGAGGCTGACGTGACTGACAGCGACGAAGATGATGAGAGCAAGAACCGTAAGCCACGAGGGCGCGCTGCCAAGAGCCTTCCTATTCAAAAGAAAAATTCCAATGAGCAAGAGTTGTGGAAACCAGGAGCTAAACTTGAGCCGGGAACACGAGTAGTCATCAAGAAGCCGAAAGCTCGAGATGCAGGTGATACACCATACTTGGACCACACGATCCATCCGAACTCTTTACTCTTTTTGAAAGAATTGGCAGCCAATAACGATCGGAGTTGGCTAAAGCGTGAGCGTTTCTTACATTTCCTGGTCTAAAGCATCTCGGGAATCATGTCCAAAGGTTGACTAACAACTATGTAGTACACGACCCTGACTTTAGAGTAGCATTTCAGGATTTTACAACGTTTGCAGAAAAGGTGTCAGAAAAGATCATTGAAGGAGACGAAACAATCCCAGAGTTACCAGTCAAGGATGTGGCAAGTACCCACCCAAACCCATTCTAGTCTGTCTGTTAACGTGCGTAGATCTACCGGATCTACAGAGGTGAGATGCGTGCGCAAAGGTATCATACGAAGATACTGACGTAACAAGACATTCGCTTCTCCAAAGACCCAACACCCTACAAGGTAAGCCAGTATCAGCTCACCATTAGTGGAGAAAAGGCTTTGGCAAAGATTCATGTTGTCAGAGGATTCGATTTACCAGCCCAACCAACTATCAGGAAATTTGAAAATCCATACTTTAGTGGAAGACATCAACTCTGTATCTTCGACAAATATATTGGGACGTGCACTGACAGTTGCAGACCTACTTCTCCGCGGCATGGTCAAGAACTGGACGAAAGGGACCCTACGCGCATTACTACGTACAGGTGCAGCCAAATGGTGGAAGTTTTGTAGGTATGTTCACATTCCTTAGCTCCTTGCTCTGGGAACAGTGTGTAGCTACGCCCTGTTGTGGAACCCGTTTTTGAGCACGACTTGACCTCGTGGTTACCATCGTCTTCCATCGGCCTAAGTATGCATGTTCTCTGCATGTGTTGCCAATGGTCATACGCATGTGATCATCACAGACTGAAATTTTTGTGTGCTGTATTTCGGACCTACCGAGTTTTGCGACCAATATTGTGCACTTTAGTGCCACGACTGCGCGACTACTGTCAGAAACGGGCAAGATGATTCTGCTGGCGCTGTGCTGAACGTACCGATACTAGTCAGCAGTAACAATGCTGTTGTATCTGTAGTGCGAGGAGGCCTTGCACTGTACCATTGGCGAGTGCTACCAGTTGCACGAGTGAAACATGGCAATGAATGTGCTCCAGCGGTCGCTACCCTTTCGGAGATTGGTGGTGTAACATGTCGGATAGCCTCGAGGTTCGGCTGCGGGCCGCATGATGACGCTGGTATGGCGTGCGGGTTCGGTGCGCTTCGGTGCGGAGGTGTGCTTGGACGCTCGTCGCTCCGCATTGCAACGTGGTAGCGTCATGGATCCCTACATGGTGTTCTTGGTTTCAAAATATACAGTCAAGTGCTAACTTTGTAAGGCGGTGGCTATTGGCAACCAGATGCAGCTACTCTTGCTAAAATTCGTCGCGACATCGATCGCAAACCACACAAGATCAAATCTGTGCTGAGAAACCGCGACTTCAGAGAAACCTTTCTGGGTGGAGTGCAAGACGACGACAAGAAGGCGGTCAAGGCCTTTACAAGCTTATCCATGAACCAGTCAAACGCGTTGAAGCGTAACCCCAAGGTAAGTGATATGTGTTTTGTCTTTTGTTCCAAAACTGGCAACAATCTCCAGAGGGGCATCAAAGTCAGCGTTGCGTCTGACACATGTGGCATGGTTGTGATTGGCCCATGGTCCGGGCGGCCGATCCGGGCTTGATGTTAGCAACAGCCATGATATGATTACTCATGTGCCCGCTACAAAGCGGGAGGATTAAGCTTTGGGGGTGTGTATCTGGAGCTTCTGCGTTACAACGCTGTGCCGTAGGGCAATTAGAGTTTCAAGCCGCCCCGCATCCAATAAGCCGAGCGCAGCGGTTAGGACGACAGCTCAGCTAGTCGACAGTTTTTCTCAAAGCTCAGCAACGAAACGGACAGGATGCATTTGGGACTATGCCTGATAAAGTTTGCTGACAGGTGGGCCAGGGATACGATCATGATCACAAAGACATTGATCTTTTGCGGCTCCGCAACTTCACGATTGGTCGTACGATTGCAGACGAGGAAATTGTCGGCACGGGCGGGCTGGAGCGAGTAGCTGAGGTGGTAAGGGCAATGGTGCCATTTGTAAGTTTGCAGTTTCGTTTGTCCAAGATTGAGGGTATGGGTGTTTGATTGGACAGGGCAGGGCAGAAGCGGCGGCAGCTTGTTAGGAAGAGCCATGTAGGAGGCACGCGACGGTGCAGTCACCCGGGCAGCGCAAGAGGGATTGTTTGACGAGGCATTGGGCGTGGATGGCGGCTAACGAGAGGTGCAGATTACGTATCTCAACAGCGTTGTCATGCCGGACGAGGACACGTCGGGGTCAAGCAGCGAAGACGAGGATGGTGCAGACGAGGATGATGATGACGATGGTGCAGACGACGGTGCAGATGAGGAGGCGGAGACATAGGCGGAGGCATAGGCATAGGCAGAGGTGCAGATGCAGACGCAGATGCAGAGGAGGGCAATGGGCGGTCCAACCACAGACAGGAAGCAATGGAGAGGATGACGAGGCTTGACAAGAGCAATTTCAGCAACGCATGTTCATGGCGCGGTGTCTGGGGCCGAAGTCATGCGGATCGAGGGATTGGGCTCTGGGGGCAGGCAGTCGACAGTGGTGGTGGGCCACAAGCGCGAAGCCCGCCAATAGACGCCTGTGTAACCGTGCGGCAGTGGCGCTGACTGGCTGGCGCAAGCGAAGGCCATGCAGCAAGCCAAGTCATCGTGCGTTAGCCGGCCAGCCCGTTTTCGCTCGCGCCTGGCGTTGCGGGAGACCGCATGACACTAACGGTCATGTGACGCGCTAGTGTAGCGTTCGGGTCTGCTGCACGTTCAGATCCTAGCCCACGCAAATCGCACCGAACAGGCAAGGCTTCTCCGTGCCCCCCGGTCCCAGTCCTTGATTCTGCCCTCTGCCCTCTGGCGCGGGCCTGCCGCCCTCTCCTAGCGCCTCCTGTCCTCCTGTCGCAACCAAGTCCAAGTCCAACTAGCCGAGCAGCGCAGGGGCTGCGGGCACGAGTGCGAGCGGCGAGGGAGGGGGGCAGGACAACACAGCACCGCGCAGCACAGCACAGCACCACCGACCGACCTCCCTCTCGATGCGACTCGACTCGACTCGAGGCATGGCCACGACCGCATCGATGCCGCCGCCGCCGCCGCTCCTCCTGGCCCGTCGATGACATTGCCGCCCTCGCTCGACCTGCTGGGGTATGTGTGCACCCACTGCTCTGCCCGCTCGCCCCATCACCTGCCCTCTCCGCACGCTCCTGACTGCTGTGGCATGCTGTACACGTTGCGTTAGGCTGATACGGCCACGGCCCGGGGCGCACTCGTTGTCCGTCTGGGATGCATGGGTGCTGCTCTAAGTAACGCGTCGGATCAAGGCCAGCTGCATCGCATGGCATGGCGATGGCTTCGCCAGCTCGTAGAGACTGCGCAAAGTTGGCAGCCGGCTAGCTACTCGCACTGGCGTTGATTCCGTCAGCGCCATGCAGTGCAGCTCCTCGACTGCATCACCCTCTTCGGCCGCCGGCGATACTGCCCAAGACTTACGCCATCAGCCCCAACACGAACACGTGTGAGTCAAATGCCCAGCTGCGACTCGTCTGCCGCCATGGACTCCTCCTCCCCCCTTCGGCGGCTCCCGTGCATGTTTTTTTTTCGAGGCCTTCTTCGCACTTTGTTAAAGAGCGGTGTGCTCGTGGGGCATCGCCAGGTAATATCCAACCCTTTTATCCAACACACCGATGGGTCGCCATAATTCTTTCTTCCGCGAATTAGCACCACCTGGGCTGATCAATGGGCCCGCCACGGCTTGTGGCCGCTTACCCACCCCTTCCGTCGTTCTAAATGACATCTGCCGGCGTTCGTCACACGATTGGGGTGTTTTTTTTTTCAGAAGCCAAAACATGTCGATGCTCAAACCATGTCCGCACAAGCGGTACTGCTTGTCGTTGTTCAGACGTCGTGTTGAGTTGAGGGGACATCATACGATGTTAACAAACTCCCCAATAAACCAGACAGCTAAGCGCAGAGGACATACCGCTTACCCGCCAGGGCGTATTCCCTCGCACCGTGCTACTGCAAGGACGGAAGTTATGCGTCCCAGCTTATACATGGACAGATTATAGAATTGCGGCGAGCCAAAAGTTGCCATCAGGATGCAGAAGGATGCTTGTGCATTGATGCATGGACACGGTTCGACGAACGGCGCCTCTGACAGGACTTGTTGCCGGATTTATAGACAATGTTTGTTTGCAGCATCGATGCGCGTCCTGTCAAAGTTGGTTGATACGTGCCCCTTCCCTGCCTGCAACCTGTCAGACAGCGGAGGCGTCGCACAGGACGCCATTCGTCTCGGAGGCTTGATGATGTCTTCCCGCCTGATATAACCACATTTGGATTTACGCGCAGCTCGCGGCACACGAGACGCGGCACAAGCGACACGGGTCTTCTTTACTGCTTACGAACCACTCATGCTTGCAGCACTCTGCAGGCCTTGCATCTTTTGGGGTCAAGTTGTGTGACACAAACTTCGTTAATCTAAACGTCAACGGGACATATGCGGGAATTCCACACCTCGTCCCGGCCCGCTGATACACACTTGGGACCAAGCGAGTGACTCCGGCATGCTGTATCCACGCACTGTTCCGCACTCTCGATTCACCGCTGTCAAAAGGGATCCATACTTGGGGTAATGCGCTTCGCGCCGCAGCCTTAATGTGCGTTGTGCGGACTGCTGCTTGTGCTTGTTTGGGGTGAATCGACCGAAGGGCGGGTGAAGATCCATCATGGCTGTTCTTACCCCACAAATGCACCGTTAGGTTGGTGTAACCGTCATCCACCAGCGGCAATTGACGGCATTTTTGTTTTTTTGGCCCACCACACACATACTTATACATGTACACATACACGTTCGTATTCGCATTCGTGCTCACGCTCACGTTCACCCAAAGGCAGCCAAACACGGAGGTGAAGACGGCCATGGCAATAACACACGTTCATGGTCCGTTCTGTCGCTGAGTACCCTGGGACCACTGGCTGCATCTGCGCTCATTAAACATGGGCTCGTGACTGACTCGGATGTCGAAATGCGGTGTGGCAGTCAATCAAAGCACAACAGTAATCAAATGCGCTTTGCCGCGACCGGTCAGTGTCTGCTCGCAACAGCCGTCGTAAAGTGCAAAGGCTCGAGCGAGGCATGTATGTCATCACGTCTTGTGACCCAGACTAGGGGGTGTTTTGCTGTTGTTTTTGCCTGCGCATGGTGCACATTGGAGATTTGCCCGTCTCCCAGCAAATGCAAGGCACGCACACACATAAACACACACATATGGACAGCCATTTGAAGGTGTGAATTTTGCTGACTGGAGAAATCAATATTAATGTCGGGCGGGTGATTGGCTGACGGAATTGACTCCAACCTGGCTGCGGTAAGCGTGGATTGAATGTCCGCGGGCCGTCCGCCCCAATCTGGAGAGAGAGGGAGGGAATGAAGAAAAGGTAGGCGGTGCGCCCCATGGATAGCTACAAACTACGGCGGGCTGACAATTCTTCGCTGGAGCGTTGCGTCGTCACCCATTGTGCAGCCAGTCGAAAACAGGCCGGCAAGGTGCCGAGGCTGAATACGTTCTGGGCGTTTCGCCATTCTCTTGCCTCGTGGTGGCTACATCCGCGCAAGTCCGAGAGAGCCTCGTCACCAGCGGGAGATCCGGCAATGGGAGAGAAAATCCTACAAAGGCTCTTTGTCTGCGTGTGTGTTGCAGAAAAAAACGCAGGCGTCGAATCAGAAGGGGAGGCAGGCGTTTGGCCAAGGGTGCCGGTTTGCAAGCCGCACGCCGGCGCAAGGGACGAACGATGGGCCAAATTGTGGAGGCCGGATGAAGAGGCGTGATTCGAGGACAAAAGCGAGGTGCATCGGATGCCGCCCGTCTTACACGAAGCAATGGCAGCTGAGAAAGCGGCCATGTCGGGCATGCCTTGAGGCGCAAGGCTGGCCAGAGCCGGCACTATTATGCAGCAGGCTGGGCAGAGAGGAAAACTCTACCGGCAACGGTGGAGCTTGCAGCGGTCATTTGCTGGTGCTGGAGTCGCTGGAGCAAGTTGGAGCTGCTGCTGGCTGGAGCGAACGGTTCTCCCGGCGCAAGACATATCGGCCCTCCCGCGTGCTACTTACACTGCCCCGCGAGCGAGCGAGTGCCTGAGGTCGCCGAGTCGCACCGGTGGGCGCGCGCCCTTGACTAGCCATGGCAAGGAACTCACGTCACAACGCTGCAAACAGCACAAGGCCGTTGCCGCAGTGTTCCACACCAACTGTCACGACAGGGATGCTGCCGTCCTTGACGAGCAAAACGACCGACGCGCCCGGATTGATCAGCCCTATCAGATATTGCAGCAGATGAAGGGCAACAGGCCACCTCGTGGCCTATGAAGCAGAAGCTCACGCACATGGCTGCTGAGGAGGAGGAGGAGGGGGGCAGCGGAGGCATCAGCGATGCGAGACGACTGTGGTTGTCGTCACTATTTGCATGGCAGCGTTTGGTCGTGGACGAGTCCAAAAAGCATGCACGGCGGGCGGGCAGCATGGCAACATGGGCGCCGCCGTCGCCGCCGTCGCCGCCGCCGCTCAGCAAGGCCAGCAAAGCACGGTGCGACCATGACGGGCTGTAGGCCTGCTCGTACCGTGGTTCGTAAGCTGTCGCATGTCCCGAGCTATGTCCTTCGCGAAGGACGCGACACAAGGAAGGACGCAGAGACGGCCCGTCGACGACTCAAGAGCCCCGAGGTGCTCCCACTAAGTACTGGCACTACTGTGCCACTCTGCGTGCATGCGTGCGCAACGCCCCTCTGGCTGCGACGACGGGCTGGGAGGCGGCCGCGCGGTGCAGACTCGACAGCCAGACGGGCAGCGCTGGCCCGGCGAGACGGCCGCGGGCAGAGCTGTGTGGGCGAGGGCGGTGGTGACATGGACGCTGATTGCAGCGGCCTGTATATAATTAAAGGCTCGTAGATCACAGCGCGACGGGAGTCCCCGAGCTCTTGGCGAGTCATACATCTCAAGCAAGCTGCCGGCCCGCAGCATCATCATGCACACGGGCCCGGGCTCCTAGGTCATACGCCAACCAGCAAGGGGCCTGACTCTGGGTGCGAGGGGAGGGGGGGGCGGGCAGGCCACGCAGGCCACGCAGGCCACGCCCGCGGTGGATGGCATGGCATGCCATGGCATGGCGGACTGGCAGCTGGTGGATTGGCGGATGCAGATACGTCGTTGCTGTGGGACGCCCGCTGGGGGGAGGGNGGGAGGGAGGGAGGGAGGCGTGATGCGATGCTGCAGCCGCGGCCACGCCCACTGCCAGCAGCCCATCCATCCGCCGGCGCCGCTCCAGGGCCTTCTGTTGCCTTCGCCCGTCTGCATCTGCTGCTGCTGCTACTGCTGCTGCTGCAGGCGGGTGGTGTGGCTGCACGTCCAATGCAAGTGAGGATGCCGCATGGCCTTTAGCGCGTTTGGCGGACCGTCGCCGTCGTCGCTGCATGGGGCGGGCAGGGATAAAAACGCCATCCTAGTAGAAGCGGCGAGAAGGTTGAGTTCTCGGGCACGCGGTGGGTAGTGTAATAGCGGCCGCTCCAACCTGAATCTCCTTTTTCGCTTCCACGCTCTTGGGTCCCGTCTCCTCCACGCGCTTCGAGAAGCCCTTCACCTCCACAGCCTTTCCTCAACCTACGACAGCCCCCTTCGCAAGCTGACGCACCCCCGACCCCAAGACACGTCCAACCAGCCCAGTCGCCCACCGCCCTTGTCCTGTCCTGTGTGCACAACCCCCCCTCGCCCCATTCCTCCGATCCGCCCACCTCGGCTTGGCTCTGCAACGAGTGCCCAATTTGCTCTGCCTTCTCTTCTCACCTGCAGCAACAGCCGACCTTGCGGCCCGCTTGCCAGTATTTTGTGACACCTCACCCGCCCCAGAGGATCTCCCGCACCACCAGACCAAAACCAACGTCCCTCCCACTTCCTTTGACGTCGAGGCTGGCCCATCTGTGTGTTGCACTGGTCAAGAGCGGCGTGTGATTGACAGGCACCACGTTGTGCCCGCCATCGAACTAGACGGCCCGCACACACACACTCTCTCTCTCTCACTCACACACGCACACACACACACTCACCGCACACATACGCTCTCTCCCTCTCCCTCTTCCTCCCTCTCTTACTCACATTCATCCATCCACCCACCCAATCTCGCCTACCGCTACCGCTACTCGTCCGCGAGCAATGTTCCCTCACCAGGGTGGCCAAGGCCAGCTTCCCACCCACTGGCAGCCGCCTACCTCGCAGCAGCCTGCGAATGGCTCTTATGCGCCGCCTCCCCATGTAAGTCGCTCTCGTGCTCGCTCGTCCTCTCTTGCCTGTTACGCGAGCCTTGCAAATCAGCACTGGTAGTCCCCATGTCATCTCATCTTCTGGGTGACAGCTTGCTGACACTTGACGTCAATCCAGATGAACACCACGCTCCCTCCTCCACCGCCCCAAGAACCACGACCCGACATGGCTCAACATCCTCAATACCAGCACCCGCACCCGCAGCCCTACCGTCTACCAGGTCCCAATGAGTGGACGCGTGCTCCTCCTCCACCAGATCCATACCGCCAGCAACCTCCACCACCACCGCAATACGTCCAGCAGCACCACCAGCCGCCAGCTCCTCGCCAGCGCACTGCCATTGCCTGCCGGTACTGCAGACGCCGCAAGGTACTTGATCGCCCAACGCAATGCATCGAGATTGTTATAGCTTACCCTTCCCCATAGATTCGATGCTCGGGCTTCGAGGCGACAGAAGACGGCCGCTGCTCCAACTGCATGAGGTTCAACCAAGACTGCATCTTCACTCCCGTTTCCGCACAGACTCAGGCTTTTGTTCCTGCTCACACCGTCTGGCGAGGTGTTGGCCAGCCGCCACCCATGTATGGTGCCTACGGGCAGCCTCTTCCTCCTGCTAGCCATGGCGAGCCCTATGGCCAGCCGGCGCGTCCGCAGCAGTATCTGCCCAGCCCAACTGCAGGTCCGTACCAAGCTCATTCTGAATATGGTCCGCCAGGTGCTTCACCAGATGAGGCAAGCCGTGATGCCGTGGCGGGCAGGAAGAGGCTTCACCCAGAGCCTCACACTCCAACCTTGCCTCCGCCACATCCTGGTTCAGCGTCACAGGCTCCTCATCGAGGCACAGGACCAGAGTATGCCTACCCAGAGCCACCATCTCTAACATCGGTTGCCCCAACAGCAAACCCACCAACCGCATATTCGTCTGGTCCTCCACCCGCTCAACCCTACTACGCCGCACAACCGCCGCGCCAGGGCTCCCCGCAGAGCGCTTATCGCTACGAGCCAAGTCGCAATTCGTCCTCGCCACACTCACAAGCGCCTACGACGCCCGGTGCTCCGCCCACACCCTACTACGGCGCTCCTCCTCAAACGAACGGTGTTCTACAGCCTCCGCCACCCCGCAGCGATGGCCGCACGCCACCGCCGCCCACATCACAAGCTTCGGCAAGGCCGAGTATGCGTATCAACGACCTAGTAACCGACAATGGCCCGGCTCGCAGCTCGACCGACTCGTCCATGCTCAACATGCTCAATCGCCGACCCATGTAAATCTTTTGTCTCGTATCAGAGGCAATGCTCTAAAGCTGGTCTTTCGAGAGCGCTACACACAAACTGGATCAAGCAAAGGGAAAAATACAGCAAAAAAAATTTCGATTGATTGCGGGACCCGACTTTTACTCGTTTCCTCGTGTACAACCTTTCTTCCTGTCCTGTCGACATCTGCTATCGCAAGGAGTTCTGGCTGGTAACAGCATGCTTTCTGGGCGGAATTCTGCTTTTTAAACGGCGATAAAGAGCATCGAGACTTTTCTATTTAATACTGAAAGATCTACCTGACTGTCATTTCCGGGGTTGTTTTATTTTTTATTTATTTTTCCTGTTTTTTCCTATCATCTCGAGTGCGCGGAGGTTGCTAATCTGACGATGTTACGCCCTCATTCCGGTCTCCAGAGTGGGTGTGTCATCTTTTTAACGTTTGGCGGCGAGCGCTCGATTCCGGCTGTTCTGTTGAACATAAGCTACTAAACTGGGTGGTATTCTGTCTTTTCCTGCAAGCTTTTAGAACTGGAGGGTTGCATCATGTCACGGAGGCTTGGTTGATAGTCGCATCATCTCAAGGCCTGGGTCGAACCAGCTCTTTACGTGCTTCACTGCATTGGCTGGGGCAGTGGTAGTTTGTGCTTTTTTGTACATCTTTGTTACGGTTCATGTTATCCATTTAGGTGCGGTTGCTATATTCCCCCTTCTTCTAACTGTCTCTACCGCATTTTTAAACTTCTCTCTATTCTGTCTGGGATCTTTCTCACTGGTGGGCGGCTATCTGAATTTTTACTCGCAAAGACACGTCCAAACGCAAATGGGTCATCAGCAGCAACGTTATGTAGTACTTGTTTTTCTTGGTTTCTTCTTTCTTCTTCTTGTTATGCTTTGGACTAGCTATCTAAATTGAAGACGTTTGATGGTGTAATGCTTACTGGGCTTTGGTTGTTTGGGTCAACGGTGAAGAGCATGTCTTCCCTTATGTGTCAGCTTACACTAACGTTGCTACTACCATGTATGTAACCACCACTAACATGCTTAGTCACATTCATTTGGGGGGGGGGGAACGTGTCGTGTACATTGTGTTGCACACGAACATAAGCACGAGCAACGCAGGGTCAACCCGAGTACGAGGACGGATATGCACGTGTAGTGCCTTCCTTTTCCGTGTATACCGCTTCCTACCCCCCACAGAAGAGAAAAGTAACCAACCCGCCACAGACAGCTTGGACCACACACACGCACACTTTCCACTTCTTCTTCTTCTTCTTCTTCTTCTGCTGCTGCTGCTGCTCATTCTTATTCCGGCACCCGGTTCTCGATCGATCCAAGTACCAGGGAAAGTCGACATGTCATGTCTTGCAGCTCGACTATCCATCGTACCAGGCCATTCTACTCATTACACGCATGACTGGCACAACCGACACCCGATGATCGCACCAGCCTGTGCGTCGTCGGCAGCCGCCACACTCATCACGCCAGACAAACGCTATCGATCAGAAAAGTCCTCAGGCCGCGGTTCCGTATCGGGATCTATCGGCAACGATAACTGCTCGGTCAAGCCATTTGACACCGGTACGGCACGCAGAGCCCAGCCGACCGACTGCGAGCGATGCTGCTTGAGTTACGTCGAGATTCACATCATTGGTCTTGGTTCAGCGCCGGACTTGTTGCATGGTACAGAGACATGGGCTTGATGCATCATACGGTAGCAGCGCCGCCGTCTCTCCATATAGCCTGGAGGGATGGTGATTGCTTCTGACTACTGGAGGGCACGGGAAGAGGCGCTATGGCGCTTGGAGCAGAGGGTTGTCAGATGCAGGGAAGACACAGGTTCTTCTTGGTCCTGAGCTTTAGTGTACCGACATCTTGTGGCGTTGGTGTGTCTGTGTCCGTGTCGGGCGGCCAGATGATGATCCGGCCATGTCAGGTCAACGCTTGGTGGCGCTATCACTATCTTTCTACCACTACCCATGGCCGAGGCCAGCCAAAGCAAGTACGGAAAGGTTACTTTTTGTCTTCCCGTCGGCTGCCGGCGTGCACATGATCAGACCACGAAGCGAACCAGCCGTGTAGTACGTGTATGTGCTATTACAGCTGTCGAATTGGGGGGTTCTCTAACGTTACTAGTTAGATGGGGCTCGCTTTTGTAGCGTACAATAACCTTCACCCAACACATTCTAAGTGGATTAACGGAACGGAGCGAGAAGCAAAGTTTGAGCCGCGATGCTGCTAGGACAAGTTGCCAACCGTCATAGGGCGTCCAACATACACCTAAGTACTTGGCCGAGCACAAGATGCAGGGCAATTCCCTACTGACCCAAGAACGAATACGACTTCACTAAAGGCAATGTCGCACTCGCAAACGACAATTGTTCGCTCTGCAGCTATGGCTGTTTGTCAAGTCGAAAAGACCAATTCGGAAACTGACATCAGGTGGAAGGAGCATATGCCGGGGCACTCGGCTAGGCTCATTGCCCTGACAATCCTTTCCTCCGAAGGTGAAACAGAAACTTATTCCCAAGTAAGGAGCTATTGTCGAGGCCAGGTCCAAGGTTCTTCCCGTCTGACTTGATCTTGGTTGCTGGGCCCCGTTGGGTTTATTGATTCCGTGAGATGGGCAAGAAGGATTGGCAAGGGTACGTAGACGGACCTGTCACGATTCGCTTTCAGCCTGTTCTCCGTTTCAGGCACGAACCGCAACGGCCCAGCATCCCTTCCCATTCCCTTTCCCTCCCGCAGCACACGCACGCACGGGGCCGTATCACTTAAGCCTACACGTGAAATGTCTCGAACCTAGTATCAGACCCGTGTATTCCGAGGCCCCCCGCATACTTATCATACAAACAATCCTTCCTCGGAACTACCCATTGGGGACAATGACATGGGGCGTTCCCACCGCAAGCGAAAAAGCAATGAAAAACGACGTTTGGGGCAAGGGCTTGTCACGGGACGGTGCGGGACACAAGGAATGGGAAGCACGTTTCGAGCATGGGGCCGTCGGCCGCCGCCATGTGTTGTGTCGTGCAAACTGAGTCAGAAAAAGAGACTATTATGGGCTAGAGACCCTGTCCTTGCTCTCTCCAATCTCACGCCTCAGCTTAGCCCATCACTAGTGTACCGCTCTTTTTCCTTTCCAATCTTTTTTCCCTCTTCTCTTTTTCAGCTTTGGTTCGGAGCGTGCAGGTCCGAAGTACACTGTGCGCTGTCCTGGCCAGTACTTAGACCAGGTAGTGCCTTGGTCATTCGCTCGAGCAACAAAAAAATATACAATCTTACCGATGGATTCCTGGCTGTGTGAGAGCGGAGGGTGAGATAGGTACAGGATGGACTGTCGGAGGAGCGGAGCGAGAGACGGCGACTTCCAGCACACCTTCCAAGAGGAACCGACCCATGTTACGTACTTCGATACTATTCCTATTGCTTTCAGCACATCCATGACAGTAACGTCAACCGCGCCACGGTGGTATTTACGGCGAAAAGAGCCAAGGCACGCACGCATATCGCGTGGCCATCCGTAGGTCTCCCCCTTCCCTTCCTCCACCCTTGTCTCTTCCATCCAATCGCTCGTCCGTCCAAGTGCGCAAAGGAATAAGACCCTGGACCCATTTCTTCCGTGCGTTCTCACGGTGGCACCCCCCCCTCCCCCTCTTGGCCAAGTACAGGAAGCGACCGCAGGACATGTGCCTGTCTGTACCCGATGCGATACCGAATGCCACGTATTGCTGGGGGAGGGGGGGGGGGGCTCTTAATGTCATTGTCATCCACTTCTGTTCCGCTGTTCGGCCGCGACAGCCGTACATATGCATTGATGGGTCTTCAAACCGCCGGTATACGGAGGACTCCAAGATCTTGGTAACATAACCCACAATAAGATCGAGCGAGCGGGAAGTTCAACATGGGAAAGCGAAAGTCAGTTTAATAAGTGAATCCCGCTTACCACTGCCGCTACCACTGCCGCCATCAAAGTAAAAAAAACGTCTCCCTAGCTTATCCCTTGCACACCACCAGCTACCGCCACATAAGCCACAAACAGGCACTCGCAATCACATTCCCTTCTCCCTGTGTGCCAACATGTGACCGTCCAGACTGATCTGAGACTCTCACCTGAACGTTCTTTCTTTTTCCTTTCAGCTTACGCTACGGCAAACGCCTTTTTCATGTGCACACCAATAGCAACGCCAGCGCCTAACCTTCTCACAGCAAATACACATGACTTGTGGTGCATTCCGCAGCCAAGTCACAGCCACCACGCCAAGCCCATGAGTAAGCTGGAAGGAAAAGGAACAAGAAGCAGGAAAGGCGAATAAGAGGGGAAAAAAAGAACCATGACGAGTGGTGAGCGTACCCGACGCTACCATCTTTTTCCCGATCCCCCCTCCCTTCCTGTGATACTCTCCTCCCCATCCACCACCACCACCAACAAATCAAACTCTGACAACGCCCCCCTCCCCTTCCCTTCTTGCCCCCACCCACTAGCCGCGCAACGTCACCGTAGCCCCATCCACATAATGCCTCCCTCAATGAAAACCCACTTTTGCCCTCGCAAACAAGAAAACTAAAAGCACTAGCGTACCGTATCTCGTGCATCGGAAAAGAGCCTAGCGCCCGGCTTCGCCTTCCCCCCCCCCTTGACCTTTCCCCTCACCAAGAGAGCAAGAAAAAAACGGAACGCCACATAGGCGTGTGCTAAGTTGGTAGCTGAAAGGAATTTTTTTCTCTCTTTTTATTTGCTCTTTTTTTTCTTTGCGGTAAATGTGAGTAGAGAAAGTGGGGAAAGGGTCTAGATGGGGTCCCGTTCCGCCCTTCCGCTTTGTAACTTGCTTTAGAATGCCTGTTCTTTTTTTTTTTTGTGTTTTGGTTTTACACACCTTAGTAATTTTGAGGCAGCGGAAAGGCCAAGTCAAAGCAAAATCAAGAAAAAAAAATTTAGACAGCCTGTGCTACGTATTCATTTTTTGGGGGGGGGGCTTTACTTTGGTGGCTGCGCTGCGGGAAGGTGAGGAGGCGGGTGGGGTGGCTTTTTGCGTAGTCAGTTTATAGGCGGATTTAGACTGGGGTTTACTTGATCGAAGGGGGGAGGGTCGTTGGGTTTCTGTCTGGTGGCATGGAGGCAAGGGGTTGGGGGGAGTGGGAGACGGGGGTGCGTGTTTTAGGGTTGCTTGGAGGTTCTTGGAGGTTGTGTTGGGGTCGTGCGGGCGGAGAGAGAGAGCGCGCGAGGCTGGTACTGGTGGGGTGGAGGGCGTGTCAGCGTCATGTTTGCGTAGGTTTTGGAGGGTTGGGCGGTGATGCTATGGCGGGGGGGATTATTGTGCCGTTTAATTTTTTTTCCCTTTGCTGTGGGAGAAAGTGTTGGGCGGGTACCTTTTTTTGGGCTGGATTTGACTGGATTCGTGACGTCGTTGTTGGAGGAAGTTGGGTTTGTTAGATAGAGAGTGTGTGGTAGTCTTGCCGAGCTGGGGTAGGTACTTACTTTGTAAGTAGTCCTCTTCAGGTATTGTTCGTATATGACGAGTCTGTTATTAATCCCCAGGGACAACATAGTGGTGCGCCATTTGCGGCAAGTGAGATCGATTCGACATGCCATTCTGAACAAAACATTCCCAGCCATTACAATCAAAGTTTCCCGTGTTTGTGTTTGAACTATGGAAACACAACGTTCTTTGAGTATATCGTTTACCAAATCTAGACACACGACCCAGGAAGATGGAAACTCAGTTAAGAACTGTTATTCTCTAATTCACCATCAACTCGGTAATGATCTACAAGGCTATAACCATCTACACTTTCTTTCCATCCAGCACTAAAAACCCCCCCGAAATCACAAATGAAAGTTCAGAAGAAGAAAAAAAACACCCAGAGAACCATGTACCAGTTCCACCGTCCCAAGGAAACTCCTCACTATTTTTTTCTTTCTGCGACGAGAAAACCTGTCACTTGCATGATAAGAGAGTAAGAGAGAAGAAAGATTAACAAGAAGAAAAGCCCCACAACCGAACACCCCGCTCTCGTTTGTGAAGAGAGGGGGGGGGGGGGGGGCAAGAAAGGAGGGTCATCGTTCGCCCGAAATAAATAAAGGAGTTAAAAAAAAATTAAGAAAGAATCAAAACTCAACGCCTTACTTGAACCTGTCACGTCTGAACCGTGATGACGTTGCTCCTCGCTTCACAACACCGCGCCAAGTCGCACGCAACCGAGCAAGGATTGCGTTCCGCCTCCTTCTCCTCCTGCTGCGGGCTGCGGCAGTAAGTGACCGCGGCGGCGACGGTGTGCTACTATCCGCTGCAGCGGCATCTGCGTTTCCTACTACTACTAGTGCCGACGGGGACGGCGGTGATGGTGAACGATCTCCCGTCGCCACCGTAGTTCCCGAGGCATGTCTCGAGGACTGTGAGGCCAGTAGGTTTGGCGGACCCGGGTTCGGGGGCCAGATATTGGAAGCAGGGCCGGGATCGAGATACGGGACGTGGGAGAGCATGCTGTTTGGGGGCGGGGGGAAGAGGGCCGAGCCTGTGCTATTACTTCTGCTACTAGTAGATTCTTGGATGTCGTCGTCGTCATCGTCGTCGTAGTAGTAGTAGTATCCGGCTAGGGGGTCGTAGGTTTGCGAGGAGCGGCGTTGGTGGTGGCGAGCAAAGTATTCGCGTTCGAGGGAGGAGGCGATGCTGGAGCTGTGGGTTGCGTTTGAGGATGTGCGGCCGAGGGGCTCGCAGAGCCACCAGTCTATTACGTAGTCGTCTTCTTCTTGCTGTGCATCGCGGAGGCTGTCGACTCGCGTGCGCTGCGAAGAGAGGGAGCTTCGCCGGCTGGTTGGAGGCGCGGTGCTGACGCCGTTGACCTGGGGACCGAGAACATCATCAGCCATACGGCTCCGCGGTGGGCGAGCGCTCCTACTAGAGAAATGGTCGTTCACGCCATTGGGGATTGTAGCGTTCGGAGGCACATGATAGTTCCGGTGTATAGTTGCTAAAGCAGTGTTTGTTAGTGTATTCATTTGAGGCATGACTGTCCATGTGATGTCGGGGGGTAACGGGAGCACCATCGTAGTAAAGCCCATTAGAGACATGATCAGACATACCATTTCGAAGAACATGACCACCCACGTCTTCGGATGCGACAAAGTCACCATTGAATTCTCCATACGAGGCGCCATCTTCCATGTGACCTTGCGTTGCAGGAGCGCCATTATAGTGAGGTTCGTCTGAGCCGTTGACAAGCGAACCGGCCTGAGCCATGTGATTTTCCAAGTTCTCCGTATCGGGTGCATTCCCATTGGTATGTTCATACGAGGTATCAGCAGGCTCGTCGCTTAGACCTCCTTGGATATCGACCCGGTATAGGGAATCATTACCATCCGATGATTGGTCTGACCCATTATCGTTTCCCCTAACCCTGTGGTTTCTAGAATCGTCATCATCTGGCGAGGAAGCACCTCCTCTCAAGCCAATGTAAGAACATGGTATTTTGAGATTATAGTTCTTCTGAATGTCTTTTTGTCGGTTCGGGAACGACCTTTTCGTCTTTTCCCACACAGACTCGTTCAGTCCCAACTCTGGTGGTTGTTTGCGGTTCTTTGTACAGTATGATTCATAGACTCTCTGCACTTCCATGTAGTTGGTCAGAGCAGTGTAACTGCCCTTGCGCCCGCGGTTTCTAGTCTTGTTGATACCGATATATCTATTAGGGTAATGCCGTTTCGACGAATTTTCTCTAAGGTACTTCATTCAACGAGGTATCCACGTCTGTAGATCCTTTGATATATGAGACGGTAGAGGGAGTACGCGATAATCATTGGGCTTGAGAAGATGTCGACTACAATCGGTAGCCGACACGAGAGATTAAGCCTTACAGGGGAGGGCTACAGAGGCGAGGGCCAACAGGAAAAAAACGACATCTTTTTAAAGCGGAATCAAAACAAATTTGCAGCGGCGGTGTGATGAGGGAGAAGGTATGGGAAATATGGCGAAGGTGTAGGCATCGGTGTGCTGCGCCGAGTGACCCGTGTCCTTTTTGCAACCATAGTTCGTTGTCATGCCCAATGGGCGTATGCCTATTGAAAAATTACCATATGTTACTAGACAACCCTTTTCATGTTCAAGAGTGGGGCTTCTATTACAGAGATCTTACAGCTACAACTCCAAGGTACCACTACAGGCCATTTGTTTAAATCGTTACTGTGCCTGTGAAGTCGATTTTTTACACGATTCTAGCGCGTTCGGGCGTGGCCTACCATTCTTTTCCAAGGAATAACCATATGATGCTCCCAAGGCGGAACGAAAATAATAAATTCAAATGACACGTATGATAGTGAATGAAGTCGAGATTGACTTGTGACGAAGTTGAGAAATGGCCAAAGGCATCGTGGGCCACCCGTCATTGGAGTTTTCTCAGATGTATCCCAATAGCGGGATGGGTACAACAAAAACTGGTCCGAGACAACACAAGAACTGTCTAAGGTAAAATACGCTCTGTGATTTTGCTCTCTGAGTCAATTGTACGCCAACCGCATGCGAATGTTTGTGACTTGGTTGTTTAACCTGAGAATGCTGCGCTGTTGGGCTTGAACGGAGAAGACCCTGTTTACGATCATATTGCAAACAGATTACTATCTGAGATGTTCTTTCCTGATCCGATCTTGGTACGTGTAGTGTGAAGCAGACTCATTTTCGATTCACCACATGTCTCGCCACATGATTGTTTGCGAGCTGTCATTTTAGTGATGTGTAGGGAACAAGTGGGTAGCGATATCTGTGGAGGTAAATATTGTTGGATACCATGTCAGACAGAGAAATCATCTGATGTAGAGACGAAACAACACAACGCTCTTTAGCCATGTTGACATTAGCAAGCAGAGATCAGTTGCACCTGCTTCTGCACGCAGAAATCAAGGAGGCACTTCCTTCCCATCCCAGTCCCAACACTTTCCTCGCCCTTCAATCCCCACTTGCTCGATCACATCGATAAGTCTTTCAGCAACCCATTCCCGCTCAAATAGCTTCTCCTTTTTGACGTTCGCCCAAAAGTCCTTGCTCAAACCGGTCTTGACGGTACCTGGATGTAAAGCTACTGCCATTGCATTCTCTCCAGATGCAGTGCGAAGATGATTATCAAACGTCTTTACTGTTTGGTTGACACCTGCTTTAGATGCGCGATAACTGTACCATCCTCCGAGACGATTGTCACTGATGCTACCAACACGAGCTGACATGATGGCCATCGTAGCGATGCTTGGTAACCCCTCCATCTCTTCTTGCTCTCTATCAATGTTGTGAGACTTTCTTGGCAAGAAGGAGGAGAAATGTTTGAGCATCAACATCGGACCCAAAGTGTTGGTTCGAAAAGTTAAGAGCGCATCATCGGCATTGATCTGAGTGGGCGATTTTTCCGGAAAGAGTATTCCAGGTACTACCAATGCAAGCTGAAGCTGATTCGAGCTGCCACTCAACTGACTTTTGCATGCCGCTGCTGTATCTGCGATTGTCTGTTCATCTTTACAGTCGTCAGTAGATGCTTCGGAGTAATTTGGATGCAGTCTCTAGGTACCGAGAACATCTAATCTTAGAACGCTTAGCCTTTTTTCGTCCACATCAAGGCCATCAAGAAGTTCTTCCTTGGTCTTGTCCAAGTCCTTCCGTGCTGTTGCAACGACCGGCGCATTTGTGGTTTGCAAGACCCTTCTCGCGAGCGCAAAGCCAATGCCTCGCGAGGCTGGTGATATCAGCGACCATGGCGGCATTGTTTTATGTATGATGAATAGAAAATCGAGATGGCCATGGTAAGAATGTTATTTGGCTGTTTGTAAGGCTTCTGAAAGGTGGTCCACACACGATCTATGATGCCATACTTGACTTGTCGATCGGCTAGCCTGATTTAGGTAGTACTAATCTAGCACAGGTAGTAGCCTTCAGCTACCAATGCGATATAATTGCCACAACAACACTTCCAGCTCACGGAAATCTTTTCTTTCTGACGAAAACAATAGGGTACTATTCACTGATTAGGGTGTTATTCGTTTACAGTCTAACATTCTTGTAGCTTTAATGGTGAAGATAGTCAGGTGGTCACAAAGTCAGCACAAAGCTCCTGATTGTACAACAACATGCAAAGTCTTCACTATGTAGACGTTAAGTTGATTTTAGAAGGAAAGACACACTACCAAAACATACTATCTACATTCATACCTCCAATCTTTGCAACAAGGCTCTCAAGATCAAGTTTTCCGTCTTCGTAGCGTCCTCAATCTTCTTCACACCTTTGTATACCTCACCTTCCAGCCGCTTCAATGTCTCGCGCGTATATGACATACTACCTGTGCGGTCAAGTTGCTTAAGTAAGAGATTCTTCTGCTCATATGAGAGGTGCCCCGCATCTCTTCTCCGCTGAAGAAGCTCACGCAGTAGCTGAGTTCTTTCCGACTGTACGCTCAACGCGTGTATTAGTGGAAAGGAAAACTTGCCTTCATCCAAATCTTGACAGAACCCCCTTTTCTCAGTATAGTCTTTGGAGCAAAGGTTCTGGTAGTCGTCACGGATCTGGTATTGTATCCCAATAAGGCTTACAAGATCTTCGACATCAGCGATTATGTGCTTGTTTGACTCTTTGCTCGTCGAACATGTGAGAAGTAGTCGCGTAAGGAGTAGAAACATTGCTCCTGTCTTCTTCTTTACCATTTCTAGGTACTCGCTGTCTGACGGACACAAGTTGTTTTGTGTCCAGTAGAGGTCATGCGACTGTCCGACATGCAATTCGTCTAGCCCTTCGAGGACTATCTCGACTGCATCAGGGCCCAGCTGCCGAGCTTCTTCCACCGCTCTTACAAACTCGTAGCATCCTGAGTTGATTGTCTGCGCAACACCAAAAACAGCATGCGCTGCTGGTTCGCCTCTTCGAAGAGTGGACCTGTCTTCGACGTCATCGAGTATGAGGGATGCGGAGTGGAGGCGATTTCCTATTGATTTGACACGCGACACGGCCAGTGGAGGTACATTGAACCATACAGCCAATGCATTTATGAAAACATCTCGTGCACCTCCAGAGGGTAGTGACTTGATGTAGTCAACTGGTGCTCTGGCATACCTAGAGTCCAAAGACACACTCTTTGGGGAATGAACGACCACCGTCTGCTCGATTTCAGAGCTCGAGGAAACCGAATCAAGTGACGAGCGAGAGCAACTGCTGTCTGCTATTGATACGGTTTCATCAGAGACCGTAATGCAAGTCTCAGACGAAGACTTCCGTGAATTGACAATCCTTAGATGAGGATTTATGATGCTCGGTTTGCCTGCGTGTTCCTCAGGCTTGCGGATAAATCGAGCCTCGTAGTTGATTCCCAGGGCCTCTGGCATTGATTTTGCTGTCAGTTCATCTTCCAGACCAGCATTTGGATCGTATCTGGCTTCAGGACGGTATCGAGGGCTGTTCAAACTCCAAACCACGTTCCCGCTGATCTGGCACTCTAGTGCATACAGGTGTCTGCTCAATTTCTGGGACATTTTCTTGTTTTCTCGTCGGTAATTTGCGCAGTTCTCCAGAAATTTGTCTTCATTCTGCCGTGTTACGTCCAGTATCACCCTTTTTGCGACATCGACGTCCACGTCGTTCCACTGCATATACAACCAGACAGCGTTCGACAATGTCCCCACTTGTCCTGACTCTGAGAACTCGAGGTATTCTCGGTCAAAAGAAAGGTAGTCGTTTGCTAGTGCTAATGCTATGAAGCCTGGTTTGCGGATGGGTTCGAGCTGATCGTCCTCTTCTTCGGTAAGTGTCACACCCATGCCGAAGAGTAACAAGGCCTCTATGACGCTATCATCAGATCAGTATATACTTGAAAAAATAGCTGAATATACTTACGATGTTCCGGCATCAATAAGTCGGAAATCCAAGTACTCGTCTAGGGAGCCATATTGTTTTCCCTTTTCACGCAGAATCAAAGCGATGGCTTCTTTGAAAGTCCTCCTGACTCTTTCCGCGCATGCTTGGTCTACTGATGTGAGTTCATTCATAATCTTTCCTTGGATCTGAGCTCTGCCTAGCGTTGGATCTGTGCCCTTCCATTCTTGTCGCTCGGGATGATCAAAGTGATCGTGTTGATCGTCCTTCGGATAAAAAACCTCAAATCAGTATATTGGAAGTTATGAGGGGATTTGTAGGCTCTGACATACCACGTCTGGCTTTTCAAGTTCGATGACACTGTCATACAGAAATATATCTATGCCATGGTTAGCAACCTGATATTGAACAGAGAACATTGTAATCTTGCGATGTCATGCACGAAGAGGTGGGCTTCATACACTCAAGTACATAAGCAACTAGTCTCATACGTTCAGGCTTTGTGAGCGGTAAAGCTAAAGCTGAGAAATTGCCATTGATGGGATTGCATCCCCCAAACTGTTCCGTAGGCCCGACATACTTGATCCAGTCCAATCTTGCTTTATGGGATCCTGCGTTAGCCTCAGCCTCCCACCTATGTCTTCGCAAACTATAGTTCCTGCAAAGGCTATCTGTATCATAGTTTGAGAGTGGTACAGTGAAGGAAATCGCGTCGTCTAGTTCTTGGCTCGAGATATAAGTTGACATTTTGTTAAGAAGGGAGCTTGAGAGCGTAATCTGTAAGGCAACTTAGATATCCAGATAGGTTTAAATAATCCTGTCGACTATAGATATAATAGAGCGGTCTAGACAGGGGATTGGCCTAGGCTACCTTGTTCAAGGTGTTGGGCGCAGCCACGTAACAGCCACGGCTACGCTAAGAGTGTTATCGATAGAGAAGATAGTAGTAGTAGTACAGTGCACAGACGAAAAAAACCAACTTGCGCACGCTATAGAGCTGATAATTTAATATAGACAANCTAGAGGCAGGCTGTACGAGTTGTTTTACACTTGTTTCGAGTTGTGCAGCGCCGTATTTGGTGAGATGAGTTTAGTCTGTTAGTAATAGGGTGAAGGGTGATAATAGAGTGATGATAGGGTGACGTACGACTGTACCCCTGCTCGCTTGCTGTCCCTTATTGTGTTGCCCAACACCCTTGTGGGGGATAGTGCGTGTAAAGTTTCGATCTCTCGTTTCCAAAGTAATGCTTAAAATAGATCACATAAGAATGTCCATTATATTCATACAGCAATTTGGAGCCAGAATTTTAAAGACACAAATATACCAAGACTCATTTACATACAAGTTCTGGGCATTCAGTGTGAGCTGTTGCTATCATTGTCTTCACATAAACCCTCCAGGACACTTCGAAACAACCACAATGTGCACTGAAGAATTTGCACATTATCTACGGCTGAAAAGATCCACTAATATGACATGTATCAGAAGCTCGTTTACCAAAACTGTGGCGTACGCCATTTCAGCCAGCCTCATTAGTAGTCTCACCGGAGGGCGCTCCGTAGTCTCGCTTAAAAACGAGAAGAGCAAATGACATTCAAGCTTGAAGTGTACTAGATACACCTAGCAGTAGTTTGAGTCTTTTTAGAACCTAAAGACATCTAATCTTGGACTTTAATTCGATCAAGCACCAAGCACCAAGCACAGCAGCGGAAGAAGGCTTAGCTGACAGACCGGTGAAGCAGCACACGCACCCTCCAGCATACAACATGCAGTGTATATCATAGTGCCTGCGAGATAACAGTGAACTTGGCCAACCAAGATCGAGGATAGGTTTATTCTAGACATTCAGAAGCCAACATTCTGATGGTTGACAAGCCACAGACCAACGAGTTAAGCCCAAATGAATGAAAGTGTAAGTTGGGCCATCCATGATGGAAATTGAGCGAAAAGTGTGTTCCATGTAGTCGCAAATAATAACCGCGCAGAGGAAATATAATCAACTCTCATCTTTCTGGCTTTGCATCCTCAAGGAGTGTAGATGTCCGTGGAAAAATAGCAACCAATCATGTCACCCCATCAAAATGAAGAGTACTGCGTGTACCGACACAGCCGAGTTTCCCACCGCGCACACAAAAGTATGCCATAAATGTAAATCTAGAGTCAGATTGGCTGACCAGAACGTCACTTGAAGAAGCTGATGATCAATGCGCTGGCAACGACATTACTCCCTGACAGGCGCTACAGTGCTGGATCGACGCAGAACACGTGGAGCAAAAGCCTGTTTACTTTTTTTGGAACATTGAAAGGAAATACAGACGCTGAAAAAACGAGGAAGTGGTTGCATCCAAACCAAACAGGAGCATTGTGCGATGTGCCAACTATAACTAGTACGCGTACATATTGAATCGCATCTTGGCAAGATGACCCAACTAGCACCGCCACCAACACTACGATTACGTCGAAAAAACTACACTTGAACATCATCTGACAACCGAAGGCCCTCTTTCTCTTTTCTCTCCAATAGAAAATTGGTCAGCAAATCTCACTTCCGCCCTCGCAAAGCCTATTGGCCATATCACTGCTGATTCGGAAAACGCCTGCCAAGCAACTTTAGTATGATGTATACGCTATACTCACTTACGAATATACGTAGTACAAAACAACCCGCCAAATTCGAAGAACCAAGTGTTTTACAAAGTAAGCCCAACAGCAACAGACGGGTGGGCTGTGCCGAACGTCAGCGTGAACAAGAAAAAAACCATGTCAGCCTGGGCGGTCATGTTGAAGGATGAAAATTTCGTCCAACCATCATCACCAAGGGTAACAGTGACATGGAAGTTTCCGCCACGCTGGTTGCCTGGAGAAATCATGAAAGCAACATATAAAGAGAAGAAGAAAACAAAAGGAACAAAGAACCAATTCCTCATTCTAACTTACAAACACCCATCCATTCTACAATTCCATAACCCAATTCCCTCTCTCACTAAAAGAAAAACACACATATCTCAATCGTCCTCAAAATGTACCTCTCAACCCCCCTCTCCACCCTCTTCCTCCTCGCCACCTCAACCCTAGCCTACGACTCCATCTCCTTCACCACCTGGAACTGCACAGACTGCAACCCCGTCCCGGGCACCTTCTGCTCCATCAACACGCGCAGCCAGCTACCTCCAAACCTGTGCGTCCCCATGTGGAACGGAAGCACGTACATTCGGACGTTTGATGCGACGATTCCGTCATGCCAAGGTACGTAATGCATGCTTGTTGTTATGAGCGAGATTATTACAGGAAGGGAAAAAAGGGCTGATTGATGCGATACAGTGAATCTTTACTTGGCAGACGATTGCACGGGTGCGGCGGAAGTGCACAGGGAGAATGGCGGGAGGTGCGAAACCAAGGGGCCAACGAATTCTTTCCAGATTACTTGCTAGATGGACATGTTCCTCCGCTTTGGCTTTTCCTTGGTGGAAGCGGTAGGCAAGCTGGATACATGTAAACAAACGACGGTACTATGTGCGAAAAAAAACACACACTGACTTCAAGAGGTGAGAAGAGAAGAGAACCGCTGTAATTGCTAGTTCAACACATGGCATTTCGCGGAACCCCCCCTCCCTTCTCGCTGTTTGATATGTACTTCTATATTCAATATTTAATAAGAAAAGAGGGCGTCTCTAATATCCATTTCTTCTCCCATAACTCAGAACCTATGCGTTAGCCGTCTTATCGTTGTAATAATGAATCGTCTGATCCGCACACCCACTTGGCGTCTGGTACAAGTAATTGCCTAGATTGATATACAGCTTCTGGCCCGTACACACATACCACGCGCTCTTGTTCGGCCGTGTGACGTCTGTGCTGGTCCACTGCAGGTCGTCGCCGCCCCACGCAAACGTGCCGTACGTGTTCTTAGTCTCGGAAAAGGTGACGGCGAGAGACATGTTGTTGATGGAGCGCTCAGGGGACACGTTGGCGTAGAGGAGCTTGACGGGCGCGCCGGGCGCGGACACGAGTTGCACGAGTTGGCCGGAGACGACTTGGAGTTGGCCCGCCGTAGTGTAGTCGCCCAGGAGGGCGGGGCCGGTGGAGTAGAGTGGATTGGTTTGGATATACTTGTGGAAGTTGGGGGCGGCCACGGCGCGGATCCAGTAGTAGCCTGTTTGGAGGATTTTGCCGGGCCCAGTGCCGCCTGGGACGCTGCTGGTGGCTGGTTCGCTTGGAGTTGAGTTGCTTGGAGCTGATGGGGTGGGTGTGGGCGTGGGTTCTGGGTTGGGTGCTGGTGCTGCTCCGGGCTGGCACTGGGAGTAGTATTCACTGGATATGGTTAGGAATGACGAGATTTTTCTTTTTGTAAATAGATCTTGTACTTTATCTTGACACATCCGGAACCAGAATTACATGTTGTTTGACCACTCCAACCAATGCCACCGCCTGCGCTGAAGTTAGCCCATGTGCTGGAATAGATATATTGAACACACATTGTTGCCAGTCACCGACAGCGGCAGACGTGGTGCCAGCTAGCAAAGCCAGAAAAGCGGTTGTTGTGTAATGCATCCTGGGCCCTTTAGTTATAAGTCAATAGCAATCTAAAGAAACACAAGATATTCCTTGTCTGGCAGCCGTGAACCATATTGTAGTAACCAACCATGATATTTATACTACAGAACGTTTCATCTGGCTCAAAAGAACACCATGTGATGCCAATTAACAGCGTCCGTACCCTTTAAACATCGGACCGTAGTCGCCGCGTAAAGTGGATAAAGTACCCCCCATGCCTGCAAGTCGAGGCCGGAAGCCGAGAAAAAAGACTGGGGCAGTAATATGCTTGCGCAGGCTTAAATTGCTTGATTAAAAACAATCAAACTTTACTGGCTCAACTCCCGGATCTGGCGACGGCGGATGATGCAGAGGAGGATCCAAGCGAATCTTCCAAAACCGAATGCAATTTAGGTGATTCAAGTTAGCATCCTGGAATTGTATCTGGATGTCACCGAAATTGGAGTGCAGCCTTGCGACCAGGTGCGCGGGTACGGGTGACTACCATCGAGCAGGCCTCTGGTACCGGTCCATAGAGATGGGCAAGTTTCTCTGGACATGGTCGTCAAATCTAGCGCTTCCGTCTGATCGATGTCGCGACATGTGCATTCGACGTGGATGTAGTTTTTCGTCCTGTCGCGCTGCGTTTTGGATGTTCGGTGACATCTACAGCCGCCCGCAAAACCCAACAACCAGCACTTTAGACCCGCATCATGACACCTCAGCAACCCCAGTAATCGGTTCTGGTCTCGCAGAAAAAATAACCCTATATCTCACCACCTCCACAATCTCCAGCTCCTCCTCTTTTCCCCTCTTACCCTCGCCCTCCGTACCCCCCATATCCACATCCTCTCCACCATCCTCGCCAACCCTCTTACGCAGCACAGCAATCGGATTCGCCAACTTTTTACATTCGCCCGTCATCCGTTGGCCCTTGCCAATATACATGTACACGCGCTTCATCCATTTTGTATCGCTAGGGCCGTTGATTTCTGGGTTGTAGTGCGGAAATACGAGTTTGCCGATTTGAGTTGAGGGTTCAGAGGAGGAGGCGGGTGCTGGGAAGTGGATTGTGCCTTGGATTTCGAGGAGGGCTAGGCCGGAGGGTGTGTGGAGGATCTGGGGGAGAGGGTTTTCGGTGGGAAGTGGGGTTGGTGGAGAGGGGGCGATGCGAATAGGTATTGACGGCATTGTGCTGTATTTGTGTAGTAGACGTATCTAATGGTTTGTGTGAAACGGTTGTGTTTGTGAAGCGGTAATGGAAGAAATCTTGGGGATACTTTGCAGACGCGACGCGCCAAAGCTTTGGTGGGGCAGTTGGATGGTGGGGGTTAGTAGCCTCACCATACGTATACGACTTTGTCCTGTCTTGCTGCCATGTGTTGATCATGGTCAAGCGAGATTCAAGGGAATAACACTCTTAGAGCACAATTAAAAAGAAGAATAGTTGTCAAGTTAGAAAAAGCTACGAGGGCTTTCTTTCCTGTTTGCCACTATCTTTTCCCTTTACCACTACAAGCACCTCTCTATTCAATACGCACCATTCACCATCTCAATAAATGCCTGGTCGCATCATGACACATCTTTTATACCAACCCATGGATTATCTCACATTGAACACATGACCAAGATCACAATTACACCCAAAACAACCATACCAAAGCGATGCTTACATTGCCCCAGTCCCGCCTTCCACCTCAACACCGTCCATGTGTTGAACATGAACAAAGCGCAAAGCCAGAAGACTAGAGAACAGACTACATAGCATCTATATTAACCCTCCAAGGTAGTAAAGACCGTCCCATCCAATTTGTTCATTGCCACCTATTGCTGTTGCCAGCCCCATCTACACCATCTAGATACTTGACCGCCGTACCAGATGTCTAAAGGTAAAAAGGTGCTTAGAAGCAAACAGCCTTGTATGAGAATTTGGTGGAGACATCAACGCAGCCGCTGGGCACAGTAGTGATGATGTCAGTTGGGGTGCCGGAGCAGTCGCTTGCAGTGAAGAACTGGACTGTTTTGTTTTCCAATGATGTTAGCTCAACTCTGGAGTCTCTCATTCACCTTTCTCTGTATTTTCCTCGTCTGAGGAAAAAAAAGGGAGAACTTACGCTGGCAGTTCGCCCTCGTCTTCTCCAAGAAGAAAACTCTTGCGCTCTGTAGAGGCAAGAAGTTGCAGACGTTGCTGTCAATGTTTTGCTGCTGATCAGCTTGGGGCTGGCAGCCTGGGCCGGCGTAGGCCTCGACTGTTCATAATGGTCAGTATACTTTCTTCAACCCTCCCGAAGCCACTCAAGGAGGCAAACAAGGAAAAAAAGGGGGGGGGGGGGAGTGAAGAGAAAGACGAACAAGATGCAACATTCTCCAACTGGATCTGCGCAGAGGCAGATGAGGCCATCAGGGCGAGAGCAGCGATGGTGGTAGAGAAAAGCATTTTGGCGGGTTGAAGTTGGTATCGAAATTGATTCAGTGATTGAGGTGTTTGGAATGAGATTTGCGTCTGTAGTGCTTCTCTTTTTACCCTCCCCGTCTCTCCCTTTTATATTCCAATCTCTACACCCAAACCATCCCAATTCGCCTTCCCTCAGCTTGCTTGACTCCAGACTACCGTTTCCCTCAGTCACCGGCCTGTCAACAGACACTCCCAACAGTGGCGTCCAGGCGGTGAATAGCAACACGGATTCCCCACGTTCCTCATCACGCTAGCAAAATTCTGATGGGCTTGTAGAACTCAGTTAGTCAAATCTCCAACGAGCCAGTGTCGGTTCGTCGCGGAATAGCACTCGTGTTGGTTTGGTGCGTGGGGAAGTCGTTCTTTGCGAATTGCCTGACGGGTTTGTGGCTTTGAACCTGTAAGCGGAGCATCTAACCAACCAGGTTACTGCGAGAAGCGTCCTTGAATGTGCTGGTCTAAGCTTATGACGACGTGGAAAATGGTTCATGGATGCGAGCGTCGTTGGTGTTGGTCAAAAGCGGCGAGGCCGACCACCCGGTCCGTGGTTGCTATACTCCGGCCTGCAGGTGAAAGTTGCCGAATGAGGAGAGTGGGGGGGACGCCATGTTTGCTGAGAGGCGTTTCCCGTAAGCCAAGTCCTCAGTTGCGATGACTGCGTGCTGGGATCAGTGGCATGCGGGGGAGGCGCGAGTGAATTAATGGGAATCTTGCCTTGTAGGTATTTATCATGGATGGGTGGCTGATAGATTAAGTATCGTGGAGACTCAGCGTTACAGTGACTCGTAATCGTGACCTACTGAAGATGCAATCTGATATGAGAGAGGTCCTGTTTGAGCATTGAGAAACACGGACGCACAGTTCCCGTACGGTGTCTACCCGCATCTACGAACCAGGGCGTAATATGCTGCAGCCTAGTAAAAGATTGTGCATACATGACATGCCACGTTGGGGTAGTATCTGACATAGGGCGTACTTGCATGCACCAATGAGACGGGAATACCCGGCTGACAGATCTGGCCTAAAAGCTAATGCAAAAGATTGTTGGATTATATCCTGAAGGGAGAGAATGTGAGCAGATGCTCACACTCAATCTCACCTAGATTTAACGTAAGAGGCCTTGCACCCACATTCCTTTCTAGTCTTTCCCAGCCCCATGGTCATCTCAGTCGTAACTTTTCAGTAATGTGTCATGTCGCGTAAAAGAAACAGCCGCCCTGATGGTCAGTGGTGTACTGACAACCACAAAGATATTTACCCCCGTGCCAGCACCATCTAGTTGAAGTCATTCATGTTGTGTAGGCTGATATCTTGACTGCTGGTAACGCGCCGCTCTTCGCCGTTGCTGTTGGTCAAGCCGTCAGGCCTAGAATCATTGTTGCCATTGACCGGCTGCCCATCGGGCGATTCAGCGCCACCTTCTGCCGGGATGACATTGCCATGTTGGTCAACTTCCTGTAATACTAGTTAGTCACACGCAATACTTTGGGTTAGGAGTTTAGTTGGAACTTACGACACCCTTGGCGGCCATGCGCACCTGCTGCGGATTTGCTATGCCGTGGACAACCGCCTCACGTGCCTTCTCCATGACCTTTTGTTTTCGGCTCTCTCCGCGGACCTTTTCGAGATGCTCAAAGTAGCCATCGTCCACAGGTGTGACGTACTTGCCACAAAAAACGCCCACCTCGAATTTTTGGGTCGCAGGATCGCGTGGCGAAAGGCGCGCGCATGCACTTTCCAAATCCTCAAGCGTTTGGTAGACGACATCGTCAGCACCAATATGCTTAGCAATAGCTGCTGAGTCACGGTGATGGGCAATAAGCTCCGAGGACGAGGCCAAATCGATACCGTAGATGTGAGCGTTGGTGATGGGTGGTGCACATGACGTGAAGTATACCTTCTTCGCTCCAGCTTCGCGCGCCATCAGTACAATCTCACGCGACGTTGTACCGCGGACAATCGAGTCGTCGACAAGCAAGACATTCTTGCCGTCAAACTTCTTCTTCATTGGGTTGAGTTTCGCCCGGACACCTTTTTGTCGTAATTTTTGTGATGGCATGATGAATGTGCGGAAGATGTAGCGGTTCTTGACAAAACCTTGTACATACGGCTTCTCGAGGGCTTCAGCGACACAGAGAGCTGATGTGATAGAAGTCTCTGGAATCGGCATAACAACATCAATCTCGGCCATCCTTTCAGGGCCCAGCTGCTTCTTGATCGTCTCAGCGAGGGTAAAGCCCATGTTGCGTCGACTCTCATCCACATCGATACCATCAATGACTGAGTCTGGTCGAGCAAAGTAAACGTATTCGAAGATATCTGGGGTATACGCTTCTTGCTTAGCGACCTGTCGGAAGACCGGCTCTTTGCCCTTCTCGATGATGACAGCCTGGCCGGGTAGAATGTCTTGAAAGTCCTTGTAGCCGCACTGAACCAGCGCGACACTTTCAGAGGCCATCATGTAGTCCATACCGTGGCCGTCTTGCGAGCGCCGGGATCCAAGGACCATGGGGCGAATACCATAGGGATCGCGGAACCCAATAAGACCGAATCCTAAAGATGATCAGCATGTTACATGCGCCCACTTCGAATTTTGTCTACATACCAGCAAGCATAGCTGTACACGCCCATCCGCCAGTGCAGAGCTTGTACATCCTCTCAAGCGCAGCGAAGCAGTCATCGGCGTTGATACGTGCCTTGCCAGTCTCGTTGAGCTCATCGGCAAAAATATTTAACATGAGCTCGCTGTCGCTCTCCGTATTGATGTGCCTGTGGGCCTCGTGGTCGAGTCGCTGGCGCAGCGCGGGGGCATTGATGAGGTTACCATTGTGGGTCATACAGATACCGTACGGGCTATTGACGTAAAAGGGCTGGGCCTCAGAGTTCGCGCTGCTGCCAGCTGTAGGGTATCGCAGATGGCCAAGACCCATGAAGCCGGGGAGATCGGAAACACGAGCACCATCCTGGAAGACCTTGGAGGCCATGCCATTGCCCTTGCACTGGTGGAAACGACCGCCGGCACTGCAGCTGACTATACCAGCAGCGTCTTGTCCGCGGTGCTGGAGGAGGTAAAGGGCATCGTGAACTTCTACCGAAGCGGATTGCGACTTGGGGTCGCCGTGGATAACGGCAATGATACCACACATTTTGACGTAGTGTTGAGTCTGGGGATGTTCGAGGTATGTACCTGTAGTTTTTTACTAGGACGCGTCAGTTGCGCTATTCCTTCGGATAAAGCGGGAAAAAAGTGAAGGCGGGGTTTGTCTCTCAGCAAGTCCTGGTGCGCTCATGGGTGATCGCAAGTCTAACATCTTTTATAATAATGACGAGATCATCATAGTGACAGGTATGGGATGGAGAAAATATTGCAACTACGTACCCCGGATATCCTCGTACAAGGCTGTGCAGAAAATCGGTTCGCAAGTGGCCTCTCCGAAAGTGAAATATAATAGTACGGATAGGCTCCCGTCGAGAAAACGCGTCTCACGAAGTGACTATGTACAGGAAGATCCTTGGACTTTGGCAGCTGGATGGTCAATGGGGCCGTCTTCGTCGTCTGCGAGGTATCGTCGCGGGTCTCTGGTCCCGTTTGGTGCTGATGATGGCGTGCGAGCTCATGGTTATTGGAAAGTAAGAGCGCTCTAGTGGGGAAAGGGCAGCATGATAAACAATTTTTTCTCGCTCGCCGCACTTGCACTTCCGCACTTTCGGCCTTGGCGGCAACCACATGCCCAGAACCCCACACTGCGACTGAACTGCACCACGACGTGCAAGATTGCGGAGAGACAGTACGTACTGGCCGCGGAAACACATGGTATAGCACGTGTGAACATCTTGCGAGACACTTGCTGCATTCCTATCGTTTCCTCTCTTTCGTTTGACGGTTGCCTTCGGAAAAACATTTTCTTTAGGGCATAGACTGCCGCGTCCAGTCATCTGAGCCGCAAACGGTTCAACATGGCATTCCGCGGCGAACCAAGTACACGCAGCACGTGACATTTTACAAGGAGGGTGTTTGCGACCCAACCACGTGTATATATGCACCATCTCTTTGGCTGGACTTGGAGGAATATTGGAGAGCACCTCAAGTTCAGTGCTTAGAAGACGTAAAGAAGGCACAAAGGATACATGGAAGCGCCGGTCTAGTGCATATTGCTCGAAGCAAACAACAATTCTTTGGAAGTCGAGGAAAGTACGCTCGGATGCAATGACTACATCGATAGAGGAGGCTTTGCGAGAAAAATAAGTTTTGTTAAATTATACTAACGACTATACTAAGCCGCTGATTTTTCCAAGGCGTTGGGCCCATCAGGCTCGTAATTTGTCTCGCCCAGTGACTGTGATGGTCCAGACACTGAAACAGCGGCTGGGGCAGCAGTACTTGGCCCCCGGGAGGCTGCAGCGTTCAGCCTCTGGTTCAATGCTTCGAGTGCCAATGCTCTCCTCCTCTCTGCCTCGGCACGTGTTGCCCCGCCACGGCCGCCGCGGCTGTTGGGGTTCATGATGCTAGGGAGGCCACCTTCAGCACGAGCAGTGGCCTGTTCGTTACCCGCATCAATGTCCCGATCGGAAAAGGGTGTGCAGACCTGAAGAGAGACCAATGTGTTGTAGATGCCGTCTGCAAAAGCGCCAAGGGGTGTCTGTATTGGCTCTGGGAAGAAGTGCGCAAAGCTAAAGGTGTCGGAGGCATCTCCACGAATGAAGGAACCTTCGCCCGTGGCAGTGGAAGAGAGCGATGGACTGATGCGATAGAAGCGGAGGTAGATCCAGGCTGTCATGAAGCCAAAATATGCGAGGTACATGGCCGTCTCTGTGCCGATTATTATGCCAGAGAGTGTGTTTGTGAGCAGGAAGATGGCGGGGAAGTGCTTGACGCGCATGCGGATGAGGCCTTTGGCAATGGCTACCGTATGTTCGGGAACGAGCTGCTTGAAAGAGACGAGGAAGCCGGCCTGGATGGCAATGCCGCCAGAGATTGTGGTTTTCCTGGGCTGAGTCAGTGCAAGGTCTGTTGAGAAGACGAGATGGAAGCATACATGAGAAAGTCCTTGCGCATAAGAAGATAGCCCAGAACGTAGAGCAGATAGGTCAGAAGATTCGGTATGACGGCGACAAACAGCATGAACTTGGTGAACTCATGCGAACCCCATGCCCTCTCGAGGTAGCGGCCGCCATACAAGACAGTCAGGCCGGTGGTGATGAGGCCAAGGAGATTCTGCTCGACGACGGTTGCGAGGGCGAATACCCAGGGATACCACGGCACCGAGAGACGGGGCACAATGGTCAGCCACGGCACTCCGTTGCCTACGCCAATGATGGGCTTCTCGACCTTTTCAACCCAATTGGCGTTGGGACGCAGGCCAAAGTTGAGCAGGGTGAGCAGGACGAGGGCAGCGAGGATGCCACGGGTAAGGGGCGGGAGGTTGATGCGGGCCATGGCGGCGGCAGCTGCTGCAGCGGCGGCGGCGCGTTGTCGCGGGGGAGCAGCGTGGGCGTGGTGGTGGTGAAGATGTGACGGTGTGGCGGTGGTGGTGGTGACAGGCAAGCTGGGCGGTGCTGCAGTGCCGGGCAGGGATGCGCGGCTGTGTGGGGGGACTGGATGGGGACTAGCCAGGCTCCGGCCGAACATGTGCGTTGCCCTACAAGACTAGCAGTCCATAGGCGACATGGCAGGCATTGTCAATCATCGAAGCTCCTCGCATTCCAAACCGCCTGCCACCACCACCAACACCGCCGTCTTGCTCCCCCCTCCCCCACGCCCCCTAGCCAAGGCGCATGCAGCGCTCGCATAATGCGCCATGGCGGAGACTCTCAGTAGTAACGCGATCAACTATCTCGGTACCTATTCCCCGCCAACACCCGCCCCAGTGGCCTGTCTCTCTGACGCGTGGTCTAGTATGGCGATATCTTCAAGAAGCCGGATTTGGTAATGCCGCCCTCCACCTGTCGCGATGCTGGCTCCGGGACCCGGACACGCTTCCATTTGCTGCCAACATCGAGCCCCACGCCCTCGTCCGCCTCGTCCAGGATGGCTTGTGCTTCGACCAGCTGCGCGCAGAGGCCTGCAACGTACGTCGCCTCTGCTCTGCTCCGCTCCATCAAATGCGCCTGGGCTAACTATACCAGACGGAACCGCGATACAGGTTCGGCTCCGACCACGGCCGCCCCTACACGCGCAACGGCAGCCTGCTGACCCTCGACAAGGGCATTCCCGCCCACGAACTCGCGACCGAGGCCAACGGTGCCGTCCAGGAGCCCCCGCCCAAGAAGACGCTCAAGCGCAAAAAGGGGAAGCCTGCCAATGGTGTCGACACGCGCCCAGAACCCCAGCCCAACGGCGATGCCATGGACATTGAGCACAACGGCGCGCCCCATCACGTCCCAAACAGCCTGAGGGCAGACTCCGAGCCCGTAGTGTCCGAGGCCGAGTCGCTTACTGTCGCAGAGATACCGCTGTCCACGCTCAGCATCGGCCAGGACGCCGAGATCCAGACAGACGCCATCGCCATCGCAGACCTAACCCCCGGCACCGTTTTTGTCCCCCGCCACGCAAACCCTGACAAACTTGTCCAGCACACGCTATGGGGTCCAATCGAGTCGCCCGTCTTGCTTGCAGCCGGAAAGTCGCTCCTCCAGGTCCATGTTGTTAGCAAGCCTGCCAGTAACGAGCAGTCCCCGCCTATTCACACCCTTGACATGTCCCTGCCAGTCCAGAATTTTGACGTGACTGCTCTGTGCTGGCATTCCGAGCACGAGCTGACCGTTTCTGCGCGCGAGCAGTGTGTCAACGAGGTGGGCGAGAAGATGATGATGGATAAACTCATCAAGCTGACCGAAGGTGGCACCACCTCCAACGTCATCTCCTCGACCGCTGGTCTCATAAATACTCTTCGCTGGAACCCCAAGTGCAAGCTTCTGTTGTCCATTTCCACAGACGGAGAAAAGGGATCCATCAAAGTGTGGAAGAATGACAGCGACTCCATTCCAGCGTGGACAGAGTTTACCGACACAGCTATTCTGGATGCTCAGTGGATTAGCGACTCGGCCTTTGTCGTTTGCGGCATCAGGCTGTTCAAGATATACGAAGTCACCGACGCTCTGACGACCCAGCGAACATTGGACACTCACATACAGTGGGAAACCGTCAAGCACGACCCGGTGTCTGGTATCATAGCCGTGCTCGGAATCGAAGACCAGAAGAACTACCTGGGTATCCTTCATCCCAATGACTCGATCCAGCTGCAAACCCACGAATACCCAGACGAATACGCTACCGACCTTGCATTCCGCCCGAGTCCCGCCACCAAGCAACTGACCAATGGCTCCGCCCTGCCCTCGGTGTTGCTTGCAACAAGTTCCATGTCTGGCGCAGCACGGATATGGGATGCAAACGAGCCATTCAAATGTGTCAAATCTCTTCCCACCACGGATGGCACCCAGGCCTTCAAGATTGCCTTCTCCCCGGATGGGGTGTTGTTGGCTGCAGCGGGCCCCGATGCGGTCACTGTGTGGGATGCAGAAAAAAGGGACGTCCCAGTAGCAACATGGCGGGCTAGTGAGTGGCCAAGCGACAAATGGAACCCTGGAATAGATGGCGAGTTCAGTCTCGGTTGGGACCCAGACAGCTCCCGGCTATCAATTGCTCTTGGAAACCAGGTATGTTAGGCCTCCAGAACTTGATTGCGCTTACGCACTAATGCCCTTTTTGCAGATTGCAATCATCACGGTACCTAGGTAGTCTCACCTACCGATGCACGAGCAGCACCAACTGCATCCCCCACGGTGCACAAACTTTAGTTTGTGGGGAAAATATCTCCCCACCATGGCAGAGTATCAGCGCCATTGCGCGTTAAGAATCCAAACCATTTACCGGGCTTGCTGCGGAGACATCACTCCGTGGTTGCGAAATCACGAGAAGCCCGTAGCGGGGCCGTATGTGGAGTTGTGGAGTCGAGGCAAGGAATAGAGGGGGTGGCGCCTCTGCCGGCTGCCGAGGCCTTCGTATCGTGATAGGCTGAACGTGGCAGCCTAGTCAATCTTCCGCATCTGGGACCGGATACTAACCTGGATCCACTTTTGACGTCTTCGCACGGCGTTGGGGTCCATTGCTTCGGCACTTGTATGAGGCAGTCAGCCGCGGCGCCACAAGCATGAGAACTGCAGTCCGCCACCCAAAAAGCGCTATCATTTCCGTCTTTCTTTCATCCGTCCTTCATGCGATCCATGTCTTCGATATACCTTCTAATTGTATACTATACCATCTCATAGCACCCATCTTGAAGAATACAGTTTTGGACACGGGTCGCATGACCATCTCTGACGGCACCTCACCATCCATCTACACTTGACTCTCTCGAGGATATCCATACAATGTCGGCGATACCAAACCTACCTATAGATCAGCTACCGAAGATGCAACTCAATAGTCAAGTAAATGGCGTCACTGCGCAAACACCTTTCAAGCTCCACGATGCGCCTGTAGAAAACCTGCGTCCACTAAAGGTCATCGTCATTGGTGCGGGTTACTCGGGTATCTATTGTGGAATTCGCATACCTGAAAGATTGAGAAACGTTGAATTAGTGATTTACGAGAAGAATGCTGGGGTTGGGGGAACTTGGTATGAAAACAGGTAAAAAGAAGCCCCCTTCTCTTCTCCTCCTAGGTCTTACTGTTTCTTAACAAACGATGAGACTGGGTCTGACTTAATGCTCAAGACAAGTGTTTGGTGACTAATGTGAACGCAGATACCTGGGCTGCGCGTGCGATATCCCTTGTGAGTCTCGCCACCTTTGACATCAAAACCCTTGGAGTGGTGCTGATCTTCTCGTTAGCGCACTCCTACCAGTATTCCTTCCAGCCAAACCCCAATTGGTCATCCCTGTACGCGCCAGCCGCAGAGATCCAATCCTATCTCCAAGATGTAGCGCAAAAGTATTCTGCGGATCGCTTCATCAAGCTGCGCCATCAAGTCCAAGGTTGCCATTGGGATGACAAGACGGCCAAATGGAACGTCACAGTAAAGAACCTGGCGACAGAAGAGACCATTCATGACCAGGCAGATGTGGTGATTTCTGCAAGGGGCAGCTTGAATACCCCATCCTGGCCGGATATTGATGGCCTAAAGACATTCAAAGGCGAAGTCATGCATTCCGCGGCGTGGAACGAAGAGTGAGATTTACCTTGGACTGCATCTTGACTCCCAGTCGACTGATATAGAGAAACAGTTATGAATTTGAAAACAAGCGGATTGGAGTAATCGGCTCAGGCTCATCTTCCATCCAGATTGTACCCAGTCTTCAGCGTTTACCAGGCACGCACATCAGCACATTTGTGCGCAGTAAGACATGGATCTCCCCACCTTTTAGCTACTCACTCTGGGACAAGTATGGCTTTCAAGGGACGGCTATTCCCAAAGAGCTTCGTGATCGCTTTGCCAATGATCCAGAATACTATCAAGAGTTCAGACTCGCAGTCGAAGAAGATGGAAACGGGATCCATGCCTTTACCCAGAAAGGAACACCTCTTCAATCGGGCGCCAAGGAGTTGTTCCATCAAAACATGAAGGAGAGACTGAAGAGCCATCCTGAAATCTTTGAGGCGCTGTTACCTTCGTTCGCGCCAGGGTGCCGCCGCCTGACGCCTGGCCCGGGATATCTCGAGGCCCTAACACAACCAAACGTTGATTTCATCACGTCCCCTATCACTCGCATTTCAGAATCGGCTATACACACTGCTGACGGCAAAGCGCACGAGATTGATGCTCTTGTATGCGCCACTGGCTTTATATCTTCTGCACCACCCCCGTTCCCACTCACCGGTAGCGGTGGGCTTACCCTGACAGAAAAGTGGAAAGATCGCGCTGTGACGTATCTCTCGCATTCAATCGCTGGATTTCCCAATCTATTCAGCATGCTTGGCCCTAATTCGGCCATTGGTACTGGTAGCCTGACAATGATGATAGAGACCGTGGGCGATTATATCATCAAGGCCATTCGCAAGATTCAGAAAGACAATATCGCGGCCATGGTTGCCAAAGAGGCACGAGAAAAAGATTTTATCGAGTACGTTGACGCGTACTTTGAGAAGACAGTTTTTGTCGACGAGTGCAGGAGTTGGTACAAGAACAAGGGTACCGGTGAGATTGTGGGCCTCTGGCCAGGAAGCACGTTACACTGCATTGAGGCGATGCAGAGTCCGCGATGGGAAGACTTTGACTATATCTATCTGGCCGAGCTTGAGGACCATGACACTGACAACAAATTGAAAGGCGTAGGCAGAAATTCGAACAGGTTATCCTGGCTAGGCAATGGTATGAGCATCAGGGAACAAAAAGAGCAGGATCTGGCCTGGTACTTGTATCCGGAATTCGTGAACAAGCCTGCTACGCCGTATCCGGAGAAGAACAAGGTCTATGATATACGTCCGTTTTCATATTAGGCGAAGTGGATATATTCGTAGTTGATGTAGTCTGTAGCAAGCTTCTAAATGATAAGAAAAACGAATGTGTGTGGTCCATAATGTGGCATAGTGGAGCCGAGCTACTCCAGACTCCAGCCGTTCATGTGAAAGGATCCCGTTCCCCAGCTTCCGTTTTTGTGGGGTAGCCGAGGCACCGGTTCACATGCGCCGCAAGCTGCATGTGCGACGCCGACAACAACATCCTCTCCCGAGCACATCAACCTTGTGACCCTTGCTTTTCCCAACAAATCTCCGAGACGCAGAACCCTCCAGTCACCTGCGCAAAGGCGTACTTTGTCCTTGACGTGCCATCCATACAACAGACCACCGTCGTAACCTCCCCGCCTTAAGCGCGTCACTACAGCGTGCGCTCAGGCGACTAACCTTAAGCACCACCAATGCCTCCCTCACGATAGCCATGGCCGTCTTCTCGAAACCCATATCCTCCCATCGCCTCAACAGCGCCTCGGCCAAGGCCATCGTGTCCGACCTTACGCGGCTCTACTTGCAGCACCGAACACGCATATCGCGCGCCGTCTACCTTACCTTGTTCGTAGCTCTCATAAACCGCATTCGGAATGCTATTGCCGAGCAGAAAGCTGCTGCTCTGCGCAGGGCCTCAAAGGGCGCAAGCAAGACGTCGGCAGGCGAGGGCGAAGCCTCGGGGAGGAAGAAAGTCGAGCTGAATCGCGAGTTTTTCAAGAACCTGCTTCGGCTGTTACGAATATGTATACCTGGATGGAAGAGCAAGGAATTCAGACTCGTTATTGGGCATAGCGTCTTCTTGGTGCTACGGACGATGATTAGCTTGTATGTTGCTGAGTTGGATGGACGACTGGTTAGTGCGCTTGTGAGGGGAAAGGGTAGAGAATTCTTGATGGGTTTGGTCTGGTGGATGGCTGTTGCTGTGCCGGCGACATTTACGAACAGCATGGTATGTGCCACCTGCGCTCTTAGCCGGGTCAGAAATCAGGACAAACTACGAGTGCTAACAAGGTAAACAGTTGTCATACCACCAGTGCAAACTCTCTCTGCAATACCGGACTCGACTCACAAACTACATCCATTCCAAGTACCTCTCGCAAATGACGTTCTACACACTCAGCGCCCTCGATGACCGCATCGCAAACGCCGACCAGCTGATTACCGTCGATGTAGCCAAATTCTCCAATTCCCTCGCGGAACTGTACTCGAATCTTGCGAAACCCGTTCTTGACATTATCATTTACAACTACTCGCTTTCGCGAAGCGTCGGCGGCGAAGGTCTATTTTTCATGTCACTTTTGGTGCAAATATCCGCAAACGTCATGAGGGCACTGACTCCGCCGTTTGGAAAGTACGTGGCGGACGAGGCAAGACTGGAGGGAGAGTTTAGATTCCAGCATTCAAGACTGATTGACTGGAGCGAGGAGGTGGCGCTCTACGGAGGGCATGAGGCGGAAAAAGATACGCTCGACAAGGGCTATTTCACGCTGATCAAGCATGTGAACCGGATACTAAGACGGCGGTTCTATCATGGCATCATGGAGGACTTTGTCATCAAATATTTCTGGGGTGCTTTGGGCTTGATGCTGTGCAGTGTACCGGTATTTTTCAAAGTACCTGGAACTGGCGGAATGAGTATGGGCGATCGCACAGAGAGTATGTATTCCGTTGTCCCACGTGTGTTGTGGAAGATCTTGGAGATTTAGCTTGCTAACGAGTGCGGTGACAGATTTTGTGACAAATCGCCGCATGCTTCTAATGTCCAGCGATGCATTCGGCCGTGTTATGTTCTCATACAAGGAAATCACTGAACTCGCAGGCTACACCTCGCGCGTCTCTACTCTCCTCGACGTCATCGACGACATCCAGGCCGGTCATTTTGAAAAGAAACTCGTTTCTTCCGCCGACACTGAAGAAAACGCTGCCGTTCTGCGAGGCCGTGGTACCGTAACTGAAGGCGAAGACATCGAGTTCGTCGATGTCCCCATCGTTTCTCCCAATGGCGACGTTCTCGTACGTGCACTGTCTTTCCACGTAAGGCCCGGTGACCATCTCCTCATTGTTGGACCCAACGGCTGCGGCAAGAGCAGTCTTTTCCGCATCCTCGGCGGCCTGTGGCCCGTCTACGGCGGCAAGGTGCGCAAACCGCCATTCGAAGACATATTCTATATTCCTCAGCGACCATATCTCTCCCGTGGTACACTCCGCCAGCAAATCATCTACCCAGATTCTCTACACGACATGCATTCCAAGTCCATCACCGACAACCACCTCCTCGCCGTACTCGCCACGCTCAACCTTGAGTCGCTGGTTGACCGCCCTGGCGGCTTCGACGCCGAAGCTCAGTGGGAAGACGTGCTTTCCGGTGGCTTGCAGCAGCGCGTCGCTATGGCTAGGCTCTTCTATCATAAGCCGCGGTACGCGATTCTAGACGAGTGCACAAGCAGCGTGACGCTCGAGGTAGAGAGAATCATGTACGAAGAAGCCAAGAAACTAGGCATTACCCTCATGACTGTCTCGCACAGGCGCAGTTTGTGGAAGTACCATTGCCGTATCTTGCAGTTTGATGGCCAAGGAGGGTTTTACTTTGGAGGGTTGGACGCTGAGAGGAGGGCTGTGCTCGAGGAGTAAGTTTTCCCCTTGTTTTTGATTTTAGCGATTTGGGATTTGCCTGTTTCTGAAATGAGTACTAACGCACGTGCAGCGAGAAGGAAGATATTGATTTGCAGCTCCGAGCTGTCCCGGATATCGAGCAGAGAATCAGGGAGTTGGAGGCTTCATAAAGAGGGAGTAGGTGACTTGCATTTTGGCGGTAGAAGTGGGGGAGCTTGTTGTACGATGATATGGTAGTATCTTAGTTGTTATGGATACATATACATTAATAGAACGGACTTTGTTGCGGTTCTGTTTATTCTCATTCACGTTGCTCAACAAGTTGTTCAACCGCCTTTGTGTCTCCACAGGCTATGCCACTAAGAACAGACCCAAAAAAGACATAGTAAGTGAACACTGTAAATCTAGTTGAAGTGGACATGCTCTAAACCATAGATGTGTCAAGATTGTCGGACCACTAGCGCCGGGTGCAACTGTCGTAGCCATTCTTCCCGTGAATCCTTTCACGTCGTGATGACTGCATCAACAAATTTCTGGATCTGGACATGTGCAGCGCCGACAAGATATCGAGTATTTACTGATAGGCTCTATGTACGTATCTTTCCAACCCCTCATCTGAACTGCATGTGTAAATGCCTCAGGAGTCCAACGCCTTTGTCATCACCATTCTTCTCGTAGATCGAAATGACTTTGAGAAAGCTTCTGAAGTCATCGTCATCAATGGCCCCCCGTTAGTCTAAACACACAAAAGAAAGCATCAGCAATGCTCAAACCACGTCCATAAATTGTTTTTCATCATTCCCTTTCGTCATTATCTAAACCCTCAACCTTTCAGCTCCCCAACCCACTCAATCTCCTTCTCCTCCTGCCAAAACCCACCAGCCTTACCCCCAATATCCCCCAACGCAAGCAGCACCGGCGTCTGCGCCCCCTGATCCGGCGTCTTAGTTCCATTCCCCTTTGTCATCTCCGTATTCACATAGCCCGGACAGCAAGCATTAACCAGCACACCCTCCCTCCCGCTCTCCTTGACCTGCTTCGCCAGTATCTTCGTCGCGCCAATCAGCCCCGCCTTGCTAACCGCATATCCCGCAGTCGGGAACCCCCGTTCTTTTTCTTTGCCAGCTTCGACGGCGGCAACGAAATCCTGCATGATGGCAGTGATGTCGGCTTCGGAGTTTGCGCTGAGGAAGCGGTTGCGGACGGGCTCCGAGTACTTGTTTAGCTTGCCGGACATGGAGGCGACGTTGACGAGGCGGCCGGTAGGTTTGAGGAGGGGCAGGAAGGTGTGGCTTGCTTCGAGGGTTTTGTAGTAGTTGCAGTTTAGTGTTTTTTTCACAATGTCGGCGTCTGAGAGAGAGAAAGAGAGCGGGAGTCAGCAGCTGTTCCAGTATATCAAATTGATTTCCGAGTGGTTACGTACTGTAGCCGTCCAAGGCAATACCGGCGTTGTTGATGACAAAGTCGATGCCCTCGCTGTGGGCTTGCTTTAGGTGATCCGCGAGTGTCTTGATACTGTCGCTGCTTGTGATGTCCAGTAAGTGGAATTTGATTTCTGAAAGCCCGCCGTCGGCTTTGAGTGCCTTTGCTTGCTTGAGTTGTGCATCTTGCTCGAGATTCTTCACAGCTGCTTCTCCCCTGCTCTGGTCGCGTGCAGTCAGGTAAATCAAGAAAGGTCCATTGTTGAGCGGCGACTTGGGATACTGGAGTGCAAGTTGGCGCACAATGGCTAGGCCAATGCCCTGGTCAAGTAAGTACATGTGTATTTCAAGGATTCAAGATAGAAAAAGAAATCAGGTACCTTGTTTGCACCGGTGACGACTCCAACTCTGCTGTAAGACATTTTTAGTGCTGTGATTCCGTCACTAGAGAATTGGATAGTAATGAGAGAAAAAAGAATGCCACGCGAATATCAAAAGACATCTCCCCCCACTCCGAGCACTATATTAATCATCGCTGGAATCGCCAACGCTGTTTGGAGTTAACAAGATGGATACGTCACTAATCATAAAGTGGAGACTATGCCCCAATTGCCCCACGCACTAGTATCCCTTTCAGCGTTAACTTGAGTGTCCCATAACCCAGAAGTCCAATGTTTCCTGACAGCCCTAATTCTGAAGCCATGAACCCCAGTGTCGCGTATGTACAAATCGATCAACGTGGGTTGAACATCCGGACCGACCCCCCTCTTTCATTCCGCCTGCCAGCAAAAAAAAACAACATCCATGAATAGACCACAAGCTCGTCTAGCACAGGCAAGGCAGATGAATAGTCTGATAATTACTGCACGTCTTGCCACTTGGCGCATCGCTCCCCGTCTGCAAAAACAAATCGTAGTACCCAGCATCCGCCGAGTTGCAGGCCAGAAAATTTAGTTCTAGAAGAAAAAACATACCCAAATTAGCACTGTATCCCTTTTTCACAAAAGAAGGGAAATGCCACCGCTTGAAAAATCTCGTCACATGAGAAGAGAGGGAGTGTACTCACGTCGGCCATAGCTACTCCCTTGCGTTGTAATAATCGTATCACCCTCGAGCCCCCACGCCGTCGTGTCACCCTTTGCGCCCCAAACCAGCGGCTTGTAACTCGTCGATGCAGTAGCGATGTTCAGGAACTGGTTGGTTTTCTTGGATTGGATTGTGCCGCCGATAGTAAATTCTTCTGCTGCGGATTCAGGTCCGAGAACGGGTTTTGATGCTGAAATCGACGTTAGTAATGAACTTCCGTATCCAATGGACGTGAGGATGTACGTCTGTGGTAGATGCAGAGACGTGTAGGGACGGAGTAGAAAAAACAGGGTGCTTACAGTTCTTAGGGCTGGCTTGCAGGTAGAGATGGTAAATCGGATCGCGCACACCGCGGATCTTGCCTACCGTCGCTGCTGCTGCTACAGCTACATTTTCAACAGGCGCAGCGGCAGCGCTTTGTGCGAGGAGCAAAAGTGGTGCGAAAAACGTCAACATGGTGATGTGCGGTGTCGAGGACTCAACTGCAGGCAATCCTTGATGGGAGAACCATGACTCTAATACTCTGTTCCTGAGCCTGTAATCAACTTTGGCTTTTGTCGCCTCCCGGATTGCAATATCGCAGATAGATTGCAGTCGCGTCACGCGTGGATGAATTGACTAGTAGATATTAAATACCCTTGTCGTGAAACTACCGCAAACACCGGGACAAGGAGCGAACGGCACGAAGAAACAGGACTAGCAATTAAACTATGGTATTCCCATACCTCGTTCATAAGCACATTATGTTCAAACATCGGGATGACGGGTGCAGCCTAGATGGGACTGGATGTCGCAAAAAAATATAGAGACATCCAAATGCGTCCTGGTGAAGAAAGTATAAATGACAAGGAAGCTCTACCGCACCAGCCTGATCAAAAATCAAGACTTTCTTCACCCACTACCGAAAATACTGGACGTCAACCCCGACACAACTTTGTGTACTTGAGAAATACCAGTCTCCACCGGCCCTCGCTCTGGTGCCATACCAGTCTCCATTGGGACCACCTCCTCAGCACCGTTCGTACCGCCCTTTGGAATTCTAGCTTTCTTCGAAGGCTTCTCAACCGATTTCGATCCCGTACCACCAAAGCGATGATACTTGTGTCGGTTCGGTCGTCCAAATACCTTCTGAGGAGTTTGCAGCAGAGCAAAGCTAGATAACCCCTCACCTTCATTTTCCTCAACTGGTAGTATCTGCGCGTTTTGAATAATCTCCACGATACCAGCATCGTCTTCCAGCTCTTTTGCTTCCTGATGATCCGCTCGTGTCATCTTCTTCGCGCGGCTGAAGATGGCATGCTCAATCGTATTCTCTAGCACTAGCGTTTCAACAAGCACCTCTTTCGTTTGTCCTATGCGATGTGCTCGCTTGATTGCTTGAGCTTCTATATTGGGTCTATTGATCGGATTCAAAATGAGTACAATACTCGCCGCATTCAGATTCAGCCCAAGAGCACCGCAGGCGACATCAATCATTAGGACGCGAACGTCCGGATCTTCGGTGAATAGTCGCACATACTCAGACCGCAGTGTATTGTCCAGATTCCTAGCGTAGATTCGGTGATTGACATACATGAGCTCAAGGCATTGTGCTATATACCATGCTGCGTTATCGCCGTCGTAGAAGATGATGATCTTTTCAGTTGCTTGATGTTGCATTACCTTATCTAGCAAATAGCTGAGTTTAGCGGAAGTCGTGCCCACTATTTGAGTATCATGTAGGGGCGAGCTTGTAGGTAGATTTGCCGTTTCGTCCGCCAAAGTGAGCTTGCGCTTCTTGGAGCGAAGTGAAGAGGTGACAACTGCCACTCCTGCTGCAGTATCATGGGAACTGTTTTCTGATTGTCTCTGGGAAGAAGTACCAGCCGTTACGAGAGTCCGCCGATTTGTTGGTGATTGGTGGCCATCGATTAATGATAACGGTACCCCAGCTTTTTTCGAGGGCGAATCGGCCAATGTCTTTTTGTCGCTATCTTGAGCCCTGCCTTCTGCTTCTGCGATCGCTGCGACCTTGGCTTTGGCTTCGCATCCCACAGCTTCAAGCCCGACGGCAGGATCAGGTGACAGTATGTTGCCATCAACATGGAGCTGTCCTTCGATCAGTTGTGTAATACCGACCATGGTAGGTTCTGCTGAATCACCAAGCGCAAAGCTACTGCGTGATTCTCTAGGCCAATCCTTGATAGCCATTCCCACCTCGTGCGCGTTGCTTAGCGCTTTCCAACCTTCCGAAGTCGTCAACTTGGATACGACCTGACAGCTCTCGAGCAGGGCTCGTGAATCTTCAATGGAGCAATTTATGCCCTCTTTGGCTAGGTACTTGCTGCTAGTTTCAATTGTGGCGACAACGTCGAGCAAACTGAATCCAGTCCATGTGAAGTTCGATTGACGCAAATTTCTTATCAGAGCATGGCGCTCTTTGGCACTATTCTTGTGGAAAAGGTAATCAACGTCAGTCCTTTCGCTTGTGATGGCATTCGCGCGGAGCACTTGAACAAAGAGATTTGCCGTCATTTTGTCGTACCAGCACGGCTTGAGAAACACAACGCGATGCCGCATGGGAGGCAGAATAATGTCTCTCTCGACATCTTCTGGCCGTGTCTTCACGACCAAGCCTTCCAATGTCCGTAAAAAGCACGATGAAAACCCAGAGTAGGTCTTTCGATATTGGTGCTCATGGCGATAGATGTGCTCTTCCCAGTCAAGCTTGCCTTCAGAGCTATCGCACCAAGGACGGGCCATGAGAAAATTTGAGGCTAGGACGCCTAAAGCTTTAGCAGCCTTGAGATTATCAGGGTCCAGATTGAAAGACTTCCTTTGCTCAATAGCAAGCTCGCGCTGCAGTGCAGTGTCGCTTTCGGTTTCCATGGTAGCGATATCGACCTCTACGCCAACCAAGTTCTTTGCAGGTGCTGTAGGTGAAAATCAGTAAGTGGAATTGGGTCTCTTACCAAGGACTTACTGCCAGATACAACCCAGCGCCTCTCTGCCTCGATTTGTTTTGCGACTAATACGGCGTTTGACAAAGAACTAGAGAATGAATGACCCTCGTCGATGATGATCCTCAACCAGTGAATCTTTTTCAGTGGCGATTCGTAGAATTCGTCGTAGTCGACGCAGTTACAATTAGGAACCCTACTAGCCCCGATGTATGGACATTTGCAAACTCGGGTTACTCCACGGACTGCTCGTCGCCCTTGATCGTCCTGTCCGTCCTGGATCTCTTGTTCAAATCGATTACGCGTAAAAAGAAGTACATCAAACTTCATCAGTTCGGTGGGGACTGGCAACTCGCTTCGGAATTGCATGTTGTCATCATCGTACAGATTACTTTGTACCTTGCTCCCGCGCTTTGTAACAGTGTCTAGAACTAACACTTTAAGACCGCCTTGGAGCACATGTTTTTTGATCTCTGACTGCCACTGGTGTAAAAGATTTCTGGGTACGACAACGATGGTACTGGATGATATTATCAGCTGACGGGGTGGAGGTATCCTGGAACTTCTGTTTATCCTGGAAAGCTCAGCCGAAATTTCATAAAATGGGAGGTTTCGGTCAAGCGCATTTCGGAATTTCGTCATGTCTCCGGCGCCATTCATTTCGGACTGCTCTAAAAAGCCCCGTGCAGGTACAGAATAGCGCCCAAGAATAGACGCCGCCATATCTGATAACTTTCCTACGCGGCGGCGAACGGGAGGGGGTGGTCGGTACGCTGCGGGTATCTTGGGTAGATGGTATTTACTAGCCAAAATTACGGCTAGACAGATGACAGTCTTTCCTAAGCCCATAGTTTCTGCCAAAATCCCTCCTCGTGTGGTTTCGTAATATCGAGGCTCGTGCAAAAAAGATCCGTCACGGCTCCCAAAGTAGAATTTCCTGCCATCCGGAGACGAACGTACTTCGAGCCTAGGATCAAGCTGTAATTGAGGTGCTGCCTCCCTCTGCAACATCGCACTTGCAGAACGAGCTTGATAAGCATACAATCTAGTTCGTAGTCCTGGGAGTGCTTGTTCGCCATACTCTTCCCATCCTGAGACAGTTGCGGACTCCAATAGATCGTTTACAGCAGCTCTTGTATATCGATCCCGAATTTTTCCTGGAACCGGCGCTGGTGATGGTAACTTGTTGAACATATAATATAGCGAGGAAAGCTCGGCACCAGCCCAGGGATCGAAATAGCGTATTTGGTTTTCGTCGGGGTCACCATACCAAGCCGTTGTTGATATGTCGATAGATTTGAGGAGTTGCCGTAAGGTAGCCTTCAACTTCTTGCTGTTGCGATCAATGGAACGGCGACCCCAATCTTCTGGCATCAAATACACCCGTAATGAACTCTGGAAAGGAGTAGTACCAGGTGCAAAATTGTGTAGAAAGAGCCGAATCCAGTGTGCCTCGAGCAGTCTGGAAGCTTCGTTGCCAATGATTGCCTTCACCTCTTCTGGAAGCTCATGATACAGCAACTCCATCCACTCAGTATCCGCTTGGGGTTTATGAGATGGAAGGAGCGATTCTTGAAAGTGAAGGCAGCCAAGAGCGATATAGCAATCAACATCCTGCTGCTTTGTAGCCAGGCTTTGAGTGGGTTCGTCTTTTGATGAGGCTGAGGTGATTGACATTTGCTCAGCTACAGCAAACAGTGAAGTTTTGGACCGTGATGTAACAGATGCAGGATAATCCTTAGTATGTACTTGTTCGCTACTTGTTATGCTTGACATCGCTTGTGGCGATCCGTTAGTACGTGGAATACTAGTTCCGTCCCAGGAGACAAACCTGGGAACCACGACCGGTTCACTCATGTCGAACATTAATTATTAGTCAAACCAGAGGACTGAGAGCATTGAACCTCAGAATGAGAAGATGAGCTTCAAAACAGATTTTGTTGGTTGATATGACTAGTGAGAGAGTCAAGGCAACTGCGAGGTGCACGGTGTCGACGTTTCGCGCTAACGCTTTGGGTTAGTGTGATTAGCTGAGCGTGTATCCGTAGGAACAGGTCTAATTCTATGAGCAAAAGCTACATTCTGTAGCTCAATATAAAATACTTTTCATAGCTCTGCAGACTGCAGAGTACAAGCCCAAAACGCCGATACGCCATGCTAGTTCTGAAAATCTACCGCATCTCCTGCTGCCCTGTGGTAGGCTTCACATTGTCGCCTTCAACCCACACGCTTTCCATTGCCTTCTCTAGAATCTGCATACCTTCCTCGATCTGTGCTCCGGTAATCACAAGTGGAGGGACAAACCTTAGGGTATTTGTACCGCAAGTGATGATTAGAAGACCTCGTTCGCGGGCAGCTGTGACGATGGGCGTAGGATCTGTGTCCAGTTGAAGGCCGAGAATCAATCCCTTACCCCTAACTTCCTTGATCTGATCCGGGAAGCGGGTTCGCAGAGCATCAAAATGCTTACGGAATGCTTCCTCTTTAGCAGGTATCGATTCGAGAATCTCTGGAGAAGAAAGACGTGATAGGATATAGGAAGCAACGCGCGATCCGAGAGGGTTGCCTCCGAATGTTGTGCCATGATCACCAGTCTTGATATGGTCACACACATAGTCATTGACAATAGTGGCACCAATTGGGAAACCATTGCCCAATGCTTTGGCGGTGGTCACAATATCAGGGTGACACTCCTTGGGATAACCACCGTGAGCCCAGAAAGTGCCTGTTCGTCCGAGGCCGCACTGGATCTCGTCGAATACAAGGACGGCACCGACTTCTGTGCAGCGCTTTCGCAGAGCAACAAGGAACTCAGGTGTCGCTACGTTTACTCCTCCTTCTCCCTGGATGGGTTCAACAATGACGCCGCATGTTGCGTCTGTTACCAACTCATTGACAGCGTCGACATCGTTGAACTTTCCGTACCTGAAGCCAGGAATCATCGGCGAGAATGGAGCTTGATATTTTGGGTTCGGTGTTGCGCTCAAACTTCCCATGGTACGGCCGTGGAACGAGTTGTGGAACGAAACAAACTCATACTTGTCTTTGTTTGGAGAAATAGATTTGCCCACTTTGCGCGCAAACTTAATGGCAGCCTCGTTTGCCTCGGAACCACTGTTGCATATGAATGTGCGAGTCGCGCTAGCAAATCCTCCGGTCGCATGCGTGAGCTGGATGAGCTGTTTCGAGAGGAGACCTGTGTGCGGGTTGTGATAGAGGTTTGAGGTATGAATCAGTTGTTTTGCCTACATCAATGTCAGTTAATTTCAAATATTTGTCAGGGTCGCATATCTTACCTGCTCTCCAATGACTTGCGCTACGCCAGCATCGCAGTGTCCCAAAGCGTTGACAGCGATACCAGAGGTAAAGTCAAGATATCTCCTGTTCTCGATGTCCCACATGTAACATCCTTTTCCCTTTTCGAACATTGGTGGCGGGCGAACATAAGTCGGGACCATGTATGGCAGTTGCTGATTGACTAGACCTGCAGTCTTCGAAGTGGCAGGCGGATCGGGCGTTGGCAACGACGCATCGCGCTAGAAATGGTAAGTCATAAAAGATGGCATACTCTGAATTGATGGTGGGCTTACAGCTATCGAGTCCAAGACATCCTGTGGAAGGCTTGAACCTTTCAGCCCGGCCGCTGTTGAAGTAAATCGCGCAGACGTGCCATTGATGCGCGGCGCACGCAATACAGAATAAACCCTCCTGGAAGCAATTCGTGCAGCCATTGCAAATAAAAAACACTGTGAGAAAGAAGGAGAGGAAGAGTAGTGTTAAGAAATTAGCATTGGAGTGCTTGTTGAGGCATGACTGTTAAGGCGTGACGCAACGCCCAAAATTTTGGGCTGCATATGAGATGCGGGCCGAGGTCGGAATCAGCTTACCCGGGGTGGGTGTTTAGTGTATGGAATATATACATAATTTTCGCAAATTCTTACATCGAAGTATCACCAACGCGAACGACTGTTCGCGCAAGTCTCGTTGGTGTAGTTGGTTATCACGTGGGTCTCATATCCTCCATGCTATGACTACTCTAAGAGTAGAAATCCCAAGGCCGCCAGTTCGAGTCTGGCACGGGACAGCTTCGTTTTTTGCTATCGTGACGTTGCGTGATGGCACTCACATGTGTCTTTGCTTTTTTGGACCCTGTCTTGGACGCGTCTTTCGAACCATGGGACGGCTGAACGCCGTTCTGTATTGTAATATGAAGAGCAAGACATGTTACCTGATATCTGAGGCTCTGTTTTTTTTTCGCGACAAACAAAATCTCTTGTAGTCGCGTCGTGAAGCCTCGACACCACGATTCACATGTTGTCGTGAGTGTTTCGCGATTGTCAGGGGTTCAGGTCGCGATGACGTGGTCCATTGATGTCATTGACTAGCCAATATCTACATCTAATCTCATAACGCGCACTTACTCCTCAAGAGAATCATTAGGTATTGCTTTGCATCGACGGTCTGCATTCTTCATCCCAGATATCATTGACGAGTATGCCTCCAGCCAAGAAACAGAAGAACTCGCGCCATTCTGGCGTCTCCACGCAAGATGACCACAGCGACAGCTCAGACTCTGCCTTTGAATCTGTGCGCCCGCGCAAAAACAATAAGCGCAAGAGCACGGAAAGTGCGGGTGACGAGAGCCAGAACGCGAGCAAGTCTGGAGACCCTGCAAAATCACCATACGACTATATTACCATTCACCGCCCTCTCTTCGATGTACTAGGCGAGAATTGGCTCGCATGGTCGTCCAACCCGTCGGCCCACGTCGAGGAAGAAGATGTCTACAGTAAGCTGTACAAGCCCAATTTTGAACGGGAGAAGAAGGACGGTATCGGCGGATCTCCACCCGAGAAACATCCAGAACACAAGTGGGTGATAATGCGGGAGGCATTTAACAAGAGGGATCTGCTGGCCCGAAAAGCGCACTACTGTAACCCCGACAACTTCGGCATGTACATTTACAACGATTGGGCAAGTTGGGGGATACTTGAGATTGCGGAGAACATGGTATGTGATATAGTGTTGAACGTATATACTAGTCGCACGCTAATTATTCTAAAGATGATCGAGTTTAACAAGGCCTATCAGTCAAAAGCGCCCACGCGTCTCGAAGATATATGGGTCGTCATCAGCACCGTAGGTATATGGCTCAATGACGGGGAACACATGAGCCTACTCATCAGCGGCGAAGGCGACGATGTACTGACGTTCATTGGTCTTCTTGGCTGTGCATTACTAACAACTCTTGCGGCCGTAGAGAAGGCAGGTGAACTTAAACCAGATTCACGTTTTCTCGACCTGACACTCGTCATGGCTTACTACATAGAGATATCATATGATCTCCCTGCCTATGGTGTTGAGGGTGACTGCGTAGGATGGCGCAAACACCTCGTACGCTACTTCGAGAAGGGCAATCTGGATCCAGCCAAGGGCCTCTCAACGACAAAAGTAAGAATTGAGAAACTGAAGAAGGTGAACAATTACAACGAGGAGCCTGGTGCGTCAGATTCCGTAGCCGATCTCCCTGATATGTGGGGTGATAATCCAGTGTTGAAACTACTCCGGGAAGAAAACAACGAAAAAGAAAAGGAAGGACCAGAAGGTGCAGACAAGCCATCTGGATCATCGAATGCTAAAAAGAGTAAAGGCAAAAACGCAAAGAACGAAGATGATGTTTGGAATTGGGTCAAGGTTTTCAAGGCATACAAGAAACTCAGAAGCCCAGTAATGGGTGGTCAACACTACGATATCACCAAGATGTCTCGAGCTGAACGAGCGGCGGCGGCGTTTGATCACCAAGATCCCCTCGCCGACATACCAGCCAAGGAGCTGAGAAACAATCTGATAGATATCGAGTGAGAGCCATTTATCGGATGTTTCGGGCAATGGATAGGAATGGCGTTGGCTCAATTATTTGTTTTGTTTTGGATTCCCACATGTTGTGTAATAGTTCCAATTGTTTCATAGCGAAAATTGTGTTGTATATTACAGTTCCAACTACCGACTCTACTGCACACATCCTCGAGTGTCCACCGGCCAAATCTCTTCAATCACTCCATTCCGGTGCGCATAATACACATCATGCAGATTTACCGTGGGATCAATATGGCTCGGAATCATCTCCACCCTATCCCCTATCCTCAACTCGCCCGCCTTTCCCTCTTCCCACTTGAGACTCCCATGCTCATCACCCAACACCCCATACTCATACCCTTGCGTCTTGCACTCCGCAAGCCCCGAATCCGTCGTCAAACTCTTCAACCCGGCATCAATCGTAATAACATTGGGCCCCTGCTTGCTCAGCACCGTCGACAAAATGGTCAAACTCTGCTTGAAATGCTGCCCCCCAACCGCATTCCTGTAATCCGTATCCATGAAAAGAAACGACCCAGGCTGCACCTCCGTGACCCCAGGCACGCTCGCACAAAACTCCGCCGTCCCCGTCCCGCCCGTCGTAACAACATCGATCTTGTGCCCCTCCTTCCTCAGCGCCTCCGCCGTCTCAACCAAGATCTTCATACTCTCCAAACACATCTCTTTCCTGGCCTCCAGCCCATGCACATGCTGCAAGTGTCCCTCATACCCCTGCACCCCAATCAACTCCAAATGCCTCGTCTGCGCCACAAACACCGCAAGTTCCTTCGCCGGCGTCCCCGGCTGCACGCCCGTCCGATGAAGCCCAACATCCAAATCCACCAGCGTCTTGACCTGCTTCCCCTTGAACCCGCGCTCCGCCAGCGCATCATCGATAGTAGCAGCGCCCTGCACACTATCCACCACAATCCTCACCTCGGGATGCTTCTCGAGTAGCTCGACTAAGCGCTGCACTTTTGCGGCGCCAACGACTTCACACGTGATGAGCAGGTCAGAAAAGCCTTTGGAGCACATGACTTCGGCTTCGGAGAGCTTGGCCACGCAGCCGCCTTTTGCGCCGGCGGCTGCCATTTTTCGGGCTACGATGCTGGATTTGCTGGTTTTGAGGTGTGGGCGGATGGATACGCCGGTGGGGAGGAGTTGGGACATTAGTGTTTGCAGGTTGGATTCCATGATGTCGAGGTCGACGATCATGGAGGGGGTGTCTAGTGAGACGATGGGGTCGCCGATTTTGGGGGCGTAGGGCATGGTTGCGGTTGCTTTGATCGAGGGGAATGTGTTGATCCGGTTTGTGGTCAGGCTTTGGTGATGTGGTGTAAATGAGGGGAAGTATATTGATAGTCAATCAATAAATTTTCCGTCTTTTTGTATTTTTTTTTCGTGCAAAATCTCTGTGACTTGGAAAATATACGAATTTTAATAGTATCTCGGAATGCTTCGGGGTTGAAGACTATATTCCAAGAGTCAGAGCGAACATCGGACTTGGAGGTGGTGCTGACGATAAGCCGTCTCCGAGGTGGAGAGGTTGCTGTTGTTGTAGCCCAATCGGGTAAGCCGAGCGTCAAAGCCACCTTCCGAACGCGATAGTAGAATTGTAGATCTTCGGGGTTCTGCTGCTGACTCGCAGTGTTCCTGAAAATCTCTTGATGTTACAATTGGATGGTTGCATGGAAATGTAATTGTTTGGAGAGTAAGTTCTTCGAGTTGAAGGCTGGTGCATAGTATGGTGTTGTGAGTACATTACATGCAGTCACGCTGCATAGAACAAGTCGACTGGATATTAGAGGGGTACCAAACTCGATTTTTTTGTTTTCAGAAAGACTCCAGAGTAAATTGGACGAGTGGAGACGAAGATCTATATTATCAGTGTGTATGATGAACACGTATTAGTCGGCGAATCTATAGCCTAGATGCAGTGATGCGAAAACACAGTAAGCGCAAGTAAGCCACTGACTCCCAAGTCGCGATGAAGAAAGTGAGTCAACGATTTCCTCCCAATGAACTAGCCCAGGACTCAGACCTTGCAACCATTGTGTCCATTCTGCTGCCACATCTTCACACTCTTAACCTTCATCTGCCCGCCATCCTTCCACGTAGGCAGCCACTGATTTCTCGCCTCCCAGAAATCGAGCTTAGCACGAGCGCTCCTGTCGATCCATGGCTTACCGCTCTTGCTGTCCTCGAACCAGCCATTTGTTGATCCGACACCTAGGTTGATGACAAGGTAGAAGTCCTGGTCAAAGGGTGATGTGTTGCTATTGGTGTGCGCCCACGGGTTGTCAAGACGGGTACCGTTAGCATCGGCTAGAGGGAAGCCACCGTACTTCCAGAATGGCTCGTCGAAATGGGTATACATGACTTGGAGAAGACGTGTGTTGATGTACGTAAAGATATACTTCTCAGACCACTGGATTTTGGGTTAGCGTCACTGTGCTAGAGTTCAAATGAATGATGAAGCAAACCTCGACACCAAAGGTATTGTATCCAGCCGCATACGTGGTATGCAGTGCTTTTCGCTTGACATTGTTGCGCCACCAGCCATTGTGGTTGGAGTCAGGACCAAATTGCAGCGTACTGGAGACAATGTTGTTTCCACCCTGAGCGTAGCCAGGTGCATTACCACGCGACTCCATGATATCAATCTCACCAGAGCGGGGCCAGGGACCATACACGCTGTCCTTGGGCAACATAGAGATTGAGGGCCACAGCCAATCTCCAGCGGGCAGCTTGGCAATGACCTCGACGCGTCCGTACTTGATCGAAGCACCAAGCTTGGTGTTTATGCGACCAGATTTGACAGGGTTGACAATAGTACCGTTTGTCGTGTTGGTAGATGCAAAGCAATCCGTCCATACAAGACCAGTACAGCCGTGACCGCGGAGATCAATGATGTGATCCTGCATAATGAATTCCTCATTCTGGACGGTAGGCTTTATGACGAGCTCGCCATTGTCGATGAAGACGTTCTCGTGGGTATCGGTAGTCATCTCGAATTGCCCGTTACTGCACATCGAAGTCAGTCACGAGCTGCAGCCTATCTACATGCTGTCACCTACCCAAAGCCACCAAGCTCGACCTCCTTTGTCCAGAGACTTTCATTCCAAGAAGTGAAGTTGTCGTTTAGAATCTCGCAATAGCCGTGCTGTGCAACGGACCTCAATCCATCCCAGATGAGTATTCCTGTGACGGCCAAGCCAAGAGCCAAACCAAGGAGAGGGAAGATGGTAACCCATATCTGTCTGGGATGCTTCTTGTTGAGCCATGGCTGCTGAACATCTTCAGGCTTAACGCGCCGTGATCGAAAGAATTCGCCCCTGTACGGGTTCTGGTAGCCGGACACAGCTGGTGAAGGGGTAGTATTCATTGTGCACTATGAAAAACAAAAATGCAAAGAATGGAGAGCGAATGTGGGAGAGATGCTGTAGGGATGTAGGATATATCCTTTTTATGGACATATTCGTCGTACAATTACCAGTACATAACGGGTTGGGCGAAGTCGGAGTGCTGGAAGTCAACCTTTGAATCTGTAATCTGCTGAATTGGTCACTGTGGATCTACCCGAGCTGTCTTCCCAGTCTTTTGTGGCGAGGAAAAGGCCGCCAGTCGGTCTAATGATATTTAGTAATTTAGGTGACGTTGGTAAAGACTCTCACCACTACTGCACCGTCACGCTGCGGTCATGCACTCAACATGTGCTGGCCTCTCTGTTCTCACTGGCTATCTTAGACATTCTGTTGGTATACATCAACCCGTGCTCTAACGATGCTAGATCCATTGGGATTGTGCCATAAATCTGGGTGGGCCAATATGACAGATATCATCAGTGTCAATCCACTAGGCGTACCATATTACTATCCTAAAGTCTGTCAGTGGCTGCAGTGGTCAATGAGACATTTGCGTAAGATTTGGCAATGGCTCTGAGATGCAAACTCAGCATCGCTACCGGAGATATAACGAAGATTACTTCAAGAGGGACCTTGCACTGGGACATGGTTCAATTGGAAATTTTGAAAATATTTGAACAGTTGATTGAGCACTGACACATACGGAGCCTCTTCGTAAGGTCGTGACTTCATATTCGAAAAGCATATCCATCCGAAGGTATATGGATGAAGCTCTCAAAAGCGGAACTATGCGTTCGCAGCCAGACTAAGGTAGATACCCCACACAACACCCACTGAGGCACCAAAAACAACCCTCTTATCGACAGGGATCCAGAGGAAGCTAATGAGACTTATCGCTGGCCAGAACTTGTATCCATCCTTCATCATGGGCCACGTCTTGTTGATGCAATCGCTAGTAACCACATCCGAAACAACTACGCCCGGTTTACCTTGCGCGTTAACGTATGCCATATAACTCACGAACATGAGCGTATTGACAACGGCGCCAATTGTTTGGTCAAGGATAAACTTGATCAAAACATTTTTTCTGCTCATAGATGTCTTCGCAGGCTCGGGTTTGGACGCGGATTTCTCGGATGAGGTCGAAGCCGGTGCTGACGGCACATTTGTGGGAAATTGGTCTTCAAGGAAGCCTTGCCAAATGATGTTGGGTGGCGTGCTGAGGACACTGAAGACGACGAATTTGAGCAAGGATTGGTAATTGAGAGCGAAAGTCGTCTGGGGCAGATGTCAATTCCATGGCTTTCACATGAGAAATTCCGCAATAGTGCGTACATCGTCTTTGTATGATGATATGGCTTGCGCAAGTACGTTGGACGTTACGCTGAGTGCTGCACCTTGCAGCGTCTGCGATATCATCGACATCTTATCGTTGAGTATGTATTCTGTTATCGCTGGGGAGATCTTCGTGTACGTGGCTAGAAATCCGAGTTTGCGGACCCGGTGAAAGTAAAAGGATATTATGTGAGTAATGCAGTGTTTCTAGGTGCAAAGAAAGAAACAGATTGGGGTATCGCAAGTATATCAATGTGGCCAGAAGTATAATTTCCACCGAGGCTGGAATTGTTGCAGCAATGTTTCGACAGGGCGCGTCTCGCGTAGCATGGCTAGCGTCCTGACGTCAATCAAGGCTGCATCTCCAACGCCCGCCATTTGCGCACTGTCGGTCCGGCTGAACCAGATTGGTTCCCTTGCGCCCGAGAGTATTCTACATCTGATATTCACACTGTTCAGCAATGCACCCCGGAATTGATCAAAATGCGGGGTCGATATTACGCCAAGTCAGTATGAGCTGACCGCAACGATCCTGGCGACGGCAGATGTCTCGAGATACATGTTGTCTTCTCAGACTGAGTGTGTTTACATTCATCCCACCAACGCTAGATAGAGCGCTTTTATAGATGCTTTCGTCTAGTTGTTACTACTGCCTGTCTTGTCCTTCGTGGCACCGGAGAGCCAACACCTCTCCGCTCAGTGCTCTTCATATTATTACCGCCCTTCAGCGCCTCATTGCAGTGTTGCTTACTGGCTACTCCCAGTGTATTTGTTTGAGTATCCAGGAAAGTTGACTTGAATTGGCTGTCTTGGCATTTTATTTGACAGCGTTGATCCCGGTCTCAATCCCATGTTGGACTACCACCTTCCTAGCCAAGCAGAGATGCTTGTGTGCATGTGATGTCCGGATTTGGGGTAAGGAACTCGCAATTCGCAATGGAGTCATGTGCGTTGCGAATCACCAGACTTATACCGTGCCGGAAATATGTACCATACAACGGCTAGAATTGTCAATTCTAGGCTGTCTTGGCCTAGTTTGTCGTAGTTGATATCAGGCGTTGTATCAACTGCGTTGATTTCGCGAAGAAGAAACCCTCTATATTCAAGGCATCAATTCTTCGCGGTAGAAGTCTGCCATACCTTCCCTAGTAACTTTTCGAAGCTGTGCGCCCGCGCGGCCCAGCTCCCCACCAGCCTTTATGGCTTCTTCCAATCCTGCAATGATGGCAGCCTCGGCGCGTTCGTGGAATACCCTTTGCCGGTCCTCGCGGTCTTCGTACATTTCTGCTTCCTCGTCTCTTGCGGCACCAAATAGATTGAGATGTGCATAGGCATTGGACCGTTCTGATAAGATATGGTGCTGGGTGTGCCAAAGTGGAAAATCGTTTGCGCTGATGTCAATGATTGTTGCTGATTGCGTATGTGAGAGTCCAGTGCGGAGAAATGAAGTCAACACGCTCATCTGTCTCACTTGCATTTTCGAATCAGCTTTCCCATATGACCTCCCTGTCGACCATTTGCTTGCTGCTTCGCTCTGCCAACCGAGTAGGCTGAGGAAGCATTTCAGCATTTTTACCCAACCACCGGCGCAACTGACTACTTCGTCACCTGCGACTTGGAGCAGCCATTCAAGAACATCAAGACCAAACAAACGGATTTCGGTTGCTAGATGTGTCATAGCAGCTCTTGTGTGGAGGAGTAGCTGGTCTGCATGGCCGGCAATATCTGTTGGTGGTAAACTTTGCAAAAGTTTGAGTAACTGCTGGCGAACACTCTTTGTGCCATCGAGAATAAGGCGCTGAGCCGCAGGGATGATGACAGATGACGGTTGTGGCAATGGGGCTGTAGGCGGACTGCTAGTGATTGCTGAGGTTAAAAACGCTAGCGATTCTTTACGCTGCGAATCAGCCTTGTGATTGAGTAGACCTAGATGGTGGGCGCATTGCGCCTCTAGAGTTGGAGCACTAGTGGAAAGAGCCTGTTGTTTCAACGCAATTGCTAATGGGTGTTACTAGTTTTCGCAATCCTGGCTGTCGCACATCTTACATTTTGCGCGGAAACTGGTGTCTGTCGCATTTGCCGCCTTGGGTTTTGCTTTTCCGACCTTTAATTTCGGTTTCTAAGGTTCTGTGAGCTATGGCTACAAGAGCACCAGATTGATCTTTCATTACCTGGAAATCCTTCTTTTTGCTCTCCTTCTTCTTTTTTGAGCTTGCTGTCATGATGCCGTTCGAGTCTGGTCTTCTGGATTATTTGAGTATATCTTTGCTACCAGGCGACTACGAAAACAAAAGGTTTAAAAAATAGAAGGAATCTGAAATCGACGACAGCGATGATGTTGAAGCGCGCGCGCGCTCGAGTGTAAGTAGCAGGAAAATTAAAGACCCATGGATGCCACTAGTGCGAAAGAGGCCTAAGAAGGACATGGCTTGGCAGGGTCCAGCTGCGGACTTGTCTGCCGATGTCATTGGCAATAACCTGACGGCGACCACATCTCTTACCCCGCCTCTTTGCCCTGTTTCCCTCGATATGGCCCAAAACGCGGTATGTAGTATATGTTATCTTTTGGAATTTTGGTCGACTAACTAATAACGCAGCCAGACGAAACACTCGCCTTGCTCACCCGCTTGAGCCAGAAGCCTGGCGTGCAAAGCACTCTCATACTGTCGCGCGAAAATGGCAACATAATACGCACCTCTGGCCTCATCTCGAAAAGCTCGTCTGCAAACCCAAACAGCACCCTCCCAGCTTCTGGGGAGTCCACATCCGAGAGTTACGCAAACGGCAGAAAGGAAAGCGGGATTCATAGCGCGGAAGACGTCGCGAGCTCGGTGTGGTCGTTCTTGGCCGCAGCAGGAAGTCTCGTCGATGAGCTAGACAAAGAAGACGAAGTGAAGCTTTTGCGGTTGCGAACGAAGAAGAATGAGTTGGTTATTGTACCAGGTACGAATGTCGCACAAATTGCTAAGTGTCATGTACTAATCTACGACCAGATCCCAAGTTCATTCTCGTCGTTATCCATGATACCCCTCCTGCCTAGGGCCTTTGACAGAATCACTACACACTGGAACTGTTTTTAACACAAGCATCAAGATACCCCACTAGGTTGAATAGCGCAATAGACTGGTTCACCAATGAGCTTCGCTAATGTCGACTTGATTAACATCAACACCGTCCTTGAACCATCGATCTGGAAACATCATTAGGAGACTGTATCGGTCGAACGTAAGCACGAGAGGACTTGCCAGCTTCTTCAATCTCGATATCGTTGCCACTCATGTGCCGCTTCCGCATCTTTCCGTCCTCGGCGAAGGTCCAGTCTTCGAGACCGTAGCACCGCTTCCACTTCATGCCATCATGGGAATCCTGGAACTCGTACCAGAATTGCACTGCAATCTTGTTGTCGGTAAATGCGAAAAGCTCTTTGCGCAGCCGATAGCTTTTCTCCTTTTCCCGCTTCTTGGTCAAGAGGTCCTCGATAGCTGCCGTGCCTACGAGGAATGACGATCGGTTGCGCCACACACAATCGGGGGTGTAGGCCTGGGCAATGACCTGGGGATTTCTACGACAATCAGATGATGCAGAAGCGTAAACATATACCGACGTACTGGGTATTCCACAAGTCCTGGGCCTTCTTGACCTTGGCATGGGCGGTTTCTTTGGTGAATGGTGGTGCAAGAGACATGTTTTGATCCGATTGAATTACTCTAGATGATTTGTGAAGATTTCAGAGTTCGCTCTGGCTGAACTATATATACTGTCTAACTTGCCATGATGTTGAGACATACTTTCACTCTAATGTGCCGAATTCTTATTTTGTATCGGCACATCGGCATTGTTGGACGTCTAGTCTCGAAAACAATGCCGCTTCGCTCATTCTCAAATGCTTATGTGATGGTTCCCTCAGCATTATACATACTACTAGCATCCGTAGTCATTCTTGAACACAAGGCCCGAAGCATTGTCGTTGTTGTCGTTGCCTGCCGCGACCTCTGCCACGCGCTCATGCCGATCGCAGTGGACCCCGCGACCCACTTCGATATCGATAGCAAAGGGAAGCTTCTCGAACCAGCAGCCCATCTCAGACGCTCGAGTAGCGCATACGTAGGAAAGGACAAGATGCCGAGGCTTTCCGCCAAATGACAAAGCTCCAGCGTACTAGGCGCGCAATACTCGGAAGGTCTGGGACGTTCCAATTGACAAAGCTAACCCTCCAGCACCGGCCATTCTATAGTAGCTTTAACCCGAAAGCATCAAGGCAGCGGTAGCATCATCTATGTAGTAGCAGCCCCCACCATTCCATCATCAGCTCTTCAGCTTTGCTCACTCAGGTACCCGCATCCCGCGCTCTCATAGGTCGAGAAGATTTGTCAAAGCAAGCAGCGCAAACCCCGGTCGGATACCCAGAATGAGGCAGTTTCCAATGTACTTGGTACGTACACATGCAACTTGTTAGGCTAACTGGCGGCCCCTTGGCGGCAAGATGACGCCAAAGCTGTCGCACTTTCTTTCCGCCAGCAAGCGTATCCGCTGTGTGGTGCCCTGCCCCACTATTCGATCTCGAGAGCTATACGCAGAAAGCCTTGAGGGTAAGGTTCGGCCGGCGAGACAAGCAAGGCGGGTGAAGCAGGCAAGGTTTGCCCCTCCTTCTTGGGTCCCGCACCCTTCCTTAGCAGCTAGTACTTAAAGATAGACAAAGCTCCTTGGGTTTCTTCTCGTAGTTTTCTTTTGCTTTGAATTGATTTGAATCCATATACACAGCTTTCCTCACACACACACACACACACACACACACACACAAACCTTTCATACTTTTACTTTTCACATACAACAATTGCAAAGATGGCTCCTCTCAAGGTTGGCGACAAGCTCCCCGAGGGTGTCAAGTTCGAGTATGTGCTTCTCTTCACCTAGCACTTTCAAATGGCACTCGGTGCTTGCTTGCTTTACAAGATGAATGCTAACCACGACTCCCGCTCTATAGATGGGCCCCCATCACGGACAGCGACCCCACCGCATGTGGCCGCCCTCAAGAGTACGATGCTAGCAAGGAGTGGGCAGACAAGAAAGTCGTCGTCTTCTCCGTTCCCGGTGCCTTCACTCCCGGCTGCCAGGCATACCACCTGCCACCCTACATTGCCAAGGCCAAGGAGTTCAAGGACAAGGGCGTCGACATCATCGCCACAATTGCGTCCAACGATGCGTGGGTCATGAACGCGTGGGGCAAGGTCAACGGTGTCAAGGGCGACGAGGTCCTGTTTCTGAGTGACACCAAGACATTTTTCAGCAAGAACTACGGTTGGGATGCTGGCATGGGTGACCGCAATGGTCGCTGGGCTATGGTTTTCGACCACGGCAAGGTCATCTATGCTGAGAACGAGAAGAGCCCTGGCGAGGTTTCCGTAAGTTTCTTGAATCTAGATTGATTCGGCTTGTGCATGTCTAACAAAGTGCAGGTCTCTGGTGCTGATGCCGTCCTTGCCAAGCTGTAAACATTGACAGCGAATAGCAAGTGTCTCAAGAAGTCGCTGCAAAATGACGATAGACCTAGTTAACGTCATATAGACGAATGAATGAAATGAAGAACAAATCACCATGTCAATTCCAATGCGTATGTGATGCCCGACTCGAACCGAGGAGCCCATTAGACCATATTGTATAGACACATTCGAGACGTCGCTGGGCACGTCATGTGCGACAAGGTGATTCAAGTTCGTGTTTGTATTCATTGCTGGTCGAATGCTCAGCTTGGATCGCAACTTTTCCATGCCCACACTTGCTTGCAAGCTAACGAATTGGGCCCTCGACCATAATCCGTCTCGCATAGCTGCTTCTATTCCGATATCCGTAATGACGTGATATATACAAACGCCATCCTCGCACGCTCAATCAAACTAGTGGTCTTGTTAGCCAAGAGCTCGTGATCGACAGCGGGGCAAAGACATACTGGAGTAAGGAAAGATTCGGCAACGAAACGTGCTCTTGCATTCAGCTGGACAGTGTTAGCTTACCCCCTCCATAAATTGTCAGCGGTGCCTTACGAAGAGCTTCATTTCGGAAATCTCCTTGTCAACCTCTTCCATGAACTGGATAATAAAGTCGACCAGCTTGTGTTTCAGCATCTCCTCAGTGTGAGCGTTGGTAATCAGGAACGAGATGTCGTAGCCCTTGACCGGCTTCCTCCGCAGAATGTAAAACGACTCGGCTCTTTGGGTCAAGAACCGTGTGAACTTGTGGACCAGAATATGCTCAATTTCATCTGCCTGCTTGATCTTGATGCTTATTCGCACACTGTTGATACTGGGCTCAATGTATACGCGCTCATTCTCGTTTCTCGACACGGTGAGGGGATTTAGGATGACCTCGGGGGAGCTTGCAGCCTCAATCTCAGGCACATTGTGACGCTCCGAGGCTTGCGAGGCAAAGTTGGAGAGGGAGAGGGCGGCCGTGAGGGACGAGCGCACGCACTGAAGGTATGGGCGGAGGGATTGGGACTGGCGGACGTTAGCAATGCCCAAGTAGTCGGGCAGCAGAGGAGCCCATAAAGACACACCATTGTGAAGCGAGCTCGGCACCAGCTCTGTGTTCAGATGTCAGGACTGCAGTCAAGGGAAGAGGGCGGGCTATGACATGCCAGCACGGGGAGTTGGCGTTGCCTGCAGGTGGTTGTTAGTGGGGCTGGAGCTCCGGGCGGCGGCTGAGCTTGGCGCGGCACCTCTTCCTCATGATTCGGCCGTCGACCATTACATGTCGCCCCACGATTGATTATAAGTCTTTCTTTCGCCTCCGCCCCCAAGACCCTTTACACATTCTTTGCACAGTAGCCGATTAGACATCATGGCGTCTATACCAGGTATGTGGTGATTTACCGCTGCTTTTGGATCGCTTCCGTACTGACTTGAATGTTTGTAGTAATCGTAAAGCATCAGGGCAAGAAGCACGAGGTCGAAGTGGATACCACATCCAACGGCGAAACATTCAAGTACCAGCTATTCTCTATCACTGGAGTCGAGCCAGAGCGCCAGAAAGTCATTGTCAAGGGTGGACAGCTCAAAGATGACACCGACATGTCCAAACTGGGCCTCAAGCCCGGCCAGACTCTGATGATGATGGGAACACCTTCGGGCACCGGAGTTGTCATTGAGAAGCCCAAGGTCCCTACCAAGTTCTTGGAGGACATGGATGAGGCAGAAGCCGCCCAGCTCGAAGGTGCCACACCTGCCGGTCTCCAAAACCTGGGCAACACCTGCTATATGAACTCTACACTCCAGACGCTCCGGTCCATCCCAGAACTCCAGGAAGAGCTTCTGCGGTACTCTGCAAGGTATGGCTTCTCTAAATATTTGTTTGCGCTATACTGATTGCATATAGCAACGACGCCGGTTCATCTAGCTCTGCGCAACAACTCAGCCAGTTCGGTCTTGGTGGTCTCGGTGCCTCGACTGACCTCACGAGCTCCCTCCGCGATCTATTTAAGCAAATGTCCGAGACCCAGCAAGGGTTTCCTCCACTCATGTTCCTCAACGCGCTCAGAACCGCCTTCCCCCAGTTCGCACAAAAAGCAAAAGATGGCCATGGCTATGCACAGCAGGATGCCGAAGAAGCTTGGTCACAGATAGTATCACAACTGCGACAAAAGCTCAAGGTGACCGAAAAGGATGCGTCAGGTGCGGATAAGCAGACCATGTCTTGGATTGATAAGTACATGTCGGGAAGGTTCGAGTCGGTCATGGAGTGCGACGAGCCTGCAGCAAAAGAGGGCGGCGAGGAGGCGATTCACAGCGAGGATCTATTCTTCAAGCTCAACTGCCATATCAATGTCGAGACGAACCACCTCCGAGATGGTCTCGCCGCTGGCCTGAAGGAAAAGATTGAGAAGCGATCAGAAGTTCTAGGACGAAATGCCATGTACACGAAGACTTCCAAGATTGCACGCCTGCCAAAGCACCTTCCAGTCCACTTTGTACGCTTTGACTGGCGACGAGACACCAACAAGAAGGCAAAGATCATGCGCAAGGTCACCTTCCCAGAAGAGCTGGACGCATTAGAATTCTGTACCGATGAACTGAGGAAGGCTCTTGTCCCCATACGTGACAAGATTCGCGATGTCCGTAAGGAAGAGGAGGATCTTGAACGCGCCCGCAAGCGACAAAAGCGCATGAGGGCTGGCGAAGAGAATGACACTGAACCTACTGCTTCCAAGGAACCTCTACAGAAGAAGAAGGAAGCCGCAGAAAAGAAGGAGGAAGCCAACAAGCCCGAGGATGCTAAGATGGAGGATATTGAGTACAAGACCGATGCCCAAGTCGAAGCTGAGCGTATCGCATCGATCGTGGCTGCCAAGAAGGAGCTCCTCGCACTTGTGGACCCCAAAATGGCCGCTGATGAAGGGGCTAACCAAACGGGTCTCTACGAGTTGAGAGGTGTCATCACCCACCAGGGTGCCAGTGCTGACAGTGGTCACTACACGTCTTTCGTCAAGAAGCAGGGAGCCAAGGATCCAGTAACTGGAAAGCGAAAGGAGGAAGACGGCAAGTGGTGGTGGTTCAATGACGAGAAGGTTTCGGAAGTCGATTCTGAGAGAATACAAACCCTCTCTGGTGGAGGTAAGTGTTCCCACCATTTGGGTATGACGTGTGACTGACATTTGCATAGGGCAAAGTCATTCGGCTCTTATCCTCCTCTACCGTGCGGTCCCTCTGCCAGTCATTGAGGAGGATGTGCAGATGGGCGATGCATAGAATCAATCAACAACTAACTCCATAGATGGTGTTTAGGATGCCATTACCAGCATATGGCAAAGTAGAAGCGTGGGCTGAGCGAAGGATGGCGCATGACACTGGCGTTGACCTAGCTGAAACCGCTATGAGCGATACTCTTGAGCTATGAGTAAATGAGGGCACGACTTCTAGACTTGCATTAATAGATATTAACCGATCGGTCTGCTTCATATCCTCGCGTCCAATTCACTCCGCGTCGTAAAAACGCGTCGAGACGTGTTGCCAAGCGTCCATGATGCTCGCGTCCAGCACTTCTCTTTTTCCTCCACAACAATCTCCTAGACAGTCTTTCAAGTTTGTCTACTTGCAGTTTACATTGTCGTTCTTTACTGTATCGCACTATCACTTCAGACTTTCGATTCATGCCTTGACCACCACCACCACCACCATCATGTTTTACAGTCACGAAAGTAGGCTTCCTTGCAAGACTCCAGCCTGGAGACTCAACTGACTTTTGCAGTCCTCACGTCACGTAAATATGGTGTGGCGACTGTGTGGTTAGTCATGATAGTTGTCAGTCGCTCCTTCCTTCAACTGACAGAAATGGCAGGCTCGTTGCAACCCTGGGTGCCAAATCAAGCTTGAAGCGCATTAACCGCAAGCAAATCCTCGGCGTCGATGTCTCCAAAGCATGCCAAACCATCATCGATCCAGTAGCTCCCCTGGCTCTACGTCTACAGGGGAACTTGTTGTAAGTCACTCTACTCGCCGGGCAACATACGCAGCACTGTTAACACATACAGATATGGACTATCGCGAGTGTACCTACAGCAGTGCGGATATATTCTCTCAGACGCACAGGATGCTCAAATTGCTCTGAGAATGGCCTTACGGACAGTTCAGAGCACCGAACTTGATCCCACTGCTGGTAAAGCCAAGTACGAATTCATCATCTTATCCCTCTCCAGGACAGTCAACTAACAGATACCCCCTAGTCCAGAACAACTCATTCTTCAAGATGACCCCTCGTTCCTCCCCAATTTTGCTCCTCCTCCGCCCGAACTACTCGCTGATCTAGACTCCAACTTCAACCTCGACATAACACACTCCGGCGAGTCACAGTCTCTAACACCGTTTGGCTCTCAGCGACATTCATCCTCTCCTCATGTTGGTAGTGCAGGTGGCCTCGTTCTCCCTACTTCTTCCCCTGTCACTCCGGGTGGATTTAGACTCGACGGCGATTACGGAACGGGCAGTATTGATCAACCTAGCGCCATGCTTGGGGCCGGCGAGACATTCGAAATCGAAGATCCGGATTTTGAATTCGGAGATGATGGTGAGATCATTCAGCTGCCGCCAGGTACCGTGTCGCTGAGAACTCCGGCTACGCCTTCACGTGCGTCCAGGTCCGAGGATGCTCTACATAGTGACAAGGTGAGAAAGGAACTTGACCCAGAACACCGCGTTCTTGATCAGGTGAGTTATGCAATGTTACTTCACATCTCTATGGATTATTCATTCAGTCATTTGTTTCACCTGAACTGTTTTTGTGGCTTTCTGACTAGTCTTCCACGTTCCCAAGACATTCAGGTCATTGACACGAAAACTTCACCTGACCTGAGGAAGCATGCCTTGAGGACCATGTTTCTATTCTCCTTTTCTCTCATCCTCCTAAATACTTACTTTCCTTACTTTCTGCTTCTGCAAATACCCAAAAACATTTACCATGGATGCTGATATATATCAGTTGCCTGATGATGAGATGCATGTTGCGCTTCCCAGCGAAGAAGACGGCCTTCCCGAAGGCGGCGTTTATTCCTCAGGCGCGCAACAGTCTCAAAATTCTTCAGAAGTAGTCGAATCATCAGGAACCTTTACCGCTCCTATGCGTCGACATCGAGTTCCACGCGCCATTCCTGCAGACACAGCAACCGAACTTCGTAATAAGGACCTGATAGACTGGGGCACGAACTATCTTAAGAACATGAAAACTGTTGCTCAACAAAAGATTCACAATCGTGTCCTGACACAAGCCAAGAAAAACGCTGAGCATTATGTGTGGGGATCCGGACTAGGTGGTATTGGCCAACGTATTCCTGGATACGAAGGCTATAATCCATTCGATATGTTCATGGGCGACAAACTATTCGAGGCTATCACTGGCATGAGTCGCAAAGGAACCGGGCACAAGCATGATCGCGATAGCGGCATAGACGATGCCACGCAAGAACAGGCACGTCATGTACGCCAGAAGATTGGCGAGCCTGAGGTTGCTCGAGGTGCTGATGATGAAGGATTCTCTATGCCTCTTGGAGACGACGAAGCTGCGGTTGAATTGCCTCGTGAAGCACCGTCTGCCCTTGATGATCAACACGTCTTCTCTGCAATGCCATGGAACATGAGTGCTTCTGCTAGAAGTTCATCAGCCATTCCTCGCAGTAGGCGTATCGGCATGACTGGTTCAGCCGATCACGGAAGACATGGAAGTCGCCTGGTATCTGCCTCTCCACTATATGGACGAGGTCAGTCTATTCCCTTCGATTTGAATAATCTTACAAGCGATGCGGATTATGCCGGCGATGAGTTTGGGCCTCCAGCACTCAGCTCAGATTTTCCCGAGGTAGCAGCTCTTCCGAACGCCAACTCACAACTACCCAAAATACTTTCCATCGAAGGCGAAAACTTCATCGCCTACATACGCGAGAAGATGAGAGAGAAGCGAGGTCGTGCGCAGGTAGAGACAGGCGTTGCGAACGATGCTGAAGAAATTACGTTCGAAGAACTGCTTCCGCCTGCGGAGAATGCAAAGATGGTTGCTTGCCACGGTCTTATGATGGTTCTCACACTGGGCACAAGAGGTATGCTCACCATACAGCAGTCCGAGCACCTCGGTGACATTCATCTTCGCTTATCTGAGAAAGCCAAGGCGCTGGAAATCATTGAGATCAGCGATGGCGAAGAGTTAGATAGTGACATGGAAGAGGAAGAAGATGAAGAGATGGAAGCACCTATCGTAACGGGCTCGCGATACATTTCTGGCGAACTCGAGGAAGAAGACGAGCAAATGGAAGACCCGGTGGATGTCGAAGGCGAAGGACATTTCCAGGAACAGTTCGCTGCTGGACATGCTGCCCAGGTGGACGATGATCACGGGTCTCTATACGATGAGTGATGGGCTAGAACCAGGTATCATTTGAGTATCCAGTGTGTTATTCATTTCGAAAAAAACATGTTCGCGCCATACACGGGATGAGAATCTCTCGACAGTCATCTGCTTAATGATTGGGTGGTACGGCTGATCTCGCAAATGTGATGAGTTGAAATCATGTACTGAGGATAATATAATTTGATTCACACGTCAACCTATAGAAGACTACACTTTCCCATCTACGCTTTGGTGATTTGCAGATTGTCCTACATGACGGAGAGGCCTTCCTCACGCATTCGACTTGCAAGGATCATTCTAACCGCATGCCCGCCTGATCCTCGTACCCATGAGTACGGCGTTCTTCCGTCATTGTCTTTCAGGCCGACATCCACATTTGGTTTATTAAGTAGCATAAAGACTACGCTGCTATCTCCTGATGCTGCAGCCCACGAAAGAGGAGTCCGTCCATTCTTGTCTTGTAAATCCACGTCCACGTCCACGTCCCTTGAACAGAGCAGTGTCTGAACTACGCTGCTATCTCCTGATGCTGCGGCCCATGAAAGGGGAGTCCGTCCATTGTTGTCTTGTGAGTTGACATCCACGCCAGGTGCCCTGAGTACCCTCTTGAACACGTTATCATTGCATGATGCTGCGGCCCATGAAAAAGGAGTCCTTCCTTCATTGTCTTTTAAATTAACCTGAATGTTCGGTGTTGCAAGCAGTAGCTTGACCATCTGGTGTGTATCTCCAAACCAACCTGTCACGACCCTTGAGAGTGGGGTTCTTCCATTTTCATCCCTTATGTTGACGTCAGCCTCAGCTTTCTCCAGTAATAGCCTTGCCATAGCCGAATCTCTTATATATACTGTTGCTGCTAGGAGCGGTGATAGCCCATCCTTGTTTTTGAAATTTACGTTGACTCTGCTTGTTTCCAGTAGCAGCTGAACCACTGGAAGCTCGGATGCCAGCACTGCGCTCAATAGCGGCGGGTTTCCTTCGAAATCCAATGAGCTGTTTTCATCCAAGACCATTTCCTGCACTATCAGTTCACGTATGAACTGCTCTCTTCCTTGGTTCGCTGCTGCCAAGTGAGAAAATGAGGTTTTCCCAGCTCGATCTCTTATGTTAGGGTTGGCTTTGCCCATCTTTAGCAGTAGTCGAATAATCGCTATCCTCTCAACCCTCTCAACCAGATTGTCGCTATGATCCTCTACTGCAGCTGATGCCAATGCTATTTTTGTCGCCAGCGATAGGGCCGTCAATCCGTCCCCGTCCTCTTGATTTACATTAACTTCATCCACTTGCAAAAGTAGCTCTACCATTGCCTGGTTGTCTGTTGCTACTGCTGTAGACAATGGCGGTGAGCCATCCTTGTCCTTGGCATTAACGTCAATACCATGTACTCTCAACAGTAACCGAACCATTTCCACATCGCCTGCTCTCAATGCCACAAAAAATGGCGTTAAGCCATCCTTGGCCATAATATTGACTTCGATACCATGTACTTTCAACAGTAACTGAGCCATTTCCACGTCGCCTGATTTTACCGCTACATATAATGGCGTTAAGCCATTCCTATCTGCTAAGTTGACCTTCGCTCTACTCGTTTCGAGTAAAAGTCGGACCACTGCTTTGTGTTCATTCAATGTTGCCCACCACAGTGGCGTCCGTCCGTGTACGTCTTGAGGATTGACATCGACGCGTGTGTGGTTTAGTAACATCTTGACAATATTCTCTTTTCCATTACATGCAGCGTGAGTCAGAGCTGTGCGCTGATCGTGGTCTTCTTCATTCACTTCGATGTCTCCTCTTGTCAGAAGCAGCCATACATCATCCTCAATCCCTGTCTTGACTGCCTCAAGCAGCGAGTTGAGACTTTCAGCTTTTTTTCCTTCTTGCGATAGCTGTCCAAGAACAAGTGTTCCGGATCCAGTAGCCCTAGTCTCTCTATGCAGCCGGCTTTCCGATCTCGATTTTACGCGCGATTTTTGGATGCATAATCTTCTGACCGGATATCGTGACGATATGAAATCCTCGAAATCCGTCTGCGTAAATCTATCGCTCTTGACTCTCTTCAAGTGCCTCATTGTCAAGCTCATGTCGCTCAGATAGATGGAAATCCGCTCATCTCCACTTCCTTGTTCGTGGCAATCGAGCTTTGCACAGCCAAACTTATCGTGACCAATACCCATGAATCGGACGTTAAGATGAACACCCTTGCCGCTCAATATGACTGGATCATAGGAGCTATCTAGAGTAGTGCACTGTACGATGTTGCCGGAGTTGCGGAATGAGGCTGGCGAAGTAGCTAGGCAACCACCACGATCATCAGTTGATCGCCACGCGAAAATACTTTGATCATCCGATATCTTCAATATTTCCTCTTGGAGTCTGATGAAAGCATTTTCTCCTTCTCCGTATATCAAAGGCATGTTGATGTTGAAGATGCCTAACAGACAATAGGCTATGTCTTCTATCCTCGTCGTTTTCCTCTCTGCAGCCCATGACATTCTCTGTGCAGCACTGAAACGTTCGATAGGCTCTGCTTGTGAGAGCACACTGACAGGAATTCGGGTACGTTCGGATATTTCTTCTTGCAGGCCTGCTCTAGTTCCTAGAAGAGACCAGTTCTTGTCGAAGAATTTCACCCCCTCTGGAGCCAACAATTCCTGGAGCGTCCATCCTCTAGTAAACCATTTGCTTGTTGTGAAGCTATCTTTAGCACCTATATCCGCTAGGTACGCATAACATACCTCCGCCAACTGGTACCAGGAATACATTGAGTTTATTGCTTCTGAAAGCTCTGCGCTGCTTGTTTTATCGATACAGCATGTGTCGACCCAAAAGTATTGGAAGCCATCCTGAGCGGCTTGCCGTCCGCATAGAATGAGTTTACGGTAACCGACCTTCTCTTTACCTTTTCCATCCAGAAGATCTTGGTAAGTTACTTCTTCGTTGGAGGGACCCCAAGTGTGCGAAAGTATGGCGTAAGGTGGGAGATCATCAGGCAACCGCTCAACAAGGCTGAGCTCGTCGCTGCCACGAATTTGCAGAAGTCGCATGGAGATGTGTTCAAACAGCGATTTAAGTAATCAAAATGATGTAAGAGCAAAAGTCCAAAGGCGAGTTGCTGAAAAAAATGGCAGTTGGGATATAGAGTGTTGATGGCGGACGTCGGTGCAGGTAGTTGCCTGCGGCTAGCTGCCAAGGCCTTCGCTACATAAGTCACGGGGCAGCATATTCAGCCTGATCAGCCTGGCCAGAAGTTTTGAGAACAAGGCAAAGCTGAGACCGCCATGCTCGACTAGAATACGGAAGTGTAACTTATACTCAAGATAGCATTGATATGTCTCAATCGGATCTCTTATCTTATTTTCGAGAAAATGGGGGTCCAGAACAGTACCAAGTTTACATATATCGGGACGGAGGTCAACTGACTAACAATTTCCAAATCATTCAAGCTGATATTTAACAGCACCATGTATAGGCCGGCGGATTATATTGCTTGCTTGAGTTCTCTTCCAGGTACCTGGAGCTGATATCATTTCTTCTCTTTCGACACATATTGCAGATATTGTTGATATTAGGGTATGATCCTTTCTCGCACTACTACATCGAATATTAGTAACGTTAGTACTTTAACCCCTATGGCTTATGGAATTCAAAGAGAGTCTTGTATTTAGTTTTAGTTGATTTTGGAGCTGCAATTTCGAAATAGCGTCATGTCAAATGTTGCATTCATGTTTTCTTGCAGGGAGTAGTGGTGTTTCAGTTAAACGGGCTGAATCTCAGAACAATCCCCCAAGCCTCCGCGCACCTGTAAAATCCCCCCAATGGCCAGTCGTTCCCGAATACCGTGGGGCTGTACGCCCTCGAAAAGGAAGTTGTTGATATTCGCACCAACCGGCCTCTTCTGCAAGCCCCAGTGTGTCTCGCCCAGGCTAGTAGGAGCTTTTCCAGATATGTTGTTTGCTAACAAGGGCGTCACTATTTTCAACCCATGGTTTCCGGTTGAATAAGCTATTTGCATCTGGTTGTCGTCAAAGTCAAGGTACAACCCGAAGTTATGCCAGATGTCTGAAGTGAAGGGCGCCATGAAGTATGTTTGGACTTTCTTGGCCCATTTCCAGCCTCGAAGATAGATGACACTGCCAGTCTTCAACATTGACTCTGTGACATCGGGGTGTATGAATCCAATGTTCTCGCCATATGCTGCCAGGTCGTCACCTCCGCCTGTGCCATTCGGTCCGCGAAGAGTTTCCTGCATGGGTAGTCCGACCTTGAGAGACCAGAAGTCTGCCTGGAAGTCCTGGGCTTCATGGAATGCGAGAAGATACTCGTGCGAGAAATTAAGGGCATACAGTGAAGTACGCATAGAGAAAAGCCAAGTGACTTTGCCAGAGACAGTCTGATTTTTTCCATTGACGAGTAGTTCCGCTCGACGGAGTGCGGTCTCACGGCCTTCGGAGGACGATGCGAAAACGGACCGGTCACTATAGATACAATGTTAAGCTGTAGTCATGATAGTAACAGGTGAGGTGATTCACGTTATCTCAACCTCAATGGGTTTTGTTCCAGCTACTTGGTCAAAGATTGATGGCTCCACGTCTGGAAATGATATCACTTCCCTCCATGTCTGGTCTGAGGGAGTTGGGCATGTTAGTGGGCACAGACCATAATAGCCCAGAGATCTTACTCTGTCCTAGAACATATTTGGGATTGAAAGGACTCTTCACAGTTTCGAATGTGTCTCCGGTGAAATTCTGGGGAATTCGACCGTCAAAAGTCAAGGGGCAGTTTAGGGCGTCGAGCGAAAGGGACAAGGCACAAGGAAGCCCAGTCAGAAGCCCTGCGAAAGAGGACTGGATAAGCTTCATCTTAGAGACATATACTCGTGATCAAAGTCGAGCCAACAAAAAAGGCAATAAGAAGCTTAAAATTCGATAGAATTCGTATGGTTCTATATTGTTAAATATGCATCAGAGTTGGGCCTAATATGGTTTTGTTGAACTTGTGCTCGTTGAAGTGACGGGAATGATGCAGGGATGCTAATTTCCATTTCGGTCCGACGGCTCGCTCGGCAGATTGGTCCTGATTTGCCGTTATTTCATGGAACAATGCATGCACAAACATTTCCCCTGTAGAGTGATGTTACAGATACTGAAGACGCATTTCGTCTTGCACGATGCTGGAGGACTCATTGACTATTCGGGGAAGGTTGGCAACATGTCCTTCTCAAAATATTCCAATGCATCTACTACTACGTACGAGTCCGACATGCTCCACACCCTGCAACATATTTGCCAGTAGCCAGTGTCGTCGACAGGCTCATTGGATATGCACGTCCTCGCCCCGCATCTCGGCAGCGCTACCAGCAAGAGAGTCAAGCTTTCCATAATCGTCACAGCATTGATTAGCTCCAACGACGTGTTCTAGCGGGAGAAGATTGGCTTTGTACCTTCTCATCAGACGTATCGCCTACGCAATGTACAACACCCTCGTCAGTGCTGTTTTCATAGTTTTGCCCCCACCTTCATAACCAAAAATCTAGAGGTTGTGTGATTCTTTACACTCTAATCAGAGCCTCGAAGCAAGGCAAGGCTGAGCTCGTGACGTTAATACTGCCATGCTCAACTGATGTTTGGAAAGTTGAATCAGTCATTCCCAATGCAAATTGCAGTAGCTTTCGCGAAGTTTAGGGGACAACACTCAAGGGACGATTGCGCAAAGATTATTAGAACGAAGACATTTTGGGTTCATGGAGGTGGTCAGTTAGAACGAGTATCAACTTAACAGACGAACTCTGTTGGGCCTGACAGACCTTCCACGTATTGCGCCTTGTTACGTCCGCGGAGAAGAACGCTAGTGCAATTACCATGGGTAACATACAATATAGTGCTTAGTCCCAATGGATACAAGCTGACTAGTCTCAGCGAATCCTACAGAACGCTTCCCTTATATATACTTTTAAGATTGTGCACATGAATGGCCGGTATTCCACAGCAACTCGTAGATGTGAGCTTTGGTTGCGAGGGAAGAAAGATCAGTACTTTAGTTTCAGAACCTACAGTATAATAACTCCAGTTATTACAGATGAAATTCTCAGCGCCATTGATCTAGAGATACTACTACTCTTTTACCCGCTGGATGTGGGTGGTAGACTAACGTCAACTAGGATTAGCTCCTTCCCAGATAAGCCACAATCTGAACTAGTTACCTCCAGACTTATACTCTACATCACACAAACATGAAATGATCTTACCAGAATGGACACCAACAGCGCGACTGGCCTGCTCAACAGGCGCGCTAAAAACGCCATCGCGCCTCAGCCCGTTGTCAAAGACGAAAACAATAGCGACATTATCGCGCAGAATGAGGAAGATGATCCGAGCATTTGCAAGCCGCGGCCACGACTGCCGCATCCCAACGTTCACATGCGAAACATGGCGAGCCTGATAAGTAAGATAAGAGCTTGAGAAGCTTCACTATGAGGTGCTAACAAAGACTAGAGGAGCTCGAAGATGGCACCATCAATGTTGATCCGGAATACCAGCGAGAAGTTGTTTGGACAGGTAAGGATAACACGAGTCGGCTGCTGTCGCGATTCCGCTAACTGTATACAGCGGATCGCATGACTGGCTTGATAGACTCATTGATGGGTAATTTATGCCTATTCCACACCCTTTCCATTCAGTCTGGCTGACCCTACAGAAAACTACTACATCCCTCCGATTATTCTGAACAAGAAGACGGATCTTATCACAGACACTAAACGAACACGTCCTACCTTTGTCTGTGTTGATGGGAAGCAGCGTCTGTCTTCCGTCAGAGCTTTGCGAAAGGAATGATTCCTTGTCATGATCACAAAGGAGAGAAATGGTAGGTTTCTTCAAGATCTGCCACTACTTAGACATACTTACCAACATCGCAAGGTGGTTTTGTGAGGCTCCAGGGACTAATCACAAACGCTCACTCCCGCTAGAGACCCAAAAACTCTTTCTAGAGAAAGAGTTTGTTACCTTCCAGTTCTCAGAGTTGACCCAGGAGCAAGAGGAGGACTTGTTTGCCAGAGTTCAGATGGGTGTCCAGCTTAGTGCCGCCGAGAAAATACGAGCAAAATCGGGGCCATGGCAGGAACTAGCCAAACTCTTTGTACAAGATTTCCCCGTCATCTACGACTTGATGAAAGACCGGAGTCGCGCAAAGGATTCCCAAATCACCATGGCCTGTTTTAGTCAGATTGTTGAAGTCAAAAATTCGCGTACAACAAATGGAAGCGGAATTCCAGTCTTCAAGGCAGCCTACAACGCAGTCCCCAAACTGCTAGATAATGCGCAAGCAGTCAATGATGCTACGAAATCTCACCTTGCAGCCGTCTGGAAAATATTCAGCAAGCTTGCAGAACTAGATCCTGATATCTTCACTAATGCGAATAAATATCTGCGCGGTGTTCAAACTTTTGCACCTGTAGAGATGGTTGGCGTGGCCGTCCTGATTTCCATGTACTTGGAAGTTGGTCACCAAATTCTTTTAAGAGACATCAGGATAATCCGAGAAACGCTTCGCGAGTCCTTCTCAGATCTTCGCCTTAATCACCACGTCTGGAAATTCATGTGGGAAATCATTGACGGCTTGCAAGCGATTCATGGTGGTGTTGAAAATGGCATCACAGAAAAACCTCCAGCATCTACAGGATCGGGTTCGGCTTCAGATATTCAGTCGTCCATCTCGGCGAAAGTCTTACTAGACGGTTTCAAAAAGAGACTTGCACCTGAGACCCTCTCGAAAGCTACATCATTGTCACAAAGGACGGCTGTCGAAGCCGAATCTTCAAAAGCGCCGCCAATGAAACGACGTCGCAAGGACTTGAAAACAGCAGATGCGACCGTCTCGAACAATCCTCCAAGCAACAATGTCATCTCGCAAACAATGGGCAGTGTTCCACTTTACCCATCTCGCATGGCTACAGCGCATTCCGAGGGCGATGGTGCTTTTACACCTGACCATACAGAGAAAGAGATGGAGGGTGTCATTATACCTGCGTCTCCACAGTCGCCTATTACATCTGGCCTTGATATACCAGCGGTAACGCGAAGAGTATCTCCTTCATCGCTGGGCTCATCTGCTCCACGGGTAAGACCAAAACCTATTACCAAAAGACGCATGCCTGTCTCTCGCCCGACGAAAGAACAGATGAGTGAAGCGATTGACCTCACTGGCGATGCGTAACGAATTGACACAGTTCATACCTATGACACCAGCATCAGACATCAAAGGCGGATCGGAGGCGGAAATGACATTTTTCTGAGCTTGACTCGAGGTGAGGGCTGAAATGATGTATTATTGAGGTATGGCCATTTATGACCTAATCTGTATCCATACGCTGGGACCGAACACAAATGCTATATGAATTAAGGATTCCATAGCATGTCATGTTTTCGAAAGGCAACAATATCCCTTTCTTATACGTAATCGATGTGCTGAAGCATTGCCCAGAACGCCCACATGCATATCAGGAGCGTGGTAAGCACTAATCAAGGCAACCCGTTCTCTCACGATTTTCGAGGAGACTGCATCAACTCTCGTCAGTATGGCCTTTGTACGGCTCTGCATGGGAATTACAACACATTTGTAGGCGCGTTGCGCTGTCGAGGCCTTGCCCACCGAGACAGGGTCCCGGATACGACGTCGTTGCGCACCCTCAACCTCGGCATATGGCAGACTCATTGGAGATGAGACGCCCTCCTACCACGGGCCTACGACGAGTAGACTGGGTCAGGGAAACACGTAAACAGAGCCAAACTCTAAGCATAAGCCCATTGTAGCGGCGACAGTCGGCATCTCGGGTACACCGGAGCCAACAGATCCGCACCTTCCCGTTCTTACCACAGGAAACACGTCCACACCACTATAAGACGGTGCTGGCACAGCTTCTTCACGCCATACCCACATACCCGTTACAAAGCATCATCATGGGTTTTAATCCTGCGACCGACATTGGCAGTCTGGAAGGCAAAGTCATCTTGGTGACTGGTGGTGTGTACCCATATATGGATCCTTCTTCGCAGCCGCTCCCAGCGACACCAATATCTCAACCTCAACAAGCCTAACGCGTCCACAACAGGCAATGCTGGCCTAGGCAAACAAACAATCGCATATCTCGCCGCCCACAACCCCGCACGCATCTACCTCGCCGCCCGCAGCGAGTCCAAAGCCCGCGATGCCATTGCCTCGATCAAATCCTCAGTGCCCAATGCCTGCAACATTGAGTACCTCTCCCTCGACCTGACATCCTTCGCGTCCATCGCCGAAGCAGCCTCTACATTCAAGAGCCGCGAGTCGCGTCTCGACATCCTGATCAACAACGCGGGTATCATGGCGACGCCGTACAGCACGACGAAAGAGGGCTACGAGATCCAGTTTGGCACAAACCACATGGGCCACGCGCTGCTCACCAAGCTGCTGCTCCCCACCATGCTCGAGACGGCCAAGCTGCCAGGCGCCGACGTGCGCATCATCAGCCTGAGCAGCGCCGGACACGCTATGCATGTTTCCCAAGGCATTATCTTCGACCAGGCTGCGCTCGAAAAGCAGAACACGGTGTTCCGCTATGGCTCGTCGAAGCTCGCGAACTTGATCTATGCCAAGTCCCTCGCTGAACACTACCCACAGATCACGTCTGTGTCGCTGCATCCCGGCGTGATTATAACGGATCTGTTCAACACGCTGCGCACCAACTTCTTTTTGAAGGTTGGACTGTGGGTGTTCATGTTCATAGGGTTGGTTCTGCCGGATCACTTTAGAGGGCCGGAGGGCGGAGCGCTGAATACTACGTGGTGTGCGACGGTGCCTAAGGAGAAGCTAGAGAACGGGGCGTATTATATACCGGTTGGTAAGAAGAGTGGTGGTAGCAAGTATGCGAGAGATGAGGGGCTGAGGAAGAAGTTGTGGGAGTATACAGAGGAGGAGCTGGCGAAGCATGGGTATTGAAAGAGTGAGATGTACAAGTACCTAGTCATCGCAATGGTTTGTGGTAGTCGGCATGGATGATTGCCGGGTAGACTTGAACAAATGCAATTCTGTATTTATGCCAACGTCTTCTCAATCTGCCCGCGAGCTCCACCAGAGATGCATTACCAGTCGTGTATCGGTTACCCCCTTCTATGTGCTGGAGACCTGCCTCTATATACAAGTAACAGTACTGCGCTGCAAGAATGCTGTCCGCGCCAAACGCCCGCCCATGTGATATCGTGAACCCATCTATACCTCAACTTCACCTCTCTCGTAAGCTCCTTTTTCTTCACATCTTCCTTCTAATCTACCTTCTTGAGCTGACGATATATCTTCTTATGTTGTTCCAGAAATAGGAAAGTGAGTACAGTATGCGGTCCGACGCGAATAAAACTTGGTACCCAGCCCTTGAACATCCAGCGGAACCCCTCTGCCCTCATTGTATCAGAGACTGTCTTGACCAGCCCCGCATTGTCACTTGAACTCATGACTTTGGTCTTGATAACATCTACTGGCGAGCAGATTGTGGTAGCGACAAAACCTGCAAGAAACGATGCGGTGAAATGCGTGGTGAGATCGTCCTGGAGAGGCGTGTAGTTCAACAGAACACGCTTGAATCCATCGTAGGTCGCCAATTGGCCAACAGTCATGAGCACGGCTCTCGAGGAGTTGGGCCAAACGCCTTTCCACAGGCTAGCTACGCCTTCTTCTCGCGACATGCGTATTATGCCATCAATCGCATTCTTGTAGCCTCGCCTCTTCTCTTTCGGTAGCGCAGCATCGTGTTGCATGCGCACGTTCAAGATGTCTCCTGGATTTCCAGCAAAGCCACCAAGAAAGCCTGATACCGAAGCCATACCAACGAGTGTAAGGAACGAAGGTCTCTTGTCGGTGGTTGTCATGCGGGCTTTTAGCGATTCATACACGCCGAAGCGTGTCATGCTGTATGTGCCTTGACGAAGCTGCGCCGCAGATATCTATATTTATTAGACATTGTCGTTGAGGCTGAGTGGGGAAGACATACTCCCTTGTATAGACCCAGTACGCCATCAGTCTTCATGACATGAGAAAACATTTGCATCATATTTAATCGTACGCCATGAGTCGCCTGTGTTTGTAGACGGACCTAAAATTGTGAGCATACAAGAACAGGCGCATGCGACTCTGTAAGTTATACCTTTACTGTACCAATTGTTAGCCAGGGACCCCACATTTTATGCAAAAGAAGATCGCAAAGACTTACCAAGATCCAGCGGGTGGGTGAAGAAAGTCGCAAAACAGCTTGCGCTGCCGCCGAACCAAAAGGGATAATGAATCGGCGTTTTCTTGACAGGCTTTACATCTTCACTTTTGCGCAGTTCGGGCAAAGTCACCCTCTTTGCGGCTTGGGCCATGTTGAATGCGAGACACTGCGCAGCAGCGGCATGTGAAGCTGGTCAGGGTTGGGTGTAGTAGAGCGGACAAAGCCGTACCGCAGCCTTATAACAAAGATTTGCTCGTGAAAGTTCGGTGGTTGTTAAGGGACCGAGAAATCAGCATGCGGACGTCATCCCTGCATTCGGATTTAAGCCCGGAGCTGGCTTGGCTTGGCGTCGCGTACGGATTTGCGGGCTGCACGACTAAACAAGACAATTGCTATACTGCAAAAATGCGGATACCTTTATGCTCGGCTGCAACGTGTCGCCAGATATATTCAAGGGCACCATTGCGGATATGGAGACCTCAATTGGCGTCTCGACTTACGCTGCGCAATGTGAGATACAACTCTTCAGGTAAGTTGCTATCATGTGACGAATTATTTTTAGCATGGGCTATTGTACTATACGGATGCATGCAAATCATTGACAATGTAAATTGAATGCATTTCTAAAACCTGCCAGGGGAATTGCCTAAGGAGGTCAAGATAGAAGGGAAAACATACAAGACTGATGAGTGGATGAACACGCCTTCGTCAATTCTCGATGCGATACCCCGACGTCTACATCTTCAACCAGACCATCCTCTCACCATCACACGGAAGTTGATTGAGTCTCGGTTTCCTGGATACAAAACACACAACAATCTCTTTCCTGTTGTTACCACGGGACAGAATTTCGACTCGCTTGGCTTTCCACTGGATCACATCGGGCGAAGCAGAACGGACACATACTACCTGAACAAAGAAACTGTACTACGGACACATACTTCTGCGCATCAGGCCGACACATTCCGCAACAACGAAAGCGAAGGCTATCTCATCAGCGCAGATGTTTACAGGCGAGATGCTATTGATCGAAGTCACTATCCTGTCTTTCACCAGATGGAAGGAGCGCGGACATGGGATCGACAGCAAGCTGAGAAAGAAGGCAAGAATCTTGCCGATATGATATGGAAAGATGTAGAAAAGATACCCAGGCATGGCATTGCTGTTGAAGATCCAAATCCGACTTACCATGCGGAACGCAACCCACTGCAGGCAGGCCACTCACCGGAAGAAGTCGAGGCCATAGCCGCACATCTCAAACGCAGTCTTGAGGACATGGTGGTGACTATCTTCAATGCCGCGAAATCCGCTTCAGATGCGGAGACTACTGGCGAGCCGCTCAAGGTACGCTGGGTAGAAGCCTACTTTCCTTTTACCTCGCCATCATGGGAACTAGAAGTCTTCTGGCAGGGCGACTGGCTCGAAGTTCTGGGCTGTGGTATTGTCTCTCAACCTATTCTAAACAACGCCTCTGTGCCCAACCGCATAGGATGGGCGTTCGGGCTGGGTCTTGAGCGTATCGCCATGCTCCTCTACTCTATTCCCGACATTCGCCTATTTTGGTCAAAGGACGAACGCTTCCTATCGCAGTTCAGCGAGCAGAAATCTATCTCCCCATTCGTCCCCTTTAGCAAGTACCCGGAGTGTTTCAAAGATGTTAGTTTCTGGTTAAGAAGCAGTTCAAGCGCTGCTGGGGGTGCTGCAGCTACGCACCCGCCTACATCAGCAGCAGCAGCATCACCAAGTCAGGTCGTCTCACCCAAATTGCCCTCTGGCGCTTCAGCCCCTGGCACACCGATTGCATCCGCGGCCCCTGTCCCAACATCAAACACTTCGTTCCACGAAAACGACGTCATGGAAATCGCACGCGAAATCTGCGGCGATCTCGTCGAAGACGTCCGTCTGGTAGATGAGTTTGTGCACCCCAAGACGGGGCGCAGGAGCATGTGCTACCGCATCAACTACCGCAGCTTGGAGCGCACACTTACCAATAAGGAAACAAACGAGTTGCACGAGCAACTGAGAGATACGCTTGTCGCGCGCTTAGGCATCGAGCTTAGATAGGGGTAGCAGAAAAGACGGCCTTGGAAACACTCGACGGGTGAATTCATGTTTGACTAGGTGTAACATGTGGTGTAGTTCAACAAAGTCCACTCTCCTTGCTTCCTTTTTCAAAAAAAAAACGGGTTATGAATGCTTCAATGGAACAAAGTCCCTGAATCAAGATCTTTTTATAACTACAAAAGTAATAGCAAAGGAAAAATATAAGTGTGGATACAACCGTTGAGATTGTGGCTGCCATGTGGCAAGTGGGCACGGCATTGTTCCTGACTATCACTCTCCCAAAAGAAAAACGATGGCACACGAAAAAAAACAAAGTGATCGTAGCGGTGCTGATCTGTGACACTGGAAGAGGGGAAAAGCAAAAAATGTGTCGAGTAACCCCCTCCTTCGGAATAACGGAGAAGCCCCTTCCCCAGGAAACAACAAAAGAAGGAAAGATAAGTTTGACCTAACTCTTAGCGAGACTTGCATCATACAAACTGCACCTTACTGGCGAATTCCCTACTCGGCAGTCAACCAAATGCGGCGTTCGGCTCTTATCCGTAACTGACGAGTACAGTAACGTACGTAAGTAGTAGCTCCCCTTCCCTCTTCCAACCCCGCAAATTCCCTACTAGGCAGTAAAAAATATGCGGCGTTCGGCTCTTATCCGTAACTGACGAGTACAGTGACGTACGAAGTAGCCCCCCCTCCCTCTTCCCAACCCCGCATAGCCCACCCAACTACACCGAAAAAAACCATCCCCAACACCCAGAAACAGGATACCCCTTGCAAAACACACACGCATTCAGCGCTACCCATTTTCCCCTTTAGTCAACATACCAGGAAAACCCCGGGCAAAGAAAAAAAAAACACCTCTCGGCGCTTAACACCCATCCGTATCTCCCACTATCTCCCAGCCTCCCCAAGATTTTCCCAATACTTACAACAAGCCAAGTAAGTCAAGTACACTATACACGGAGAACTAAAACATCAAACCGTCACCCCTCCCCCTAAGCCACCCCGTTCTCCACCCACCCAAAAAAAACCACGGAATTCCGCCTTTTTTCGGATTTTATTTTACCTACTTTTACCTTAACTTAACTTAGGTCTAGTAGCACAGACGCACACACACACATGCACACCAACTTCTGAAACACGTATTCCTGCACCGCTTCGCACGTGGGAAAAATAATGGATCCTTGCTTGTGTGGGGATGTGTGTGTGTGTGTGTGTATGGATGCGTGCCAGAAGTGTGGTTTACTCTATGCTAAACCAATATGCAAGGACGGAGGGGAGCGGAGGGGGAGGGGGCGTTGGGGCAAAACGTGGAGTGTACGGAATAGCCGGGCAAGGTCGGCGACTTGGAATGGCCGGGGAGGGAGGGCGCGTGAACATTGGCGCAGCAGCGCGGTGGATTATGTAGGTTGTATGTACTTACAGTAGTAGGATGTACGTAGGTAGGTAGGGGGAGCTTGGCTAGTTGGAAAAAAGAGGTGAGGGGGGGTTTAGGTGAGAGGTGAGAGGTCCGATTGTGCGGTTTGCGGACCCCGCAGTTTTACCTAGCTGCAAGGATGCACAGCGGTAGAATGACGGGCTTTTTTTTTCTCTTTTTGGGAAAGAGGGGGTAGGGGGAATGTGTAGCAAGGCGGAGGGGCCTTGGTTTCGGTATATGCATGTGTTAGTTAGCCTTGTTTGTGGGTTGGTAAGTATGTAAGTCAGTAGGTGTATGCATGCACAACGGTGAAGCGGTATGCTTATCGTGCATCCATGTATCTTTCGCCCTACTGTTACATAAATGCATCGGTGCAACTCTTTTCGTGTTTAGCCAAGGCGAAGAGGAAAAGATATGGATACTAGAATGATAAAACAGGTATTTCTTTCATGTTGCGCATACATGCAAGCTACACACTTACTAATAAGCCTGGATGGACGAACGCGCCCGGTGTCGCCACCGCCGCTAGAAAATAAGGAATATCTCGCAAATCCATCCGGATGTGGCTATGATGGTCTGGCGCGCGCATGTAGCGGCATTACTTACATACCTACTACATGATAGCTGGTGCAGTGGTGCGTGTTGCCCTACCGGTGTGTTATGGCGAACCAATAAGACAAGTAATTTAGTGCAGCCATACACCCAATCTTAGGCCTCGATTTACACGAATAAATAAGACGGGCCCAACCTAGTTTTAAAATTAGCTGCCGCATCATTTTTGGTCGCAATTAGGTTTTTGCAAAAAAAAAAAAGAGCCAGTGGACATAAAACAGTCTGACAGGTCCTTTTCTTTTCCACCGGTTCTTTTTACTTTGGCTAAGGCTGAAAAAAGTGTAAATTGTTGGGGGGAAGCGATTGCTTCTGGCCTGACAGCTGGAGAATCTTGATTGCCGCAAAAGTTTCTTCTATCTGCCATATGTAGGCTTAGTAGTACTATACGATGTAAAAGATTTGATTCTTTTCGGAAGGACCTGCTTAGGAATGGAGTATTCTACGTATACCCAAAAAAGCTTTCAATGACTTGGTATCTGCGCATGACTTACAAGGAAAGAGAAAGTGGAACATGTGAACACCTAATTAGGTATGTCCTTCATTTACTTGGTTCATATACTTAGATGAATGAGGCAGCTTTGAGGTCTGGGCGAACAGGGTGTTCCCGGTTCGAGATTTGGCAACTTCAGACGAAAGCCATAGCAGGCTGGTGCGTTGCAACGTCTTCTTGTGTGGCCTTGAATAGTTTGTTATTTTGGAAGGGATGAGGTTGCGGCCCGGTAGGTCTTAGCTCTTCGGTCCGTTTTTACAAAATGAATCCGTCAATAGTGCAATTTCAATTCTTCGCACTGTCTTGAGAGTAGAGTAAGACGGACTTTTGCGTTCGTATATCGGTGATTCTAGTTTTTCTCATCAACCATTATGCTGGCAGCATGTCCGTATTTACAACTTGGCGACTGCCATCGAGCATGTACGGTAGTTGCCTCACTATGTGGTCCAAATGTTAGTTGCATATGCAAGGGTGTCCCTGTGACAAACAATATCAAGGCCGAGTGGGATTGATTGCACACAACAAGGCCGAACTTTTTTGAAAATTGGGGTCAGCTCAAGGACAGACAACCGCGTGCTTCCGAAGAGTAAGTATCGTGTAAGCACGGGAACCGAAGCATGCCTGGGTATGACCACCGTTCCATAGTTTGATTCTGTACACTATTAACCCTTGTGGTTGATTAGCGCTGGTGTCAAAAGGACTGAATTCCTGCAGCTGGATCGTCGATGCAAGGTCGCGACATGACCATATACATGCGGTGCGGATGCGACACTTGGGCTTGCTGTGTGGGGAAGATGAAGGAGTGTGAGCCGTGTTTGTCCGGCGATGGGACGGTTGGAGTTAGAAGGTTAGAGATTGAAATAAAGGTACACACGGCGGTACTTGATGGGATAAGCGATAGTAAGCGATAAGCCGCACCCAGTGTGTTACAGCCTGCGATTAGCTTACACACAGCTCCTTCTCATGCCGGTGAAAAGTGCAATCTGCAGATACGGCAGATTGGCGGATGAAGGATTTGAGATGTTCTAAGCAGCGCCACACCGGCTCCCGTTGACATGGTGGGTATGATGGCTGGCTGACCACGTGGAGTGGGATGCCTTGAAACTTACTAGTACTGCGGGATCTAGAATCGCAGCTGGACACTGTCCCCTCTGCTGAACCTGTACCAGACCTAGCAACCAATTTGCAACGTGTATTGCTGGTAATAATCATGTGACCAGAGCCCAGCAATGGTGGTCAACGGAGGGCCACCGTCCGATTTTGCCGGATAGATGCAATATTCGATGTGAAGCTACGTCTTGCTCGTTACAGAATCACCACCACAGCAGCAGAGAGGATGTCGGGCCGACGCGATGAGGCAAAAGATGTCTTGGCAGACATATGGGAGAGGCGGTGAGCCCAATGGTTTGCAGTAACAGAGGTTGGGTCTCGCTGCAGTTGTAACCTTGCATCCGTACATACATATGTACATAGGTGTGCAAAAATCTAGTGGCAACGAAACCAGATCAACGGCGCCCCTGCAGCTTCAAAGTGAGGGGTAGGAGGGTGCAAAGCCCAAATGACTTAGTTCCGACTCGTGTGTTCTCTGTGTACTATGATATAGTCAACTGTCATATGTATGCTCCGAGTGGGCCAACATCAGTCGACGTGACCTTGAAAATGTATGTAGTCGGCCGGCTTGACATGACAGATCATTACCAGAGTCGATAACAAGTTGTGGCAAGTGGAGAGGATGAGCGTTATAGCAACACGTGTGTGGGTACCTGGCACGGCGGGCAGGTTATCCTACGAGGTCGGCCAATAAACCGTGGTTTGCTGTGGCTCAACACACTCAAAGTCGCATGGTCATACTAATATGGCACCCTTATAATCAGGTTTGCATCGCAGTGTTTCATGGCCATGCAATTCTAGTACCAGACCGGTGCATGTAGGTCGGCATGTCCTGTTTAATCACCAGGGACCTCTTTTTTCTTCTCTCTCTCTCTTCCTCAATGGGTGCAATGCGCCGTGCTTGTGGAGGAGTGGAGAGACGTACATCATGTCCATGGGCGCAGATGCAGGCCTATGTGACGACAATCAGCAATCAGGCGGCAGCCAAACAGGAAGTGATGCTTGGCACAGTGGTCGAGCTGTTTGCAAATGACGAAAGCTGTTCCTTTGCTGCGAACGTCCTGAGTGTGGCGAGATGCAGGCTCGGCTCAGAAGAGTCAAGAGAGGGCGGGATGAAACGCAGATGTCGTTTTGTCGGGGAGGATGACCCGGCCCATGTGGAAGCAGCAAGACGAACCGCGCAGTGATTTGCTTTTGACAAGGAACAGGAAAAGCACTAGCCGGATTGAACGGGCATCGGATGATGTCGACTTTGCGCAAAATATTTGTGGGATCTCGTGCCGCAATCCTTTGGCCAAATGGGTGCGTCGCGCATTGCTTGGCGTGACCGTCGAGGACGCTTTGCATGTGTGGGCAGACGGGATGCGGGAATTAGCAAGTGAAGCTGTAGGTATAGGTCGAGCACATATGAACGTGACGACGCTTTGCCGTTAAAGATGATGAGTGGTTTGATTGTTGCATTGCAAGGCACATGTGGCAAGGACGGGTGCATAATGTTTCGTGGGGGTTGTTGATGCCCGGCCACACAGTGTTGGTTTTGCAGCCACCGCACGAGCCAGGGTAGTACTGTGGCAGGCCGGAGACAGCAGAGTTGGAGTAGGTAGCATTTGCTTGGCCCATGACCAAAATGGGCCCACTGATAGAGAGGGCTGGAATGGGCAAGTATGGGCATGCGTACGTACTACTTACAGGTTGAAGTAGACGAGCGAGTGCAAATCAAGGGCGACAGCAGATTTGAGCGGGGGCATGTGCGGGCCGGGTGTGCAGAGCAGGCAGGCACAAGCAAGGCGGGTTCCTGTTTTGCAGAGCATGTACGTATACGTATGTACATGTGTAGAGCATGCAACAAAAAGATGGCTAGGCATGGGTGGTGGCACTGGGCAAAGTTTGGAGATGGCGGAACCAGTGTCGAGGGTCCACACAAGGCTTGGCTGCTGGCGACCCCCCATGCAGCCGTTCAGCGGAGTCGGCAAGCCACAGGCCGGGGCTTGATTGGGAAGGGAAGCGGCCATGAGCAGGCGCAAAGGGGGTAAGCGGGAGCTGGTGACGAGAGAGGAGCAGGAGGATGTGAAGCCAGCTTATAGTATAGGTGGGAACTGATCGTCTTTGCCGGCTGCGAGCCGGGTGCGGACAAGCGAAGGCCGAGTTGCTGTATACGTGATGGTACAGCGTGCAGACAAAGAGTAGTTTGATGAGGGTGGTGCCGGTCGGGTAGAATGGGCAGGCTCGCTTGGAGATGAGAGTGGAGGAGTATCACGGCCATTGTTATTAGCCATGGCCATGGCGTGAACATGACTGCTAAGTAGACGGTATGTTGATACGAGCACGAGTATCAGCAAGAGGCATGGCATGGCAATGGCATGTGGGTGTCGCACGTGAGGAGGTGTGTGTGGCTCGCCGCCGCTGCATCCATCCACCCATGGGCGACGAGGGCATGCATGTGGGGTTGGTTGCGCTGGAGCAACGCGCAAGAGGCTCAAGGATGGATGGATGGAGGATGCCGTGCAGGTCGTCGAGGGCCAGGCTCATCGGCAGCAGGAGCAGCAATAGCAGCGAGGAGCGGGCGGCGATAAGCTTTGCGCGCCGTCTAGAAAATTCGTGTGTAGTGTTGACGAGTCGAGTCTTGTCTTGTCGAGTCGTGGTTGTGCGTGGGTATGCCGCAATGCCCCCGTCGAGGTGCCGGCTGGGATTGCCACGAGGCCCCGATTCCGCGTCCAATAGACATGGGCTGTCTGGGCTGCTACGCTAAGCCTGCTAAACGTTCGCTTCCCACGCCTGTGCCTGCCTCGTCGTTCCTGACGCGCGCACCATTCATTGACTGACACTGCCCATTGGCACCGTTGCTCCTGCTGCTGCTCCCCCAGCCTCCAACGCTCCTGCTGCGGCGCGCGAACAGAGGGAAGGGGCCATCCACCCATCCCACAGGGAGGGAAGGGGCGTCCCAGAGGGGGGGTGTGCCCAGGACAGGACGGCCGCTCGCCCACACACATTCACATTCACATTCACACACATGGAGTACATGCACACACTCACACACCCACACGCCTCCACACGCCCGATTCTTCCATCCATCCACCCCTCCTCCCATACACCCACTCACCCACCCACGCCATCTGACACAGGCACACAACCGCCGCCCAGCACAGCACAGCACAGCACAGCACAGGGCACATGTTTTCCTTCTTTCCCGACTCCAAGACCATCGCAGCAATCGCTCGCCTGCCCGTGGCCCATGACCTGGTCTCCTCGGCATATTGTCGTCAGAGCCACTAGGTCGGTCGCCGCCAGCTGCCTCAGCCTGTTTGCACCACTGAGGCCGGCTTTCATGCCGCTTTGGTCGACAACCCCCCCACCTCGCACCAACCGTCCGTCGTCTGCTGCACAAACAGCGGCTTTGCCAGCGTCTGACTAAGTAGCTCAACGTCGACCGCGGCAGGCGGCCGTGCTGCTGCTACAGAGCTACTGCGCGCTATGCTACCCCAAGTACACAATGCCCACCCTCCTCTATACACGTCCTTAGCACGTACAAGCTCCCGGCCCTATCCGCCCGTATTTCACTACATGGCTCGTCCCAAAAAGACACGGCCCTCTGTCACGGCCCTCTGTCACGGCCCTTACGGCCTCTGGTCGATGGTGGTGCCTGGTGCCGTGCTGCACATCGTGCAGATCACCCTGGCCTTAATTGCGTGACGATATAGCCTTCCCCACGAATCGCCAGACATGTGAGGTTAGGTGCTCGTTTCATCCCAACGCCCACCAGGCCCACCTGGGACGCGCCGCCGACAGCCTAGACACGGACGTTGGTATTGGTACGCTGCGCCGTAGCAGGGGCCTTGTTCGTTGCTGCACTACTAGCGCCTGCGACCTACCCTTAACCCGCTGCAGTGCCTTTTTTACCACATATGTATTACATGCAGGGAAAACCCTCATGTTTGACGTGCCCGCCTTCCGAGTCTCACCAACCTTGTACTTCAGACAAGTGAGCCACAGCGCTCAAACGCCCGTCATGACACACATAGCAAACTGCATGCGCTCCGATCCCGACCATACCTCTGTTTATATAACACTGGAAACATCCTCGTCCCCAATGGTACGTCGTCCCGCTCCACTCGCCCCTCCACTATCCCATCCCAAATGAATTACCACCTTCCCCGGCGCTCTCGCTCACTCAGAGATCTTCAGGTCCCCCCAGATTCTCTCTCGCCCGCCACCACCACCACCCAGGCAAAGAGTCCGCCACTGTCTTCTTCTCAACCTCCCACCCAACAGGCCCCGTCCAGGTACCACCTTTGGCTCTCAGCAAAGAGCCCAGCTCTCGGTTCAAAGACCAGCCACTCAGCAGACAGAGTCGCTGCCCTTGCTGCTGGCCGGTCTCCCACTTCGCTCAGTGACACTGTTCTCCTCTCCGAGAACAGTCTGCCTTTTTGGCAACGAACAAGCTCCCTGTCACGAAGACGCAAAGTCAGTGTGCCTGAACTCGGAAGCACCATGACGACCGTCCAAGAGATGCCCCTTGATTCACGTAAGTCGTACATGCTTCTTTCTTGGCTGTCCGTCCAACTGCTGACATTTGGTTTCAGCAACCATCCCGGGAAGACCACCTCTCCGCAAGCCTTCCTACGAAGCGTTTGGCCACGAGCGCTCTTGCAGTGCTCCCGGCACTAACTGGCGCTCTGGTCCTTTCGGCGATGCCATGATGGATTGCATTACCGGCCCTTCTCCTGTCCAGACTCAATATACCACCGCTCCGCTTACTTCAGAACTACCCGCCATCTCCGGCAGGCCGCTGTCTCCCATTCTAAGTCCTGGTGCGACACCTAGGCCTTTGCTCAAACTTGAGACCGACAACATTGCTGAAGAAGACTGGGAAATTCCACCCCAAGTGCCTCCAAAATCTCCTGTTACCGAGCGCAAGGGTTCTCCAACCCCCTTGATACTCAACTCAAAAGCAAGCAAATCACAACTCACTACTCCCGCGTCCATCAGCTCTGGCGGAGGTACTCCGTTGAGTGCCATTGACCTTCGACGATCGCCAAACGGCAGCATGGGTCTTCCCACACCACCATCCACCTTTACCAATCCCTTTTATGCATCTTCACCTGCATCAGCCCGAGGTTCACCACGAACAGAGAGAAGAGATCCCATTGCTACACAGCCCTCTCCCCACAACCGCAACATGTCAGAATCATCCATCATGGACCGAGGTCGGCCAAAATGCCGTAACAGCAAAAAAGACCGGCCGCGTGCCATGTCTGAAACCAATGGCCCCGAGGCTATACCTGACTCCTGGAAGCTCCCTCAAGGCATGCGCGTATCCGAGGCTTCAAGGCGAATCAGTGATGCCGACAAGAGACTGCTCCATAAGCAAGCCTACGACCAGGCAGGCAATTTTGAAGTCCTCAACAAGCGTGATGTAGCATCGTTGTCAAGAGTGAGTTGATTGCAAGTCATGTGTAGACGAACTAGCACTAAACAAAATTACAGGAACTCCGAGCACTCGATGAACGCTGCGATTATCTACGCAAGACTTACAAGTCGCTGCGCGCAGGTCGCCAGAAGCTCCATGGTCGTATGATTGCCTATCTGCGACGTGGAGAGACAGTCATCTTCTCGCGTGAATCCCTACTCAAGCAAGAAGAGGCGCTAGCCGAGTTGGATGTGTCAATCGACGAGTTCATCCAAAAACTGGAGCAGGCCGAAAATCGCCGCCTTCGCTTACGCCAAAAGCTGCTCGAGCATGTAGCTGCTGCTATCGTGCTTGACCCTAGCTCCCGTGATCAAATCGCCGAAGCCACTCCTCCGCGGAGTCCTGTAAAAATGGACAGTCCCGCGAGATCCCAGCGAAAGGAGACTGAATCTATCAAGATCTACGCTGATGGCCACGTTCTCAACCTATTCTCGGACATTGAGAAGGCGATCGGCAAGATGTGTGAACAAACTTGCTAGGCCGCGCACACTACTACACACCGCCCAATGGCACCTTCGATCATGCCTCCCTCCCCGGTCGCATACCCTTAATTATACCGCTTTCGTCACACGATTTCCTATGTTTGTACCATAACGGCCTTTGGAACTACCCTCTCTAATACTTTCTTCTTTCCTTGTTGGACTGGTTCGACTTTTGTTTGTTCAAACGTTTAGCGGCAAGATTTACACGCCAACGTTTCGCCTTCATTCTTCACGCTGGCATGTATACCCATTTTTTGCACATTATTTTTGCACATTACTTTCTATACATTTCTGCTCCTCTTTTTTGTTCTTTTGCACATCAATGCTTTCTCTAACTTTGCCATTTCGAAAATGGCGAAGAGTTTGTCAGGGGCTTGTTTCGTATTTGGAGCTTGGAGCTTGTGGGCGCGGAAGCGTGGAGCTTGGACGATGGCAGACGGGTGTCATTTTGGGACACCATACATGTATTGAGCTACAACCCCGCATGGGTTCATGAATCGAGAATCGTACGTATCTTGAGCCAAGCGTCATTGCCCCTCGTCAAACATGCAAACATGCACTTGTGGCGCTGTGCCTATTCGAAGCGAGGCACGAAACGCCGCCGTGCCGAAAGCGCCCCCCCACCCCCTTCCCTCGATGTCACAAGGAAGGAGCATTATCGCGTCGGCAGGGCGATTTCTCATCACATTTCACCAGCCACTCAGGTCCAGACTCGTTGTGACAATAACTGTAGCAATACTATCGCATAACCGGCTTGTATAGACAGCCAGTCATAGCAGGCTGTAAGTACACAACGCACGGGATGGTTTCATTGAAATACGTTCCCAACACGATGAGGCTCGAGGCCTTGACTATAAGGGCTATAAGATAATCGCTATAGCCCGTTTCAACGGCGCCGTGACGTTGTAGGAAATGTCGGTAAAACGGAAATATGGTGGGGCAGGAATTTGTAAAAAAAAAGGAGACTGTGAAAGGGAACTTGCACGGACAACTTACTAGGCTACAAGCAAAAAAGACGCTCTTCTATGCACTTGCTTACAGCATTGACATTAACTTTCATGCGTGCTTGCTTACCTCCGTAAACAGTTGCCACATGGCTGCTGACATCAGATCTGGATTATTTTCCGGAAAGACATTGTACCTCTACGTAGGCCCAGGCCTAGGTGTAGAGAACACCAGCAAAGGGAAATGCAGCCGTGTGCCGCTTCCCAAGTTTCAGAACAAGACTAAAAGCGGGCAAACTCGCCCTGGCCCAACGAAGCGGCACATCTCAGCCACCCGACGCGGATGGCCATGGAAATGCTGACCGAATGTTATGTAAGTTGGGTCGCAATACCTTTTGCCACGGTTTGAAGGTTTCGAAATGTTGAGGACGAAGGGGTTTGTAATCGCGGGGTTTCATTTATCGTCGGCCGCGACTACATGGCCGACCACAGAGCCGGCTCTCACTTCGGCGGCACCTTTCTCCGCATGGCCCGTGCCCGCCATTTTGTGCGAAAAAGTTTGGACTTCGGTAACAACGTGACATGTCTTAGACGGCAGCATTCTCTTTCGCCGTCATTAACACCACCATGGCTACTAACAGTATCAAGTTGCTGACTGGCAACAGCTATCCCGAGCTTGCCCGCCTTGTGGCCGATCGGTACGTTCAAGTCCTTGCTTCTCGGTGCTTCTTGGGGCTACAACTAGGCGTGGACACTTGCGGCCATCTCCATCTGCCACAAAACCAGTGCAGATCGGGCACGGATGTGACGACACCGACGCAATATATTTTTAAATCCGGCTTGCTTCTGTGCAAGCAAAAACGAAAAGAAAACGCTCCGACGTTGATGAAACATGTTGGTGCAGCGTCACTAATGTCGTCGCAGACTAGGCATAGAACTCACCAAAATTCTCGTACTTCAATACTCGAACCAGGAGACTTCCGTGACCATTGGCGAATCTGTGAGAGATGAAGATGGTATGGACTGCTTCCTATTGTGCAGCATATCCATGTTTAGCGGGTCTCAACTTACCATGTTACAGTCTTCATCTTGCAATCCACGCCACCAGGCGATATCAACGATGCTCTGATGGAACTGCTCATCATGATCAACGCCTGCAAGACGGCATCTGCCCGCCGCATTACGGCAGTGATTCCAAATTTCCCATATGCTCGTCAGGACAAGAAAGACAAGTCTCGAGCACCAATCACAGCAAAGCTCATGGCGAACATGCTTCAGACCGCCGGCTGCAATCATGTCATCACAATGGACCTCCATGCTAGCCAAATTCAAGGCTTTTTCAACGTCCCTGTTGACAACCTGTACGCCGAGCCGAGCACGCTCCGCTGGATCCGCGAGAACCTAGACGTCAAGGACTGTGTCATTGTCAGTCCAGATGCAGGCGGCGCAAAGAGGTAAGATCCTCCTGATGTTAGCGTCAAAGGTCTCAAGCACTCCATCGTGCAAACCACCTAAGCGCGCCATTTTGCAAGGGTGCTGTGTGATACACCAGCACGCCACTGCATCATGTGGGCGGGAAGAGCAACCCCTCCTTTCCCCCCCTGTTAGGCTCCAGTGAATAGCAGTGCTGACCAATGGTAGGGCAACTTCGATAGCAGACGGCTTAAATCTTGGATTTGCTCTCATCCACAAGGAGCGAACTCGCCCCAACGAAGTTTCACGAATGGTGCTGGTCGGAGATGTACGCGGCAAGACGGCAATTTTAGTCGATGACATGGCCGACACTTGTGGCACACTTGTCAAAGCAGCAGACGTGCTGATTTCCGAGGGCGCCAAAGACGCGCTTGCCATTGTCACACATGGTATCCTCAGTGGAAATGCCATTGAGGCCCTCAATGGCAGCAAGCTCAAGAAGATTGTTGTCACCAACACTGTTCCCCACGAAGACAAGAAAGAACTTTGCGACCGCATTGAAACCATTGATATCAGTCCGACTGTAAGTGGCTAACCATATCATGGACGATTAAATTCAGAGTCTGACTATGAACCACAGCTTGCCGAGGCTTGCAGACGTACCCACAATGGAGAGAGTGTTAGCTTCCTCTTCAAGCACGCTCCTGTCGACTAGAACAAAGACGACGACTGATTCAACAGTAGTCAGTCAACACAAGGATCTCGGCGTTCATGGCGGGTTTGGCGTTAGGGGTCACCATGACGACTTTGCTCTTTCTTCCTAATGACATATTACGAGCACTACGATGATCTGCCGATCGCAGGCCAGGATCCCGTAACTAGTGGTCCAGTTACTGCTACATCACGTGGTGTCGCACCTCCTTTGCATTAGTGAAATCATATGCAGGCTAATTGTAGTTATATTTTGCTCGCTAAAACACGTGGCAGGTGCTCAAAACAATTCCGCTGTCAACCCGGTTTGACATGTTGGCTGAGGACGACGCCACACTGGGGCACTCGCTGCGTTCGCTGCGCCATGTGATGCGAGCTAATGAAGCTAGTGCAATTTTAGCCTGCATCAGTGCGAACTTTATATGGTCGTCAAACTTCTTGACCTAGCGTAAATCAGGGTTGCACAACGTGCCGTATCTCCGTGATATGTCTTGCATCCGGTCAGAGTGGCGTTTGTACGAATGCGGACAAACTAGATGGAAATGTCGCCATGGCCGATAGAGATACGAGAGTTGAGTACGTGCACCTCACATCTCGTATTGAATGACAAGTGCAGTTTGTATCAAGGACACGATTTGATTCAGTACTAGTTGCAGAGAGAAAGACTAGTAGGCTAAATACGCCACGGAGGCCGCCTTATTAGTCTAGTGCATCTTCATCTCAGCTTGCCCCAGGTCCACATACCGTGCCATGGGCGGTCTAGAGACGATCCTGCTACTAATGCCGGCACATTTTTGTGCCCGACGCTCGAGATGTCCCCGACTGTCAGCAAATCTAGACAATCTCGATCCTGCGAGTCACATCATCGTCGCCCTTTCCCCTGTTTGTGTCTTTCTCCGCGATTGTCAGACTGCTCGACAGGTTCGCACAAACCACGATCGACCGCTCCGTTCCGGCGAGGGGCTCACCCACCTGATGCATGCTTGCTCGACTACGGGACTGCTTGGATGGATAGACATGGATTTGCGCAAGGTTCCGGACTGGTGATGATCGCCTCTTTTTTTTTCATAGGCATGTGATTTATGGATGGTCTGTGGTAAGTTGCTCCGCGGATGTCGATATGCACACGCTAACCGGTGCTGGAGATACTTTACTTACATCCAACCGAACGTTGGAATAATATTGAGGCGTACGGAAAGGCATTCGGGAAGGGGATATCTTTCTTTTTTTGCCATACATAGAGCGTTGGGGGCGTTAGAGTTTGAATCCAGGGCTCGGCTGTGTGGTTTAGTCGGCTCCTAGTGATTTAGGGGGGATGTGCTACTGCATGTCTCTTTTGCCCAATATCACCATATCTTGACATCCACCAATTCATCCGGTCGAATAACGGACTTCAAAAGTCGTATGATGCAAAAAAGAAAATAGCATGTAGTGAGGGAAGCAAAAGGTTTGCGCATGCGCGCACGCACATTTCCAAACTCTGTTACTACTCTGCAGGATCGGCGCCTTTTTTTCTGACCGGTATTACAGAGTTTACGCCAGCGGCCAGCAGCACCCAGCATTTTAGAAGAAAAAAAGGAGACGTGTGGGGAAGGAGGATGGCACTTGCACTGGTAACATATGTTAACCCCGACCAGGATAACGGGAATAGCGAGTGGCCACGAGGTGCCAAACTTCCAAAGCAAAGCCGTGTGTAGGAAAGTGTAAATTCCTTCCTCGGACCTTAGTAAAAGTGTACAGCTAACGGCAAACGTTCATCGAACGAAAAGCAACAAAGTTCAAAAGTGATCGGTCGATGAACACACTCCACGACTCAAACTGCCGTCGCGCTAAGAGTGGAATGGTACATTTTTTTGGTCCTTTGAGCTACGACTCATATTTCCTCTAGTGTCCCCTTCTCAACATAGTATAGCAGTTTGTAATAGTAGGTATAGTCGTTGTAATAGTAGAATCGAGTACTGTAAGCAACCCACCCCTTTCCCCCCGCATATCACCATCTATGCAAGCATATACATCTCACATTAATATACACATACATGATATTCAATCTACTACACACCCTGCAACAAACCTTTACCTCCCCCCATTGCCCGCCCCTCATCTTCTTGTTATCCCACATGCATGCACACCCGCAACACTCCAAAGTTTCCCCAACCCACACACCCCAACCCCACGCCCGTATACACCGGATATAAAAAAACATAAAAGATAAAAAGTAACGCACAGGAATACATCTGCGCCGTGAGTCTGTCCAATTCTAACAATCGGCGATCTGGGGAAACCAAGAACCCCCCCCAACGCCCGTGCTTGCTTGCTTGCTTGCTGCTGCTGCGCGTCTGCAACCCTTCGCCCGGCGGGGCGGGTTACCTCGACCTACTTACTCGCGCCACTCTTCATTTTCACCGTCACGAAAAAAACTTTATTTTTTTTTTCTGGGGTTGGGGGTTTACTCGTAATCTACATAGTTTTCGGCTCCTTTCTTCTTCCGAAGTTGTCATGTTCTTTTTCGGCGAACTGCGAGAATTCTCGGCGCGTATGGAAGGGGGGGGGGGGAAGCGTGTTTTGATCGGTGGTGGTGGTGGTACGTTTGTGACGGGGTGCCTGGAGCCGAAAGTGTTAGGAAATTCATTGCCCCCCTCACAACTCTCTCTCTCTCTCTCTCTCTCTCCCGCGGGGGAGAAGATGCGAATAATGGAGATTATGATGATGGTAGTTGGATTAATCAAGCGTCATTACGGGAACGGGACGGTGGGAAAGAGACCCTGAAGAGACCCTGAAGAGATCCTGCAGGAAAAAAAAGAGGACCCTTTTCTCGTTCTTCTCCCGCTATTTCGAAATTGCTGACCCTTTCTTGCGTGATTTTGGTATGCTTTACCCTTTCTTCCCAATTTTCGAATCTCGAACTCGTTCAAGATCGAGATTCGAAATGGGAGGCCTTGCTTATCCTTTTGTTTGTTTGCGGGTTTAGAGTTTTGGACTTATGGGCAGGTGCAGTTCTAGCGTGGGAAAATAGAGTGTAAGTAAGGGTAGGGCTTAGGAAGCACAGACTGCGTGGAACGTCTAAAAGAGAGGGTGAGGAAGTTGTGAGATTGACTTTTTTACTTGACGGTGTCTTTTGAAAAATGCTTGTTTTCCTTCTTTCCTACCCTAGGCTGATCGGTATTTCTGGAAATATTGGATTGTGGTGGCTGCACATGGGCAAAAGGTTAATAGGGGTGATTCGCTTGCGCATGGTTGATGGGCGCCACGATATTGGGCTAAGGCTATTTTTTCTCCTTCCTGCATTGCCGTGTCTTCCCCTAAAAGTCTATTCTGTACACCTTTACTTCTCTTTGAGGTTGTGGCTTTTGAAGAAGATAGCCAGAGCGAGGTGTTGCAGGCAATGGCCTTGATAGTAGTCTTATCTTAGGTTCTACGGCGGGAAGTAGGACGATAACAAGAGACGAGACTGGCGCACGGGTGGCTGAGGGGCATAGCCCCAAGTAGTGGGACATGGCATTGTGCGGGGGTATCCTGCCTGGTGTCGTGACCTCAGAAACAAAGAGGCCAAAGTACAAATGCCGAATGTAGTCACATGGATTGGTTCCCTGTCTTGAGATGCCGGATTCGGTGCCTCGCTGTCCAAAGCAGTAAGCAATCACCTGAGAGCATTGATATCGGACACCGATTATGTTCTCTACGCCTCGCATCGAGTCCTCGCCACGTCCGTTTACGGCCGTACATTAGCATCATCTTTAGCAACAACGACTACAACTAAAACTCTTTCTCCCCCAGGTGTATCAACGACCCACATGGAATGATTTGCGCTTGAAGCGTCCTGTGTCCCTTAACGTGCCTTGCGCGGCAATGCAAAACACGCTTGCGTGCATACTAACCCCCAGAACACGGCCCGAAAGGCAACTTTAATCACCTCGCCTCGAGTGGGAAATGGGGTGAACATGACATCCTTGCATGCAGCGACCCAACGACAGCAGAAGAAAAAAAAGCAATGCAAGACATATCCCCGACTGACCATCTAGTCGGAAAACCTGAAAAAAAGCATGATCCTGATGGATTCGGGACCCTGACCTCCCGATGCCTCTTTAGGGGAGGGATTGGCGCATCCTTGGAGAGCATGTGGGCTAGTTCAAGTCACGGTAACTTGCCTCACCCCACTTTATCTCTAGGAATCTTCATGTTATAGTAATAACAATCACTCCGGTGTATGCATGCAATGTGATGAACATGCACAACGGCCCGAAAAGAGCTGCGCAGGGCCTTGCAGCATGTACATACTTGACTGCTACTAGTTATTTACATTAATCATCATCGTCAGGGAAGGTGACGCGTTCATATGGTTTAGGATGCAAAGCTAGGGTCTTTATCGGCGTTCACATTCGTATCTGCATACTTGCTGGGTTCATTCGCTTGCGAGACATGGGGTGTTTGTAGTAGAGACGGACAGAAACGGAATGGGAGAATGACTGCGGGAGTGGGGCGGCGAGTGGGGATTGTATTTTGCTGGTGTGACGTTAAGAAGAGAAGGCAACGCGAGATGTTGGGATCATGAAATTTGCCAAGCAGCAAGTATCAAGTGAATGTGTCGGATGTTCTGGTGGCGAGTGAGGATAGGCCAAGGCTAGCAGGGAGTACCACCCATGTACGTTCTACATCTATGGTGCGAGAGATCGTATGATAACTGAACCTCAAGGTCAGATGCGGTAATTGGAGTAAAGAGGTGGCAAGGGATATATCAAACGGAGGGGTTGGAATGAAGCTGCAATGTCGGGATGGCGTGGTGGTGGCGAAAACATTGTTGTATCATTTGGTCTCCACAACAAAGTCATGAAGGAAAGGAAATGGAAGATCTATCACAAGCTGTTGCAATTCAATGGGGCTGTTCCGATTAACCCGCCACTTTCCTTTGGTCCATTGGTGTCAGTAGCACATTTCTCATCGAGTCGTCCTGGAGAAAGGCACTCAACTCGGTCATATCAGCCATATGACTGGAAATTTCTTCACCTCAACGAGATCATAATCCATCGAAAGTTCATGTTGCTCCTCAATTTGTGAAGCGACTACGTGTCTAGATCGAATTGATCAGTTCCCAGCATTGATGTATTCATGGCTTTCACCGAACATGAATAGTTACTCTTGGGCAACCGAGAAATACATCAGTGACCCTGTTTGGCTATTTTTATTTTCGTAGTACATCCCATGACATAGCAAACATAAGTGTGTGTTAACGAAATGCACATAAGACATTCCACAACGACATCAAGTTCGGTGAGTGAAAACAATAGATAAAATGTGTGATTTTGATGGGAACAATACTTCACATAATGGAGATAGGAGAAGCAGAGAGATAGCAAATGGATCATCATTTCATATTAACAGTTATTGTTTATTCTTTTCTCAAGGCAAGAACTGCGA